GATTCCGTGTGTATTCGATTTGGAAGACATTTACCTTTCTAATTACGTTCAAAGAATCTCGAGCAGTGCTCGATTTTTTCGTTGTTAATCTACCCATGCAATTGGTCGGTTGGAAAAATGTGTTTTTACACATTTCCTTTGATCAATTTTTCCTCTGTCGTCTAAGAGTGCCTAATATTTTTATGAGAATATTTTTCTCTAAACTACAAAATTTAAGACGGTTGAAGGTTTAATAAATATTCATGTATTTGTTCCGTTGCAGTTTTAAATGAACCTGATCCCCCTGCCCCTTAGTGTTATGAAAATTACGTTGTCTACATAAGGGTTAACTGTGAATTCAGATATGTAAGTTCAATGGAACAACGTACATCGAGATCACAACGTACACTTACGATTTAAAAAAATATTTTAGCAAAAACGTGAATATTTATTAAATCTTTAACCGTCCTTAATAATGTAACTTTGGGAAACATATTCTTATAAAAATAATCGACACTTTTAGGCAACGAGGAAACGGGGAAAGAATGACCAAAGGAAATGTGAAAAAAACAACATTTTCAAACCGATCATTGTTGGTGGGTAGATTTAATTCGAAAAAACTCGTGCACTGCCCGAAAATCTTTTCACGGAATTAGAAAAGTAAATGTCTTCCAAATCGAATAAACACAACGTACACTTACGATTTAAAAAAATATTTTAGCAAAAGCGTGACTATTTATTAAATCTTCAACCGTCCTTAATAATGTAACTTTGGGAAACATATTCTTATAAAAATAATCGACACTTTTAGGTGACAGGGAAACGGGGAAAGAATGACCAAAGGAAATGTGAAAAAACCAACATTTTCAAAATGATCATTGTTGGTGGGTAGATTTACTTCGAAAAAACTCGTGCACTGCCCGAAAATCTTTTTACGGAATTAGAAAAGTAAATGTCTTCCAAATCGAATACACACAAAATTACACATAAAATCCCTTAAGTATTACTCAGATTAATTTTTAAAACCTACACCACACCCACATCATCGTTGTTGCTTCATATCAGTTAGAATAGTTACACCGTACATGTAAAGTGTACGACTGTATATTTTGTCACTGTGCGTTGTCGATGGTTAGGCGTGACCTCGTCGAATAGATACGTAGCATGTTGTTCACAGAATAAGAAATTGATGAGAGAAATTGTTCTAATGTAAATCAATTTATCGAAGAAGATCTGTTGCGTTCATAAATACTATTAAGAAACTGAACAAATTATGTCTTTAATCTCTTCTTTTATCTGAACATATTGGAAAGCCATTATTGATCCAGCGTTAACGAAATTGGACAGTACAACATTACTTTAATGCTGTTTGTATCATTAAAAGGAAATAAAGACCAAACATGATATTTCATAGAATAAGTGCGTCATTTCATCCAGATATATAAAATAGTTTTATGTTTCTCTTTTGTAGTCTGATGCAATTTATTAACATTGTAGATACAATTACACGGGTAGAAAACATAACCTTATGAGCATTATAGTTTTGGTCTAATGGGTTTTTGTAGCGGTTAAACAAGTATTAAGCCGTTAAAAATTTGGATAACAAGTCATATTCATTTATTAAATATTTTCAAAGAAAAACGAATAATGCAAACTTGCCAATACATTAATTAAAAAATCCAGGTCGATGTGAAATGACATCTGAGGTAATGAATGGTGTACATGTATGTTCATGTACGAGTGTTTTGCATAATATATGATAAGTATTCCCCCCCAGGTATCATGAAAAAGAACAATGAGCTCATGTTGCAAATCACATGGTCACACGTTTTAAACAAAATTAATGCAGTTCATCCAAGCGAACGTAAACCGCTAATTACGCTATGGCTACCTTGTCTGCTGCTCGCGTGTGTCAACTGCGCCGGCTTGTTGCGAGTGCATCAAAGAAGTTATGTTGCAATAAGATGATGTCATTCGAAATAATTAATGTGAGCGTTAACCCTTATGGCTGCAGGGGGAGGGGGGGGGGCAATCCGACGCCCTCGATTTGATCGGTGCTTAGCGATATCATTTTTATTGATGTAAAATATAAGTACTGTACCCTTGTGATGAACAGGGCATCTTTATTAATTAATGCGAGAGCTTTTAGGAGAATGACAGAGAATATAATGTTATATTGCTTTATTGAGTTATCATATGTAATACTAATGCCTTTAATTCCCTATGGTTGGTTTTCAGCTCAGAATTTCCCCCTGAAATATGAATGGGCCATTCGCGTTATAGTATAATTATACAGTGAATGTTCTGTTATAACATGGCATTCACTGTATATTTATTTATTATAAGTTCCTTGATACGGGGAACAAAAAAAAACATACAATGCATATTTTCTTTTATGCCAATGTCTGGGTTACATTTGCTGCGATTCATCGGTCGGCGCCAAGCCGATTGAGTATTCTGTTGAAAACTGAATTCATTTGGGAACATGATACTCAATCGGCCGGGCGCCGGCCGATGAATCGGAGCAAATGTGACCCAGGCATTACCATTGATGTTAATTCAATAGCATCTACATTACAGTGTTTTTGCAAGTTTTGAACACGATTCAGATTTTCATGCATTTGTTATTAACAGATTACCCACTTAGCCACAATTATAATATACTCTATACGGATTCTAGACGCTCATTATAGTTTATTTATGGTCACATTCCCAAATAAGAAATCACTGCTTATGCCTTGGTCACATTTGCTCCGATCCATCCGTCAGCGCCCGCCCGATTGAGTGTTTTGTTCAATATTGTATTCAATTTTGAACAAAATACTCAATCGGCCGGGCGCCGTAAATAGGAGCAAATGTGACCAAGGCATAACAGCGGAGATAAGATGTACTAATCACAGGTTAGGTCATGTGACCAGTCATAAATATAAAATACTATGAATCAAATAATACTGAACGCATGATGTTCTTTGATATATGAGGTATGTATTGTGTTATAGTCAAGAGCTATTTTCCAAGGCCATTGACTATTATTTATGCCCGGGTCACATTTGTTTCGATCCATCGGCAGGCGCCCAGCCGATTGAGTACTTTGTTTAAAATTGTATTTTGTTTTGAAGAAAACACTCAATCGGACGGGCGCTGGTCGATGAATCGGGGCAAATGAGACCAAGGCATTACGAATGGGTTATCAAGCTTAACTCCACACTAACACTTATGAAAGGTAAATGGCCCATGATCCAATTTTAGGAAAATTTTATTTATTTTGTATTGATTATGAGGTAAGTGTTTTGAGATATGAGTTGCTGTAATTATTGTATGTAGTATTCAATCGTTGTTTGTACCACATTGGTTTTGGATAACTCGTCAAGTGTAATTTTACAACTGTATATTATCTTAAGGCCGGAGTGCACTTTGGATTTTTTGCAATTTTGAAAAGTAAACCACTAAAAACAGACTTTTTTGATGACTGGTTTAAAAGAAACATGTGTTCAAAATGTTCCCCATATCGATACCAATCCTTTAACGAATAGGAGATATGCAATTGAAAATTTTAAGTCACTATTTGCAGGAGGTTTCTTGACAGGTTTATCTCAACCGTTACACAATTGTAGTCAAGCCCAGCACTCAATTTCCCTAGAGTTTCACAATATATTTATACAAAAAGCTTTGCTCTCATTGTAGATTAATAACATCACTCAATAAATATAGACATCGTTAGTTTAATATCAGGATATCGTAAGCCAAGATGACCTCGACGGGAGCCATAAACAGGATGTCTCGCCATCCAGTGCCATTTGGGAATTGCGAAATATAATACAGTATACATTAAATCCCATAATTTTTATTTTTAATGCAAAAGGCTAGAAGGTATATAACTAAATATCTCGGTGTCTAATTATCTTGGCAAGAGTCAAAAATGTACATCGAGACAATGCAAATCGCAAATTATCCCCGCGAGAGGTTAATCGGCATTAAAACAAGAATACATGACCAATACGTCAATGAAAATACTTAAAACACGCAAACTTTGCACGGGTTCCTGGTGACATTTATGAATATGTAGTAAAGGACGCAGGGCTATATTGTATATTATCAATTTCACGGTGTCAACGGCACTTATGAGCACACTCCTAGATTATTTTCAACAAAAGCAGACTACTCTAGTTAAACATCGAAAGAGAGGGCAGATTTTAAGATTTTGAGATTTGATCTTTGCTTGACCTTTAATTACCCTCAGCGACCTTCGAACGAAAATGTGAATTTGAAATTTATTTTGTTATGATTCAAACTTTATTCACCTTAATCAAAAAGGATCCAATGAGGTCTAAAAAGTCAATTTTCAGTTTTAAAGGTGACATCGAATAAGGTCACACGTTATCTGTGTTTCTCAAAGTTAGAGACTACAAATCGATTATTGTCATCAAACTACCCAGAAACCCATTACTCTGTTCAGCTTGAAAATTTTACAGATGCAAGAGCAGACTTATGCCAAGATCTGATTACATTTAGGGCATGTTCGGTTAATTACTTGGCAGCCATTTTTGAATTGTAAATGAATATTGTCATTACAATTTCAGGAAAACTACTCATCTGTTTAACTTGACATTTTTCAGCTACAAGAGCTGAGACTAGTGCAAAGACCTGTTTATTGTGTGTCTTTTTGATTTGTTATATCAAAATTGATCGATGTTGTCTCTGTCACTTTTATTCTGATAGTCCTTCAAGGATTTTCCTTAAATTATATTGTAACGACCTCAGTGTAAAAGGAGTCTCTCACGGTCTGTAGTGTTGTATGATCATAGTTTGGGGAAACTGTTTAACTATAGCTGTGCCATTGTAGCACTTCATATGCTTACATAAGCCAGATTTGATTTCGAATAGTCCTTTTAAGATTATAAGTGGCATAGGAACATATTTATCGAGGATTACTTCTGACAACTTAACAATCTCACTCATAGATCAATTAACTTATTCATGAAGTGATTCTCATGATACTATTCTATGTTTAGTCATACAGAGCTTATTTCTATTCTGTATATATGTGCTAAATGCATATCTTATGGAGTCTGTTTTTAAGAAATTCAGGCTATTGTAAATGAGCAGAAAATAAGATCAGGGATAAACAGATCTAAACTGCTAGCAAATGGATTGACAGGTTTTTCGAATTTATTCGAATGTAATGTACGTTCATGTGTAATAATATTCAATACAATAACATATAGATAATCATCATTCGCCTCTATAACTTCAGAACCTCTCATTTCCTCATTTTCAAGTGTTTGTTTAACTTTATTATGATTCTAGTATTTGGTACATTAATATGTCCAAATCGATATGTAGTCAATTCTAGTATTTAATAATTATCAAGATTGGATTTAAACGACATCTTCTTTTGTCGGACCATGATTGTTTGGAATTGTTTGAGTAACAGTTTCTCCATTGTTCATACTAATGACGCCATAACCATTCCCCCTGGGCTCCTGTCCCCTGATGTGACATATAATACGTTCAATGATGGATTTATACTTATCGTATATATCTGGAGATCTTATGCTATACACAAGCGGATCTAGGATAAAGTTGATATACGGAAAGTAGATAATACAATGTTGGTATACGTCAATTGTAGTTTGATCAAAAACAGCTCGTCTGTAAACCCTGACGACAATGTAAGGTACTCCAAGCAAAACAAGGGAGACCGTTAGTATAATGATCGTAATAAACGCTCGTAGGTCGTGTGCCCTTTTTCGCACCGAATCGTCATTTTCTCGAAATGACCCAGACCTCTTTAATAAGTCTTTTGAGACATGAACGTACAATAGAACTACTATTATGAGAATAAGCGCTTTTCCACCAGCCCAAGTATATTTCCAATGGTAGCAAACTGAATAGGCCAACTCTGTTAGACATGGTTGAGGATTGTGTCTTCCAGTGTCTGATGTATTAAAACTACTACCAGATAGCACTGGAGTACCTCGGGTGGCGTCATATAGGCTTATATTCATGGAATTTACCGATTCTATGGTTACATTACTGTTGTCTAGTAATCTTCTGTCGTTGTACTGGTTAAGGTTGCTGTCAGAAAAAGAAACATTTTGATTGTCTTTGAAAAAGGTTCCACATTTCTTTTTCGGGGAATACTCACATATGATGCTCGGAAGGGCAACAAATGTGGAAATAATCCAGCACAAACATATGTAGATAAGTATCCTCTTCGAGCTTACGAAATACGACTTAAACAGATGTGGCTTTTTGATTGCGATAAAGCGCATGATTGCAAACACGAGCAATGTTACGGTCGAAGTTAGAAAGAGCAGGTTAAAGCATATACCAGCAACTATAAATATTGAATTAAGTCTTTCCAAGCTCAACAAATTCCAGTGTATCCCCGCTCGGTAGAATCCATCTCCTATATAGATTGCAACTGTTCCAAGAGTATCACAGATCGCAAGATTTATGAATAGTTTCGAGAATGGCGTCTGTTTTGGAAGATATATAACAATTATCATAGTAGTGATATTCAAAAACGCTGAGATTGCGCATAGAAACGTTGAGAGTATTGTAAATATAACAACAGTTGTGTCGGACTCCAATTTCACTTCCATGACAGTCGTGTTATCCATAATTATGATATCTTCTCCAACCATTAAGAGATACATGTATTTCTAAATCTGAATCAATAAAGCACTTGATTCTATAATGGTATCCTTCCTCGGGCGAATCTGCATTAAGTGCTTGTGCGAAAAATCCACATGCAAAGAGCATTATCGTACATCTATAATTTTAATCGATAGAGAAATATGTTGCGCAAGGAGGAGGTCTTTCATATCAGTTTTATAGCTCTTTAAGAGTGTTAAATCTTCGTTTGATGTATTTTCATCGCCTTGCGGTCGTTACTGTGCTTTACAACACATTTAGTCATAATTTATAGTTCGTTATCTTAGGCTATAAGACCAAAGTGGTACACCTTTTCACCAATTACTATGAATCAATGCGCTTTAATCGACACCGTAAGTTAAGTGTCGTTTTATGGTTTGTTCAATACGCTCATTGGTTTAATTGTCTTTGTACATGAATGCAGCAAACGTTTTTAACTTCAGCAAAGTTGCTTCTGTAGTCATGAAGCCATTTTCGACCTGGAAAGAAATTGAAAAAGCTTTATTACATTTAATGTTAATACACTCTTTAAAGGATTAAAGCACACGGCACAATGGATTGTACACACCAACGTTGTTTTGATAGAAAATTACACACAGAATCCAAATACCATCAAATAGAAAAATGTCAGTCTTTAGTGGTTAATAATGCAGATCTCCTAAAATCTCATTAAATACGAGACTTTGACGAGATTTCAAAGTTATATGGAAAAGCCTCTATTCATTGAGCCATGTGCTTTGTTTTCACAGATGGCAAAATAGTGTACATTATCACTAACAAGAATATAATTCAACCAGGATCGTATTACTCACTACAAGTGTATCAATTAACGAACATAATAACCATGTTTATCTTCCTTTATGGGAGAAACACTTCTGACTTTGAAATATTACAATTTTCTTCATCCCCATTTCAGAAAGTTTACAAATGCCTTTATCCCTATTTCACAACGTCGATGATAAATTACACCATTTGTTTATTTCTTTAGATAAACTTCATTCCCCCAATGTACATATTCCCACTACTGTTTTCTTTCTATTTCCATATAGAAAATAATTTAGCCCATGTGCTGAACAAATATATAGTATCCATTTCAATAGATAAAATTAATAAGCCCATGTGCTGAACAAATATATGGTATCCATTTTAATAGAGAAAATAATTTAGCCCATGTGCTGAACAAATATATAGTATCCATTTCAATAGATAAAATTAATAAGCCCATGTGCTGAACAAATATATGGTATCCATTTTAATAGAGAAAATAATTTAGCCCATGTGCTGAACAAATATATAGTATCCATTTCAATAGATAAAATTAATAAGCCCATGTGCTGAACAAATATATGGTATCCATTTTAATAGAGAAAATTAATAAGCCCACGTGCTGAACAAATATATAGTATCCAATTTAATAGAGAAAATTAATAAGCCCATGTGCTGAACAAATATATAGTATCCATTTCAATAGAGAAAATTAATGAGCCCATGTGGTGAACAAGGTATGTGAAAAAGTTCCACGCCCGTTTCTGAAATGCTCAACTTGCAAAATTTGCACCTTCCTAATATTTTAAATAAACATGATAAAGTATCCAAAAATGCAAAGAAAAAATTCTCAACTACAAAACGACTACTACTGTTCCTACCACTATGATTAGAGAAAGTTGATAATTGCCTGTTTTTCCATTTCACAGTCACACCGGAATAGCCTGACAACGGTAAAGTCAGATACCGTCGTCACGAATGGCGGACTATAACCGTCGCTTCAATTAGATTTTTCATGAACTGTATGTTCAATAGAGCACCTAGACTAAATTCATTTGGAACAACAATGAAATGAGGACCAAGTGATTAAAGAGTTGAAGCGATGGTTAGGTCCACCATTTGTGACAACGGTATCTGGCTTTACCGTTGCCAGGCTATTCTGGTGTGACAGTGTTGATGATAAATTACATCCTTTGCTTCTTTCTCTAGATAAACCTTATCCCCTCAATATACATATTCATTATCTATGTCCAGGATTTTTGTTTTCTTTGTAATTTATTCCGCGATAGTGATTTACGAATGAAGCCTTGGGACTCTAATCACCCAGGCTTAGAAAGCTTAATTAGACATTCAACAATGGACTTATAAACAATAAATGCATGGCTCAAATGTAATAAACCTTTCATTATGGCACCATAACTTCCGATTTATATGGTAATGCGTGCTAGAACAAGTCAATGTGCATCCAAACAGCTATGATCTCAGTATCAATCAGAAGGTTTTCCAGTTGTAAAGCATTGCATAATACATATCTTACAATTTGTATTTAGTAAATCAGAATAGAGAGTAGATTTAGATAATTCGTTTAGATTACCTCAGCGCATAAATGTGTAGAGATTGAAATTAATATGCATTCTGTCTTAACGTAACTGAATTATTGCATTATCTAATTATATCCCTTGGGTACTTTTCCCATGTTTGACATCTCAATCTTATTTCATTTCCATGGCAACGGTGCCTGCTTGGTCTCCCAATGGACACAAATTAATAAGAAAATCATGGTGTGTGGCAATTGTACAATTATTTTTTATGTAGTACAAGTATTTGAAATTCCTTGCACGATTGTACAATTACAGAGAAGCAAATAGCCGTGAACTTGTAGATGTAGACAAAGATATGTCATCCTGGATGTTGATCGGGAGGTGTTAAGGATTGTTTAGGGCATTATATCATTGTTTGATATAATGCCCTAAATCAGGAAAGGGTATTATAGTACAAAATTGTCATCATGTTATTATTCTGCACACTTTGTAAATTATTAGAGCGGGCTTAAAAAAACCGAGAATCAGCAACGTATGTTTGCAAATATTTCTGTTGTCGTAAAATAGCTACAATTCATATGCGTATCTCATTAAACTCAATGCATTAAATCTTAAATGCAAAAGAAAAGATCGTTAATTTGAAAATGGTTTAAAACGTCGTTTTATCCAGTTATAGAATAATATTTGAATAATGAAGGACATGATTTGGTTAAAAATCTGATAAATTGTCTCAGTAGTCGTATATCTTATTCTAGATTTAACACATTTTCTAGTTGTGTTTGAACTGACACACAGACTATAGTGCAGCAACATTTGAAGCAATATTCAAGGAGGTGCATAAAAAACTTCCGGCTTTTGGGTTGAAAAATTTCACAAGTGACACATTCGTTTTTGGTAATTTTTTGACCTCTGCTAATGACATGGATAATTCAGCATAAAAGTCGGGAGTATATTAAACGGTTATAACAAAAATTATTAGGGAACATATGTAGGTATGTTAATATTAGGTGAAATATCGCTGCGCTATAGTGTGCAACCAGCTCCTTTATTAAACGGTTCTAGTGCATCTTAAATACAATCCCTAATACAATCTATAGAGCAAGGATGTTTTTTCTCAAAAAGCATTTCCGATGCTCAGGTGTGTGAAAGATTTTATTTTCGAGCGATGCTGTCAAGAACCATTTGATAACTAAATTCTTTCCAAATTACAACTTTTAACTAAAGAACTAAAATAAAACAATAGAAATGAAGACTGAAACGTATGCACATTCTGCAAGTAGGAATCCTGAACATACAAACCCTTCTGGTTAAACATCCTTGAGAAAACAGAAGCACTTACTCAGTCCATTAAGCTCAACTAACCACATGACTCCAGCTAGTTAAATCATGTTTTCTGACTTCTTGTGATCACATAAATCAAGGATTGTTTTTCTATTAAGATACATTTTAGTCCTCAGGTGTATGGTAGTATACTTTTGTTGAGTGATGATGTCATTTTTTGTGGTTGTAGGAAGGCATGAGCCAAAATATTAAATCATTTCTCAAAACAAAGCCTTATGGTAGGGTTATTTCGCTTTAAACTCAAACTTGTTTCGCTTAAGGATAGGTATCGATATGGTGAACTGAATTCGACAATGTTTTTTTCTTAAACCAATTATTGAAAAAATTCTGTAAAAACACGGTCCTTTATGTAATGTTGACCGATTGGCAACAATTTAATGCAAAAATTATTTATATACAATATATTTTATATATAAACTGTTTTTGTTAACTCTTTTGATTTTTAGTGCAATTGTTTTTTGTTCCTTTCTACCAATTCTTGAGAATGAAATAAAATGTCTTTCCTAACCTTGTTGGAACAAAATAGCATGTACAACATTTTCTTAGACCTCTCAATATTATAGTTATACGAAAAATATATTTCAAATTATAAAGTTACCATCCAAATGATGACCATTAAATTGACGATGTGTACAATTTTCAGAATGTTTTGATGACTGGTTTAAGAGAAACGCGTGTTCAAAAAGTTCTCCATATCGATACCACTCCTTTCAGATCCCGGCTAGGCCCCTTGAAGTCCTTCATGAACTGCAATTTCTTACCCCCCACTTGTGTAGCAGCACAACATATTTAGCTGTATTTCATTTCAAAGAATGTACAGTTGTAACAAATGAAGAGTGTATTCTTTGTAAAGGTTTTGTGTTTAAATGATTATAATAGCAGAATGACGATGTTTCAAATTTTGAGAATATGAAAAAACAGTGTAGGCAGAAATCGTTAACAAATGTGTTACGATGCGGTTTTGAGACATGATCGAAATATCATCCTTTGAACGGTTCCCGATAGACCCTAAGAAGATCCTAGTGGTTTCCTAGCTGGTCGTTCCAAGAAATAAGAGGTCATTCCCTAGATGGTCCTTGTGATTCCTTTAAGACCATAGTAGTTCCTAAACACGCACGTTGTGTTTCTTTAAGCTATTAGTAACTGTTAATGAAGGCCCTTGGTAAGACCCTTGGTTGCTCTCAAAGAAGGCTTGTAATAGGGGTCTCATAGTTCTTTATAATGCAATGGGGGTCCCCAAAATATCTCGGTGACTCCTACTGAGCCATATGCCTTAAAGGCTGAACCAGCTATACACGGGGGGGGGCAACATTGTAAGCAACATGAGAATGCATTCCCAAATTCGCCTCGAACCCCCCCCCCTAAAACAAGATCCGGGATGGGAACAACCCCCATTTCTGAATAACAGCAAACCACTGGCCTTGAACTAACCCTACTCTCATAAAGCTATTGCCTCTGCTCGAACGATGAATCGCACGTTTATATTCGCTTTTTAATGATGCGCGTACTATATCCAGTAATTTGACTGGTTTGTTGAAACAGTTTCCGTCGTGCACTCCCCCCTCTTCTTCGTCTTGACCCCCTCCCATTCGTTAAAAAAGGAACCCCCTGGCTCCGTTAGAGATTTGAAACAAGATAGAATAAGGGTGATTAGAACACAAGATATCTGCACTGTGAGTCTGTGATCAGAACAATTTCACCCACTACGTTCAAATTGCTCTCCAGTGATGAGACCGGCATTTTGAGGATGTTTTTTTAAATAGCCATGAAACCGTGGCCATTTAAAATAGGCAAATGAAACTAGGTAGAATGAAAGAACATTGAACAAGGTTCAATCATGTAAAACCACACCCCATTCTCTTAGATATCGTTAAGTTGCACCGGAAGTTTACGACGTTATACTCAGTATTTTCCGCGGGAGATTTGTAAGTTTTGACAGAACGTGGTCCTTTTTCTTTCGTAGAAACAATGATCAGTTTTTCAAAAAAATTGTCGTGCTTTTAGAAAGTTTGAGAGGTTTTATACCGTGTTCAGACGACACGTCGAGACGTAGTGTTTTACTAGAGGTATATCTGCATGGTGTCAATGTTTCTAGGAAAAGGAAAGAACCATATTCTGTCAAAACGTCGGAACATATGAGTACTTACCAATCTCCCGCCGAAAATACGTGTATAAGGTCGTAAACTTCCTGTGCTACGACGTTTAAGAGAATGGGGTGTGAAAATATAAAGGAGTCGTATCGATATGGAGAACTGAATTCAACAATGTTTTTCTCTTAAACCAATCATTGAAAACATTCAATAAAAAACACGGTATTTTATGTAATGTTGACTGATTGACCTTTCTACCCAACTCTTGAGAATGAAATAAGATTGCGCTTTCCGAACCTTGATGAATGATAAATATGATAATCATATTTTATATAAAAGGATACATTTTTCTAAAAATGTAAGTTTTCCTCAAATGATATGCATATTGGGCATTTGTAGAAAATAGATATGATAAGGACTATATGCGCCATCAACATTCAAAAGGAGACAACTTTTGTAATTTTTCTCGCTAGATCTATTTCTCCCTTTGAAGAACATAGCACTATTACCAGCTTTCCTCATGCAACTACCTGAAGCTATCAAATGTCTGCACCGCAGTTCCTCTATACGCTACATAGCATACTGCAACTGCCACATTATTAAACTTTGTTACTAGAATAAACATGAAAGAGTTGATGAACGCATTCCCCCCATTAAGAAGTAAAGAGCTTTAAAATGATTTTTATTTGAGTTTTCTAGCTCAATTTTGAAAGAAGTTACATCTGATTCAGTTTTTGCAAAATTTAAAACAAATCTTGCTTTTCCCACGATCGCATCCCCCCTGCCTGGAAACCGGAATTTTTGGCCATCGCACTCCGCCTGGCTGAAAGCTGGCTACGGCCATGTAATGGTAATCAAATCCTGTAACACGAACATACGTTCTAACACACGATGTTATTTCAACGCATCTCTAATTTTCTATAATTCAGGTAGGGCTATAAAACATGAGAACTCTTTAAAATCAAGGAAATAGTTATATAATTAATAATGTCCGATAATGAAAGATTATGTAACGTTAATATTTTGCAAACAGATACACGAGATGTTACAGCAACTATTTATATTTTTGCTATATTGAGTCCCCTTGAAACCAGAATGTCCAAGCAACATAAATGTGAGAAACAGTATAGTATGAAAGTCCGTAACACTTTATCTGGACCATTTCGTCCTGTATTATCCTGAGAATAACTTGTTAAGAGTCCCCAATATATCTAAAAGTGTTGATCATTCTAACAAAAAAGTGTGTTTCGATTTATTTTTTCGGCTCATAAGTTCAAATGCAATAGCTAAGTACTCACCAACATAAAGACGTTTTTGCTAACCCATTGAAAACAAATGATTTAATCCGCCGTTCTTTCTATCCGTAATATGGTACGTTTGATTTTGCGTGATATGTACCTTATTCTTCCATATGTCCAGACTCTAAGTGGATTAGATCCAATGTAGGGGCTTTTAAAGCGCGATACGCATATCGATCGCGTTTTATGTGGCATTTAGTCCAGTGTAAAATCAACAAAAAGGATGCAGAATCGTTCCGAAGTAACTATCGGACTCTCTACTAATTTCGGGTTCAAGATTTTATTCGGAATCGTACTTGATCAAAGAATGACCTTTTGCCTGGCTTATTTTCAAAAATAAACTTCATTTTTTAAAACATGACAATTTCGGGAAATATAAATTACATTCCGGAAATATTTGACCGGCAATTGCAAAGTCCAAATTAAATCTTTTCAATGAGTCCTAGATTTTTCTTTTCTTTCTTCCTTGGTGAGTGAATCTACTGCCCTTTTCGATTCTTAATTGAGAATACAATGTGCTCGCTCGCTGTCGTTTAATCAAATAAATATGTCATTTTAATTCTAGTAGGATAGAAAACGGGTATAAAAAATACATATAAGACATTGTTTATGGTGTTCATATTAACTTATTAGTTCCTGCAACACATTCATATTTAAATAACTTGGTCATAAAATAGTAGGTTAATCTGGTAGCCGGCAGCCGAAAGTCGTATTCGCGAATACAAGCTAAGACTGTTATGTCCTAGTACTATGACCGGTATATAGATTTATAACCGTATATTCAGTAATTCTTTCTAATATGGCACACACCGTGAGATTCATTATAACATTTCACCATAGAATTTCACCAGAGGGGATCACTTAATCTTAAAAGTATTCCATGCTGGTGAATGTGGATCTGTTGAATATTAGAGCGTCGTTTGCAATGTAAACCACTTTAATATACTACCCGAAGCTGAGTTTGTGCAACCATATATTTTCTGACAAATATAAAAAATGTTATATTAATACATTGCGACCATGTAGTATCTAAATGCAAAAAAAGTAAAATGGATATCACGGGGTTTCATTGCTGAACTTTATAAAAGGAAATATTGACTTTGACTTATATGGAAGAATATCGTTTGAATTTTCCCATTTGCAGATTTTAATTCCTTTTAAACAATGTGTATTCACATCTGTTAAACCAACTCAGAGAAGAGATATCTTCAATGGAAAGTTACATCGTCAAGTGACAGGAAGTGACGTTTACAAATTTTCGAATTCATATTTTTCAAAAGACTTTGAATAACAGTATATTAATTTCTGGCCTGTTGCCAATTTTAAATATCACGTCAAGATAAAGATATGAGGACGAGGAAGCTCTCTTTTAAGAAGCGAAGTCGAACAAATGCAAAGAGTAAGGAATCTGTTAACTTCGATTAGAATATCATATCGAGGTGTGGAATTTAGAGACTATAATGGTGGAAAGGTGAAACGAAGCTGGTAAACAAGAGAGTTTTTATAAGTCTTCTCTCTAACCCATTGGGTTTTCCGTCCTCTTGATTCCTTTCAAGCGATACAAAGAAAATGCACAAAAGAGGAACTGCCAAAATATATTAGAAAACAGAAGTAGAAAAAGAAACATCAAAGAGAAGAACCAGCCATGGAAAAAACAATCAGACCTTCAATGTCCAAACAATTTTCTCACAAGGAAACAATGTCGAACATTCCATCATTTAGAAATCGTTACAACAATTCACAACATCAAGACCTTTGAATCGATTATAAACTTTGAAGTCTTCAAGTGCTATTCACATCGAAAAATGATAATATCAATACAACGACATCAAGAAATTCAGAAAACAGCCTCTCGTAATAGATTGTTTTTACGCTCTGGATTTAACATCAAGTAACCCGAACCACTTATAACCGGCGTAAAGATTAATAGGTTAATAATAAGACTAGCTTGGTGAAAACGTTATTAGTCTTGTAATGAGGTGATAACGTATCGTCTCTTATTGCCGAGTTTTTTTATAAGTTTTACATGTAAGATCAATTGAGCTGATTTTGCTAAATTCTGCACTCTCAAACCATCACTACCCTGCACCGATTCAACAATTTTGGGTTCCATCTCCAATATTCAAAGAATGCACATTGCACATTGACAGTTAGCCAGGGCAATTTGATTTTCTAATTTTTAGATTTTCCCCTTAGGACAAGCGGCGTATATATCTTAAGGTAAAATCAGGTTTTTCAAAAGAGAGTTTACGAACAAGTAGAAAGTTGTCGTTCTTACAATTTTCAAGGCATGATATGAAAATCGTTTTGAAAGCATAGCGTAGAAATTGCCTCTTAAAATTCCAAATATATGATCAACTATGTATTATCTCACAATCTATTGGCCCATATCATGACGTTTATAACAAACAATTTCCCTGCCGGAGATTAACATTTCCAACAGAACGCAATTTTCCCAGTCAAAGTTTTATTAAGTGGAAACTAATATTTCATCCTTTGGTTTATTCCCACTCTCGATTTCCTTGTTGCACCCTCCAAGGTATTTAATCTGATAGAGGAAACAATTTAAACAGACAAAACATTACACGACAAAATATCACCACCTTGTAAAATATTGCAACTTGTTATTAAAGACGCCGGAATTGTTACAGTCGCTGAACTTCAAACTCTGACTGCCGAAATACGTCCATGAAAAGGTTCTGGTTATGACATAACTATTGTAGAAAACTACCTATTTAACCTAAAGCGTCGGATATTTATTTTTCCCTTACCCCTTTACAGGTAAAACACTGCATATTTCATGATAAATGGTAAAAATAAAGGCGATGCCATAACTAGTCTAAGCTTAATCGTAATGCCGGTAATTGCTCTACAAATATGTGTTTTCGTTATTAATCCATTGTCGTTTTTTTCAAATTTACATTGTATTTATATTTTTAAGTTTGACGCTTCCGATCGAAATAATCGTTCACTTAACTCTGATTCTGACAAAAAATTCCATTGATTTTCTAGTAGCTATTGATTTTTTAAACATGTTTTGCAGATTCTTTTTATAAAGCATATTGGGACTTGTTTATTTGATGTCTTTGATGCCTTTCAAGAATCTGGTAAATATCCTCGAATATACAATTTTACCTGGATATTTTCCAAGAAATAAAACCGTTAGTTCATAAATTATCCTGCTAAGCTCTCTTTTAAGAATCGAAGACGTACAAATGCTAATGCTATAAACATAAAGCAATAGCTTATAGTTTGCAAGAGAAGAACATCTCGTTTGATTAAACTGCATACGATGAACTCATGCGCACTTTTTCGGTCAACATTGGATTTGGCCATGTACCCTATTGAAAAACAAAATTTCGCAGTGGAGTAATTCAACTGAAACCGGACCTTTGATTATACTCAACAATGGATTTAGCCATCTACCCTAATGAAAAACAAGATGCCTCAGTGTAGTAATCGTCAACTGTAAACGGACCTTGCTTGTACTCCTAGCGGTCTCTCAGACTGTATTCGATTACTAAGTACAGTATGTGCGATATAATCTTTCATTTTAATCATTTATGTTCAAAAATCAATTCATCGTATATGTTTCGATTTAACGAGTCAAACCATGATAAAAAGTAATAACGTTTCTCAAAATGTAAGAAGAGATTGATTGATAACGTCCCATGGATGATGCCGAACCTTATTTGAAATAACTTCCTTCAAATGTATTGATATATATGGGTCAACGCCAAGCTACCGAATGTGATCATTTGTCCGTAGACATCGACTAACGATTATTATATCGTTAATCATTAAGTCTTACTTAAGTATTCTCTTTTGCATCTAAACATATTATTTTCATCTAATCATTGTCAAATATTCAAATTAATATCAATCAATTAATTACGTATATTACTGTTTATTATCAAGAGATCTAAGCACAGGCCTCAAACCTTATCTATGATTTATTTCACAAGTTTTGTATTAAATAGCTTTTAACCGAGACATACACGTTTTGTTAATTATATCACTTCATAATTAGGTTTTGACATCTAGCATTTTCAATGGCAGGGGACGTATATTCCGAGTTGTTTCTTTGCCACCAATTAAATAAGAATTCATTTGGGCATAATGCTCCTTTAAATAATTGCGATGAGCCAATAAGAAACTCCATATGTGAATTCAAGCGTTATCTTGAGGAACATGTAATCCCCTTGGTGATATAATAAATTAATTGTTTCTGAGTGAATGTCTTAAGAAATAAAACTCTCATAATAAGTCCAATTTACAACAGGGTATAACTCAATTTACGATGGTATGAGGAATTGTAAAATTATGACACGCCGTTTGCCCCAGGTTTGAAATATACCATTTAGAAAGATGTAGTGTCAAGAATTAGGATAAGAGAACATATCAGAGAATAGCACATGTATTAACACACAAAGAAAACGCAAAATGAATTAATTTTCCTTTTTATAGATTATGCAAACATCATCATACAGACATAAAAGCATGTATAGGGGCCATTATCTCTTCTCGAAATGGAGATTTTTAAATGTTAATTTTAATTTCGATATTTAGCTACAGGGTGTCCAAAAACAGAACCGTAAGAAAATTGAATAATTCGATCAATTTTGCATATTTTGCCTTGACATTTATGAAGTTTTACGTTCATTAAATGTGAATTTTGTTCAGAAAGTTTGATAATAATTGGTATACTATGTCAAAACTAAAGTACCTTACAAAGCATGCTCAAAGTTGGCACTTCTCCTCTCTATGCACAAATGAATCATGCGGACGACGTTGTTAATGGCACTGACCTATACACATCAATGTGGTTGGCATAAATTAGGGTACTTATTGCCCTCTTAAGATTGTTAGGGGCTTGTCAGTATACACAGCAGCTTTGAGAAATTCCAAACATAAAAATCTGGGGGATTTAGATCTGGCGAAGGAGCTGCCTATATGTTTAATGCTTTCTACTACTGATGAGCTGACCACCAAAGCATCGCTTAAAGCATCCCAGCATATCATTTGCAGTGGGGTTATTGGCTTGTTAAAACACTGCCTTTCTCATATGACAAACAAAGATACAGCCATCTTTACCCCATGCAAGATATTGCCATCTTTCATCCTAAAAAGTAACACGTGCAAGATGAGATTTACTTGTGACATCACTGGTTTATAAACATCAACAACATGGCAACAGGTACAGCGTTGTTATGCGTATCCATGCTCAATCTACAAAACTTAGCTGTGACGTCATAACAATGAAGCTTTGTTGCCACACGTATCCATGAATTTTTTCAATATTGTTATGACGTCATAACAATTGAAAAATGAAGTTCCATTAATTTCTAGCTAGTTTTCACTCAGTTTTATCATAAAAATGTGAAAATATGGCATAATACAGAGTCATATGAGAAAAACTTTCTTGTACTCGTACCTGTGCAATATCGTCCATTCTTGACTCGCTTTGATATATCTCCTTAGATGTCCGGATCCCTTCTGGTGCTAAGTGACCTCCAAAACTTAGTGAGAACTTGAATATATTGGTCCTTGCTCATGGCGATAGCACGTCCCCAGTCATCTTCGAACAAAAAAGGACTGATGAGTCAATGCACTGCCAGGCAGTGCATTGTTCAGAATCAAGTGGATGCTGTAACACTTCATCAAGAGGATGTATATGTAAGCCCCAGTAGCAATTGTTCTTCGAATAAATTTACCCATTCAAAAAGGATTGTATGTCGGAGAATCATAAACAACTTTGTTCGCCAGATTGAATTGTGCAAAGAGAGGAGAGGTGCACATTTGGGACAAGGTTCGTAAGGAACTGAAGTTTTCGACTCAATCGGCAGATAACTACAAAATTCACATTGAATGATCTAAAGAATTCTGAAAATTCCAAGGCAAAATATGAATAATGATCCGGAGTTATTTAATTTTCTCACGGTCATGTTTTTTGGACACCCTGTACACGTTGAGTTTATCACGGAAAATAATTTTCATCATCAAAGAAAAAACGGTTCATTGCACAGACTATTTCACCACTGGGAAATTAACATTCAATTGGAACATTCACTTTTTGGTCATTCTCTGTTTACCCTTTGCATTCGTTCGACTTCGCTTCTTAAAAGAGAGCTTCTGCTTTGGTCATAACTAGACTCTGCGTGCACGGTATTTCTTATTACTCGTTACGTATCAGGTAAAATAATCATGGAAAGTAGAAGCGACTTTTATCTCATTATTGTTTCCACCACAATAAATTGATGAGAGAAAGTGTTTAAGTGCGAATTAATTAATTCATTTTGAAAGATCCGATGGATTATACGATCAGTGACCGTGAATAAAATGAGTCTTTAATTTCGTCTTGCATCGGAACAAATTGTATACTATTGATTTACTGTTTATCTTGTAATAGAATTGGACATTGCAAATTAGCCGTGTGTCCATTTCAATTTGTGTGTCTCAACATTAAATTAAAGTTACATGCAACATGTCACCACCTGGCATTTGTCGCAGACGCCGAACGCCGAACTTCGATCAACTACCAACCACCGCCACAAAAAAAGTTTATGGACTATAACAATATCCCACCACTTGTGGTGATGACATAAAGCGCGTATTTCAGAATCACTGGTGATCCGCTCGATTACGCTGGTTACCGAAACGAACCGCTTCTGTAACAAAATGTCGGAACGTCGAAAGTACGATTTTTATTATTATACTGAAACACGTTTGTGACAAAAATGTTGTGGAAATTCTACCTACAACGTGTGAAATAAGGAAAAAAGAAAAATCGTACCTTCGATGTTCCGTCATTTTGTTACCGAAACGATTCCAGCGTAATCGAGTGGATAACCAGTGAGCACTGAGAATGTGGTAATTTAAACGATGACTTGAATCTGAAACATAGACAATGGAAAGCGACGACTTATTTTTTATACATTCATTTGATTTGATTTATTTTACTGTACATTATCGATTGATAATCAGCCATCTTAGCAACCAGTGATCACTTATGACAATCTCGAGTAGAAATATAATTAATTTAAACAACAGAACACATACTATCTAGTATTTTATGGATTTTCACTATTTTCATGGTCTATATTCGATGATATTTAATGTGACTTAATTTTTGGCTTTTCTCGTGTTCACTATTTGTGAATTAGGACCTAAACTTGGCATTGCCTTACAACCGTATTAAATTCGGGAATCGGATAAATAATGTGAGTTAGAATCACGTGGTAATGAAATAGCAGCCAGAATACATTCTTAGCTTCTACTCAGCACACAGAACAACACTTTAGTCGTTTTACTGCAAAAGCTAGTGATATTACCCCGCGAAGCACGATTTGAAAAGATGAAACCAAAAACTTCTGAAATGCTGTTGTTTTTGCCTGTATGTTATGATGATGTGACATGAATGGAAAACGACAAGGGTGTCTCATTTTTCAAGCATGTATTCAGATAACAACGACCCTTTAAAAACGGGGTAACAAATGGTGCTGGTAGTTCACTGATTTTTTTTCAACATAATCGGATAATGTTAATGCTGGTTCCTGGGCCTCTTCCGCCCGTCTTCCGCGTTCCATTTGATAACATTTCGGGCGACGCCCTCTTTTCAATGGAAAACATTGTTTTACAGTTCTTTGATGCTCATTTGCCAGGTATTGTTGAAACCAATGTTCCTGTTTTAAGCCTTTAGGAATACATACATTTAGGAATATATTTTTGACCCAATCCCTGGTAAGTAGACCCCGTGTTAAAGGGCTGTTTTGATCTGAGAACATTCCTGAAATTTTGAAACTCCCAAAAAATGACAGAGCAAAAGTTGAACATGCGTTAAATAAGGTATACTCCCCTCCGTAAATGTGGCAACCCTAACAACAATAGTTCGGATATTGATGACAAATCTGTGTTTCACCGTACGTAACAAGGTAAGGTAGCATGAATATAATCTCAATCGAATAAAGCCATTTTATTACCACATGTTAAGCCATCGGTTGACTTGATTTCTTGTGCATTTTTCTGTACGCCCGTATGACTTTGTCAAATAATGGCAACATGCGTCAGTAAACATGAAATAAAAAACGTTTGTTTTTTCATTTGAAAATGTAAACCTCGTCCCGGACTCCAATCCTTCATGTAATCAAGAAATGTGTAGATGAAATGCGTTGCACTTTTTACGTATATATAAAGAGGAGGGAAAGCCCCAGAGCTTTAGCGATGACTGACATAATACGTCTCTTGCGTACCACCTTCGTTTGCGCAAATTCTCACCAGTCGAACATAGCACGTCGTCGTGATGTTTTAATCGCGATGTAAACATATTCCTTACATATTTTTTTATTTTGATGTGAAAAACCAGAATATGATATTGGTTATTAGAAATTTTTTAATCTACCATTTTTGTTTATCGATTTGGACCAATCAGAGGTGTATGTCATCTCAATACAGGTTTACATTATAAGCGTATGTCATCTTTGAACCCTGGTGTTATTCCCCTCTGGTATATACGGTGCGTATAAAAAAATGCAACAGATTCTTATCTTGGAAAAGCACAAAACCAGTGATAACAGCATTGATTAAAAACAATGTTTAAAGTCAGTACAAGGGGCATAGGGGCTATTGGAAGAAGGTGTGACAGGAATGGCATAGACAGTAAAGTGTTCACACTCATACTCTTGCAAGAATACATCCTACATGTATACCCCTCCAAATTGCCACCACTTCCTTGCACATAAAGATGCGCTCATCTGTCCACGTCATGCATGGTTCAGCCCGTTAGTCATCTGTGGGTTAAAGCAGAGAAAAGCAGCCCATGGGTAAATCTTTCTCGATGTTCTGCAATATCTCTTGGAGGAATTGTGAGCACAGATGCTCCTGATATAGCTCCAAAAGGAAAAATCACAACATTTCAAGTCAGGGGAACTTCCATTGGCACTTAGCCCTTGCACTGATTTCAATATTGACTTGCACTGACTTTCAATCTAAAACTTGGTGCAGAGCCGATGTTAACCCACTGTGCAAATGGAAGGATTTCTCACCCAACCATTACCACATGTGAATGAATGACATATCATTGCAAAGAGGAGAGACAATGGCTTTATGGTACATTAAATGAAATTGATGTAGTCATCACTAGTTTTGTGATTTTACGAGATAACTACTTGTTGCGTTTTTTTGATACGCCCTGTATAGATGGTAAGTATATAATTGTGCATGATGTAGTTGTTTGTGAATTAAGAAAACTCTGTTTTATGATCCATTTGCAATGTGATAAAAACGCTGAATAAAATCGGGAGATATTTAGTTAGGGGATTAGCTATTTTTCGCGCACTGAGGATTTATTTATAAATCAGATGTTTTGTATACCAAAGTACACTGTATAAAATGAAGAATATTGCCTTCTTTTTGTTGCAAATAACGAGGAATTCTAGTGTTTATTTGCTTTGAATTGCATGCTATAAGCAATGATAATCACTGACAGAACGTAGACAATATGTGTAGTTCTTTGCCGATATAGATGGAACACTTATATGGCTGCATATAACAAACATACACAGAGAATACTGACTGCATATACTAAAATGTCCTACTCAATCTAATGGATATATTATTTGTCGGTAATTTTCATTTCTGTTTGTCGTCCTTAACGCTTGCAGTTTTCTTTATATATTATTGTGAAAAATAGCACGATCCCGAGAGCGATCAAATCTTCAAGTTTATAATTGTATAATACACCGGACAGATATTCAGGTTTCCTATTTTTTTAAATGTATAAATATGATAGAACTATATATCTATGGATTACGGTTTAAATATAACAGAACATATTAACTTTTAATTCCTATTATCAAAAGCCAAAACATGAGCATCATAGCTTTGCCATTTATTTGTTCACTTAAATGTTATAACTTTTTACACTATAAAACCATAAGCCATGATAGAGAAGTATTAGAAGGTGAATATTTCCTGGTGACACATGTATATGCAATGTTATCTATTCAGATTGCAATTATCCATGAATAACGAAACTGAGTGAGATAGAGTTCTACTTCATATATTCACGACGGAAAACGTCTGCTCTGTCAGTGTTAACAAATTTAAGTGGACACAAATTCTTTGTATAGATCAAGTTACAGTGTTCAGTCGTTAAATCACTTGTTCATACATAATGTGCAATGACCAATTAAATTATCGCTTAGGTACTATGACTACTGGACAATTGGCGTGGTGTATGACATATTCAGAGACACTTCCAAGGATTGTGCGACGTATTGATCCTAGTCCTCTGCTCCCCATGACGACCATTGCGGCTCCCTTTTCTTCGGCAGCCTTAGCAATCCCCTCCCCAGGACGTTGGGAGAATATGGTTTCAACAGCACCAACAACCTACAAAAAATCACGAAATCCAAATGCATGTAAAAATCATGCATTTTTGACGAGGTGGATGATCTTTCACTACTGACCTTGAACGGGATATGTGTTTCGTCACTTTTTGTTGGACATACTTAAAATTTCTCTGTATTGAATTCCCAATTTTTTTTAATCAATTCATCCACTTTGGTTTGAGGTCCCTAAAGAGTACGTAACATATACAGTATGATAGATGCATGTTCAAATGTTCGTTGCACATTACTTTTTGTGTATACAAGTAATTTTTGTGAAATATATGGTTACTTACATTTGATGATTTCATTTTTGTTGAATATTTTTGAGTCAAGGTAGCAGACTGTTTTTCGGCCTCTTTCATTAAGTTACTTATAGTGTGTTCTAAAAATTTGAAAACCAGGTTGTAAAATGCAAATCATATCATAATGCGTGTCGTTAACATTTGTCTAATGATCTATAAAACCAATGTAAACTATACGGTCATCTAGAAATAAGCAAAATCAATGTACATACGAACACGAACATGAAAAAAGAGATACACACATAGGTTTTGGGCCGATATAAAGATAGCAGCACCGACAGAAGAGAATTATAAAAAACACAAATCGATTACCATGCCATCTTTGTTCGTAAAGTATTTCTTTCGACAAAGCCTAAGCCTACACATACATACCATCGGCCCTTGTCTGGAGATAGAAGGAAGATGGGACAGATATATCCTTGCAATGAACTACATGCACCTTGTCTCCTTGTCTATAAATATGCTTCACAAACCCTGCAAAGACATTACAGGAAATAAATAAATCATCTATTTACTACAAAGTTACTGTAAAGTAGACATTTATACAGATTAGCTCCGAATAACATGCTAGTGTCATATACTGCAACTACTAAATTGATAGCATATAAGTAAATTCTTCTTAAATTTAGAGCCTTAATTACACTTAAAATACATTTCTGAAGTTAAAGTACGTTTTAAACCAGGTCATTTTTATATGACAGTCTTTTTATTTCTTAAGTATTTGCCAATCACTTTATAGGGAAACAAGGTAATTGTACATTCCGGTAACTGCAGATCTACCTTATGAATCATATTCATAGTTGATATACGAATAATAATTCAAGTATACTTACAATCAAAAGCATCTTCTGCGTGATGACTGGAATCAATCGGAAGAATTATAATTCTACCACTCATCTTGGCACTTTTTTTATCCAGTTGCGGATACCACAAATTACATTTAACACCAGTCTGTAGATATATTTTCGAGCTCGCTAATGTCGTTTTTAAAACTAGATTTGACTGAACTTTACTAATTAAAATTACAGAGTAGATATGTAAAATGTAGATTATGTTTTAATATAGTTGAAGTGCCTCATAAAGATAATGCCCTCACAGGGGATAGCCCTGGTTAAAATGTAAAGGTCATATACAATGTACTGTATAGTTGAATCTGGAGCTCGTATAAAAATTCAACTGCGATATCTTCTAAATTCTATCAGCCCCATCATATAGTATTTTTTGCAGAATTCGATAAAAACTATGACCTTTGTTTGTGTCTAGCATTTTGTTAAGGGATTACGCGAATTCAATGATATTCTAACTTCAGCACCAGTGTTCAAGATCAAATCATCAAAATATATTATATTGAAATGGTTCAACTTGAAGAATAAACATTAAAAAGTGAATATTTCGTAACACCTCCTATTATACAGGGTCTCAAATGGCGTTGTGCCCCCCTTCCACAGCATAAACTTAGAAAGGTACCTACACATTATGTATGTCATTGGAAAGAGCATTCAATTCTGGATAAAATAACCCCTAGATGACCTAGGTCAGATATTGCTACATAGTGTCACATGCATTTGAAATGTACTAGTATAGCGCTTTATTTCATTGATTTTTGAGAAGTGGCTGACTGTAGTGTAAGTGTAGTGCCTTATTTTATTTTTAGACTAAAGCTAGTTCACAGTTGAAATAAAGATGACAAAACAACTTTTTGATGATGATAATCAGCAATATAGAGACAGAATAAGGTGTATTGCATATAGAGAATGAGGGTGCTAGTTTCATTACGAAGTATTAGAATCTCTTGAGAAAGACACAGCCCTTTTCCATTCCCTTTTAGCTTCATATCCAGCTAGATTGGCAGCGGTTATGGCTGCCCAAGGGGGTCATACTCACTTTAAAAAGTAAGTTGAAAATATATCTTATTTTCCATCATGCATCTTCATCTTTTCACATGTTAACAACAATTAAATGCTCTTTCCAATGGTATATGGTATGTGCGTGTATTTTTCATAGTTTATGCCGTGGAGGGGGGGGGGGGGCACAACGCCATTTGACACCCTGTACAGATGTGGTAGAAATTATGTTTCCCTGCATTAGTTTAGTTGTTACCATGCATTAGTTTAGTTGTTACCCTGCATAAGTTTAGTTGTTACTTTGGATTAGTTTAGTTGTTACCCTGCATTAGTTTAGTTGTTACCCTGCATTAGTTTAGTTGTTACCCTGCATTAGTTTAGTTGTTACCCTGCATTAGTTTAGTTGTTACCCTGCATTAGTTTAATTTTTACCCTGCTTTTGTTTTCTGCGAAAGCATTCTTCTTAAAGTGTATGGTTAAAATGCAAGATAACGCAAATGGAAACCGCATGACTAGTATAGAACCCAACATCCAATCAATGAACACCATGCTTGGTAAGATGGCTACATCGGGAATTCGTTTTGTTGGAATATGAGTTGATTCGGATATATCCATCTTGCAGGTATATTATCAATGTTAGATATAGTTGTTCACTATTTCTGCTTGTTTACATTCATACAGAAATAATAATTTTACCTAATTGATTACTATATAAACTTGTATAGACGAGTCTTTTGCCATAAACACAACCGCCCATAGCAAACCATAATATAGTGTAATCCAAGGACTACTAACACTAAACCATTAATAGTTTACAAAGTCCTTGGGTAATGTACAGTACAGATTAAGCATGAAGTTATTTAAGGCCAAAACTTCAGTTTTACTGATAAGGTACGTCATTAAATGCTAGATTATCTTAAATTGACTATACAAAGTTATTATATTATGAATTAAACAGATTAGTCTGGTACTCATGCATTCTACCTGTTTACATGTGTTTTAGAAATGAAAATGATCAAAACTGAATGCCCTTTTTTATACAGATATATACGTTCTAGTATCAAAACTATTTTTTCATTTTGTGTATCAGGACTGTCTGTCTTTGTCTTTATATATTTTGATATCAGGACTCTAACAGTAAGTTTTCTTTTCCTAACTATACAAATCAACCCTTTTTAATATTTCCTGATTCGGTGGTTCGAATAGAGAACAGCCCATACCTGGTTCTATTTCTTTAGATAATAGGAAGGTTCAGCAACATATTTGTCGAGAACTTGAACACACATGGACGTCTAGAAGTATAGTTTTCTGGAGATTATTTCTCGGGGACTTCTCTTACATATTTTCTGAATCGATCTTGATTTTAGTACCCTTCAATATTTTGATACATTTTCCTGAACATTTGAGCCCTTTCTTCACATAATTCTTCATCTAAACTGTATATAAACAACCAGAGATGACTTACCATGATTTTACTTGTTTCATTTTAATTTGCTTCTTGGTTTGCAGTACAATTTCAAGTTTCGTTGAAGAAGAAGGAGAGTGGAATTTCCAGTAACAATTGCAGGCAGAGTTGAATATTGTTGGGGAACCAACGAGAGTGATTTATAGCCCTGTACTAGTGACGTAACATCTCCAGTTTACCAAATCCTGCGAGATCGAAATCAGATAGATACCATTGCTGTACCGAACACTTTATAATATTAGTATATAACTTGTGCTTAAACATACAAATAAATAGTAATATAAATAAAAAAACAAATAACGTAAAACGCTTGTCAATGGTGTGTTTGTATACAAAAGAACAACAATGTCCATTTTACGCTAAATTAATTTATATAACTTTAGATGTAATTAGACTTTAGATTGCAATTATTATAGTTTCATATTCACAAATTCCATCAGTAACGGTTTAAGATATTGACGTCGACGTAAAGCATACGTTACACAAATACACGCGCAGGGGTTGGCGCATTAGCTGATTCATAAGAAACAAATCACGAAAGGTCTAGGGGGAAGGGAGGGGCGTTCATTTATGTTTGAATGATGACTAAAACGAATGCTAATGGGAATCATAAATAATGGGCCGATACTAAAAACATTATGACTATGTTCTTATTGCTCCATGTCCTGAAAATCTTCAACGTATGCTAGACTGTGTATCAAATTGGTGCTATAGATGGCGCATGTGCATTAATACTAAGAAAACAAAAATTGTTCACTATAGACCAACCATGACTATAAAATCAACTTTCCAATTTAAATTTGGTGATCTAAAACTTGAATATACGTCATCCTATAAGTACGTATTTGGGTGTCTGGCTTGATGAACACTTAAATATGAATCATACAGCCATGGAAATAGCTAAATCTGCCCAGAGAGCTTTGGGTGTTTTGATCAACAAATCTAAATGTATGGACGGTGTGGACTACTCTGTGTATAACATTAAGTATTAAAAACTTACTCCCTTTTAATTTCAAATATATGTCACAAGACATTAAAATGCTCACACTTATGAACACTACCAGCATCCAAAATAAACTTGCATCAACTGTTTTAAAATCTTGGTCCAGGAGAAAACGTATTATTAATACATAATTAATCACTGTGTAATAATAATTCATATTTTATTATATATTTATGTTGACTGAACTGATGGTGTCTCAAAAGCCGATGCCGCCTGGCTGTGTTTTTTATACTAAGTTGTATTTAATTGTATATGTGACACTTTAATAAACTATTTTAAACCTAAACTAAATGGAACACTGATGCAAACATGAATACGTCAATGTTTAGGAATGATGACTATTGGACAATGACTGTGATGTAACACATAATCTGAGACACTTCCAAGTATTGTTCTCCGCACCGCCCCTAGTCCTCTACTCCCCATTACCACCAGGCTAGCTTGATTTTCTTTTGCAAACTTTACTATTCCCTGACCAGGGACAGAGTCAAATATACACTCGACCTTGCCTTTCATCTGCAAAATAATAAAACCACTGTAAAACTGGTAATAAAAAACAACACAGGGTTGTAGACAATTAGTTTAGATATACGTCATAGTGCTGAACTATATTACGTACTAACCAATTTAGAACCATGAAAATTAGAGTAATTCATCTAAGATAAAATCAGTTTAGACCATTTTAATCAACAAATAATACAGTGCACTTGGGAATTAAATATTTTAAGGAGCCGTTTCTTCTTATAGCTAGTGATTTCTAAGATTTTTGAAGGTCAGGATTTGGAACCATATTAATATACATATATAACCTTATATTAAGAGATTGTAGGTTTTTACATGAAAGTGTTCACTTTAAATGTTTGTTAAAATTATGTAAATACTTTATGAGTTTTCATCTTTCTCATTTCCATTCCCTCTAGGCATCAAATTGTAGGGAAAAATAAATGCTAACATACATTCTCCGAAAGCAGGGGTTCAAATATCATCCACTCCGTTCCTGAACACAGAGTAAATGATGTTTTGACCCCTGCTTTCGGAGAATGGGTAATGGAAAGAAACGTGGACTTGAATTTGTTATTTTACCTTAGTAGTCTTCAGTTTAGCGTTGTATTTGTTGACAAGCTCTTTTGCATTCTCTTTGGCTGTCTTGATAATGTTTTGAAATACTTCCACTGCAAGAAAGAGCCAACGATCCAAAGATACATCAAAATATGAAACTATAATCTAATAAAAACTGGATTTAAACTTAGATGATTTTTAATGAGTATAATTTTTGATGAGAATATGTTTTAGCAGAACATACATGTTTGGTGCCTAGCAGTAGCAATACATGTTGTGCGGGGACAGTATGTTACTATTTTTACTTATATAAACTAAATATTCACTTACCATTCCTTTGTTGGTAGAACGTAGATGACGGGATGGTACAATCTTGCGAGAATAAAATTATTACGTTATCTCCCTCTTTGTGGATATGGTCAACAAACCCTAAATAAGACATTATAAAAACGTGCATCGTAGTCAAATAAAAATATCCGACAATGTTACGTTAATTCTGGTTCATAATGCTTCCTTTTAGTCTAACGTTAGCGAGAAACGGAAGAATTCAGAACAATTCCAAGAACTTAAAAATGGGATCAATTTTTTGATAGAAGCCCGGACAGAATTGTTCAAGGTTCACATTTTCTTTAATAATATTTTGAATTTTCCGTGTCATCAAAAAACTATTACATATTTCAAAACTAGGGTAAATTTCTTACATACAAAAACAACTTTAAACTGAACATTTAAATTCACGAAATATGCTGCCGTTTTTGAACAAATGTGAGACACAATTTATTTGCACCACTTATACTATGGACGCTCATGATATCAACAAATTAAAAGATTTTCCTTAAATATTATATTTTATGTTGGAATTTCACTGTAGTTTTGAAATATGAAATTGTTTTTTGGTAATACTGAAAATTAAAAAAAATAATGTCATTAAATAAAAAAGTGACCCTTGAATAATAACATAGGCTTGAAGTACATTTTGTATGTTGATTATGCAAATATCATTATGATATCATTATGACACTTTGCCCTCATTTGCTAGGAGAACTAACAAGATTACATATGTTGGGCTTTTGGACAGCCAACAAGAACATTCGGTTAATGACAGTGTACTATAATAGTGATCTGCTTTGAGTGAGTATATATTATACTCACAATCGAAAGCTGCCTCGGCGTGGTCACTCAAATCGACAGGAAGAACAACCGTTCTCGTAGCTTCGGCCATATTGTCACTCAAATATCCTGAGTTGGTTAGTTAGAATACAACGCTTCGACGTGGACCACTGTTTAGTACTACGCGCATGCAGTTCATATATGATGTATTGTACATGTACAAGTGCATGCGATGTTCAAAACACTGTCGATGTTTTCATTTGTGAACTGTCTCACAAATTAATCTTTGATCAAGTGCGACATAACCCATTTCGTAAATTACACTGTTATCACCTTGAAATGTTGAACACAATTAAAATGAGTAAAATTGACGTCAAATAAAATTTGCATTTGGAACACCCCCTACTATTTTCTAAAAGTAGTGCAACTACTATGTTCATTTTAATTTATCAAATAATCAGATATTACCCTAAAGGTTTGGATAAGAATACGAACGGGCTTGAAGATTATTTATCTAACATTGATTTGAACAATAAAGGTACTAGTTAAAAGTGAAATATGTCTATTATACACTTTTGTACACCATTGCTAAGATATATGGAATATTTACTCTACTATACCTTGCATTAATATAAGTGTTCATGAGCAACCCATTTGGCTTATCAGTAATGACTATGTTACTTGTTTTTATGTGTCTGCTGCTTATGAATGGTTTATTGGATGACTGTTAGATGTTAATAAGGAACTTTCAGAAATATACTAAACAATACGATTAGACAAACAAAATATCTTATGCATTTCTAGGGGTCAGGTAGTAGAGTGTATAGGGCACTTTATAAAAATCAGTACTGTCTCATGTCTAAATATATGGTTAAAGTATTTTCGAGGAAAGGCATTTAACTGTGACGAACATGACATTATAAACAGTTCAAAAAACCAATTTCGTGTGCTGCCCATTCCACCATCCTTATTTACTAGGGGATGGCTTTTATTGAATGATATAAGTGTTAATACTCTTAAGCCTCGGTAACATTTGCTCTACGGCGGGCGTACGGCGGCCGTAGCTTCACAAAGTCGATATAGAAAATCTACACTGCACTGCCTATCCCTGCATTTTATGCTGAATATTTTCCATTCGATTTTGGGAAGCTACGGCCGCCGTACGGTTGCCGTAGTTCAAATGTGACCCAGGCATTAGGAGTCAATAAAAATCTACGAAACAATTCCATTTCTCAGAATTTCGTAGTTAATTTAATTTAGTAAAATAATGGTAAATAATGGTAAATCTTTAACATTCCATAATTGTTAGCAACAGTGTATATCTAAAAAGCTTGTGTTGATTATTTTGAGACCATTGCTAACAAGTGAGTAGTGTATGTCGCATGATGTATTTAGAATAAATATCTAGTTGATTAAGGCTTCCAGCTGGTGTACTGTACTTGAACTTTGAAGCTTTAAATCACAAATAAACTTAAGATACATATAGTCCACGGTATGAAATTTCTAGGACGTCTAATTAAGGAGTTGGTGGCACCATATATGCATAATGATATTTGAGCTTATATTTAGATACCAACATGTGTCCCGCGTTTTATTTTTGTATAGCCGTTATAAATACGGCGGGCTTTTAGGCCGAATAATGCATGTCATTAGCAGGGGTCAAAAAACGTGTAAAACGTGTTTCGTATTTTTTCATAATTTAAAGTACAAACATTAAAAGAAAATCACATGAAGATATTTTTAATATATACATCAAGTTTCTTGGCTATAATTTTGCGATATGTGTTCCTTGAAATACCTTATATATAAAAAATCAAGGTTTCAACATTTTATGTCGTTTTGGAGATATTGGTGAAGCAATCAATATATTGGCACCTTTATTACCTGTGAATAACATATGGTTTTACTAAATTAGTTGTAATACATTTTGAGATATGGACAGCCGTATTCAGGGGTCAATTGCCAATAAAGGGAGACTCGTTGTTCTTCCTTGTCTAATACCGTCTGCGATTGAAAATTGTTGCATATGGTTGAACATGAATTGGTTGCTTATATAAGGACCATATCTTCAACATTTGAATACATGGATCTTTGAGAAATGTCGGCAATAATGTAAAAATAAATCGATGTAATGCATCGCAGTGACAAATATAATTGTTGTTATATTATACTGTTTGTTACACATTAATAAAAAATCAGAATTCTGAAGTAACAAAACATGAACGCACAAGTGGAAATGGAAAAGGCACAGCAACAAATGGAATGTGTTCAAGAGTATACTAATATAAGGGAATATCAAAGCATTAACATGCAAAATGCCAACGCATATTCGTTACATACACCGAACGCCGAATATGTACTGTCAATGGACTTTATGTTGGAAACTATAACAATATGTCATACCACTCTTGGTGGTGACATAAGAAACACTAGCAATCCCAAAGTCAAACGTCTATCAACCCCTCCCGACCCACGAGCTAAGTATAAACATCATTCCCAGACCATTACACCAAGTAGCACCTCATTATACTCGAGTCATTACAACACAAATTGAATAAAAATACAAATTGTGAGCCAATACACATAACAATACTAATAGTATATTAGATATACAATATTTAGAATTTGGTCTTAATGCTTTGAGATAGATATTATAATTCGTTTAACGCTTAAAAGGGTCAGCATCCCACTGCAAACCTAAAGCCTTCAGTTTTAGCAATTTAATTGACAATGCCTAAAATAATCCCCACATCCTTCAGCATCTCGAGTACATACATTTAAACGGTCGCAAAATCCAGAAATTATTTTACAAAAAGGAACACTGTTCATTAAACAAAACAAAATACCTCAAATAAAAATCAGCGACTATAGCATTTGGATTCACTCGCATAAACCAATCTTCTCATGAAAGCTCTTATAGAGAACTAATAATTCGTTTATAAATCACAGGTAATATTGCCTAACATAATGCATTCGCAAAAAAGTAACATCTCACATGAAAAATCAAAAACATACGAATACCTCACATATAAATCGTAACTGATATAACAACTTCTTCAGTATAGTATATTCCTCGCTTATTATGTGGTACTGTATAAAATGCACTCAAAAAACCTAATACTCCACATCACGCGGTACTAACTTCGACCGTTAATTTGAATTTTTGACATTCCAAGTGCTTGAAAATCAAGGATTGCGAGTCTCATACTGCACCGTTTTTCTTCAAACTTATACCATTAAACGCAAAACAAATTGCCTTTCTGTCGGTGCATTACTTGATTGTAAAGAGTCCCTCGTTCACGCAGCGTTTTGGTCCCCAGCTGTCGGAAGGCCTTCTTACAGCTGGGGACCAAAATGCCGCTGGAAGTAGGGTCTCTTATTAAGAGAATAATGTACCATCAGAAAGGGATTTTTGTTATGCTTTGAATGGAACAAGTTTGAAGAAAAACGGTGCAGTATGAGACTCATAATCCTTGATTTTCAAACATCCGGTAGGTCAAAAATTCAAATTAACGGTCGAAGTTAGGACCGCGTGCACATAAAAACTTGGATTAATCAAACGTTATAGGATGCGCCTCGCATAAAAAAAACAATATCACACCCGCTGATCGTGAAAAGGGGACGGAGGGGGGGGGAGCAAGCAATTTCTGGTAGAAAAGTGAACAAATCTGCAAAAATTATTTTTTTCAAGAAAAGGTTTATGATTTAATTGCTAAACGAATAGGCGCACGGTATGGTAAAATATGTCGCGTATTCTACGAATTTTTTTTAGCCGATTCTCTTCTTAGGTATAAGATCTATTAAAAAAGGCGCAACGCCACCAAAGTGCAAAAGTCAATGTTTTTGCTTTAAATCAAGCATCAACGGTCTACACAACCTGCAATAAATATTTGTAAGTGACATTATCATCATAAAATTAATGACCTTAATGACTTTACAAAATACGTTTCCAAACGTTGTATAAAAAATAATCGAAAATAATTAAAATGGGACGGAGGGGGGGGAGGGGACGGAGGGGGGGGGAGCAAAATGTCTATACGACATGATGAGAGATGTTACTTCACTTTATATCCAAATTTTCCCATTTTCTCCTCAATTACAATGGGTTAGGAATTGATAACAAGTTGTATTCGTAGTTAGATTTATTTAGGATTATCAAAATCTTGGAGGAGAGCGTTTATCTTTTTATGTGTATAATAGTTTTTATTTTTTGAAGACTTATCATAAAAATGTAGACATCGCATCATATTTCTATTGGGACATGCAAGTTTTCGAGTAAGCAGTTACTAAAGTTGTTTCATTATTAACCTCGCTACCAGATATCTAGTATATGTTAATATTTTTGATTATGTTGGTCTTCAGCAGATGTAGAATTTAGACTAAATAATCTGCCAGGAAGTTTCCCAATTAGTGTACCCAATCATACCATGGGCACATCGCCTATTACGCCAAATACTGTACTGTACTTTGCATATATTTTCTCACATTAAGTGTAATATATGTATTTATTATGCAATATGCATCTCACATTTAGTGCAATATATGTATTTACTGTAACATTTGTCCTCGACCATATGTATTTTGCAATTCACATTTAGTGCAATATATGTATTTATTGTAACATTTGTCCTCGACCATATGCATTTTGCAATTCACATTTAGTGCAATATATGTATTTATTGTAACATTTGTCCTCGACCATATGCATTTTGCAATTCACATTTAGTGCAATATATGTATTTATTGTAACACTTGTCTTCGACCATATGCATTTTGCAATTCACATTTAGTGCAATATATGTATTTATTGTAATATTTGACCAAATGGGTGACACTCAGATATAAATGTATACTGTGTCTCATAAGTCGACACCGGCTGGTGATGTTACCAAATGTTATCAGCAAGTAAAAACGTTAAGACAGGTAAACACTTATAGATAAACAGTCTCCTGGAATATTTTGCCAACCTTAATTTGACCCCTCTAACTAAACCTAACAAGTACAACATGTTATCAATTCCTGACCCTTTGTAATTGTGGAGATAATGGGAAAATCTGGATATAAAGTATCAAGTAACATCTCATATCATATCTTATAGACATATTGCCCCCCCCCCTCCGTCCCCTAATTTTTTATACAACGTATGGAAACATATTTCGTAAAGTCATCAAGGTCATTAATTCTATGATGATAATGTCACTTACAAATATTTATTGCAGGTTGTGTAGACCGTTGATGCTTGATTTATAGCAAAAACATTGACTTTTGCACGTTGGTGGCGTTGCGCCTTTTTAATAGATCTTATACCTAAGAAGAGAATCGGCTAAAAAAAATTCGTAGAATACGCGACATATTTTACCATACCGTGCGCCTATTCGTTTAGCAATTAAATCATAAACCTTTTCTAGAAAAACTTTTTTTTGCAGATTTGTTCATCTTTCTACCAGAAATTGCTTGCTCCCCCCCTCCGTCCCATTTTCACGATCACCGGGTGTGAATATAGCATCACAGAGTGCACTATTTGAAAGGAATACCTTTTATAAAATTTCAAAAATTATACAGAATATAGAATGAAGTTAAAAGAAACTTGTACTCCCCTAAAATAAAGTGTATGGATAGTACTCACAATTAGCAACGACCCAGGGACAATGACTACCACTCCACATAAAACAATAACAATGATATTGAACTTCTTCACTACTTCTTCAGCATAGAATTTACTCAGAAATGAGTAATACATGGTATTCAAGTATAAATTAAATTACCTCCTTCATATGTGACATATAATTTCACCCAGAAACTAGTTTTTCTAGCAATACCCGATATAAAAACAAAAGAGATATAGCCTGGGAGTAGCCATTTTGTCCCAAATTCTATCCAAAATGTCATAAATATGTACGCACAAGTGCCAAATGCGAAAGACCAAAAATGACAAAACATAGCAGGAAAATGAAATGTCTAAGATCTCATTGCCAAATGGAAAGAAAATCCAACTATCCCAAATCAATATACAACGTGAAAGGAAAATGTATCTTACAACACTCACAACAATTCGTAAAAGTGCAATTCGCATGGCTTTTGGCGACATAGAGTTTGTGCACAAATGAATAATGCCTGATTTGATAAAAAGTTACAAATTATAAAATGAAGTATGGGTTCCTAAAACTCGAATGGAAAGATCGGAAACGAGAGATGGAGTTGGATTGCTGAAAAAATTGAGAGAACCGGTCTTACAAAAAATGATTCGATGTCGTCTTTAAATATCGGAGGCTCGTCTGAAAGATTGGATGTGTTCAACACTATAAATTTCTCCCAATTCCAATCGGGACTTTGCACGCGATGGGTGAGTTGATATGATTGATAGGGTCACACCTTGGAACAACGATACATATCGTGAACACAGATGATAAAATATAGATAGTCAATGAAATAAAATATAAATGAGTGCCTTTAATTTCGTATAATTCACAATCTCGCCCTGCTGAATGAAATCGTCTCTAACGGTGTCACTCATCCATCACGAAGGTTGGTTTCTGGTTCTTATTAATGACAGTATGGCTCTCACTTATAAATTTACATTTAGAATAGAACGAACATTTGTCAAGTTATGATCGAAATAAAAACTAAATCTTGTCTTCGCAAGGGACAGTTCAAAAAACTAAATTACTATCTTGAATTTCACAAATCTTGCTCTTCTGCATCAAATCGTCCTGAATATAGTCACTCGTCAACCACGAACGTTGATTTCTGGTTTCTTAATCAATCATTCTAGCGTTCTCATTTATAAAAAAAACAATCCATAATTAAAACTGAAATATATTATAATGCATTCAATGTTTACTTTCTTACAACATTGCATGGTTATTTTATTGTGGGAGCACAGCATTGTGACACTATGATATATGCGACGCATTTGACTGCGCCTTCTTTATTCCTCGATGCAAATCATCTAGTTTAAAAATGTAAACATTCCAATACCAAAATTAGATTAATTATTTAAATGATACATCCTTTATATTTTTATTTGATTACGTTTTGAATATCATTAACAATAATCCGTTGTTTGACCCTTGAAAACGCAAAAAATATTTCCGTGAATATATTGTTTCTATAAGTACAAAACTTTTATGTTACTAATTATCGATTTTCTGAATATTTCGCATAATTTGGTCACATCTGCTCTGTCTTATTTTTTTCTAAATAATAAAACGTTGAAAAGTACCCTAGTGCAATGCCCTAATTGAAAAATGACATTTACGTTAAAATAGTATTATATTTCTATGTAATCCTAATCCTTTAAATTATATATAAGTTTCGATTTACAATTTGAGTCTCATAAAATGCACTAAAATGCGCATGAAAAGTTTCACGTTTTTTGACCTCTTGTGATGACAGACATAATGCGACCCGAAAGCCTTAATATTTTTTACCAAATGGCATTTTAAAAGCATAAGGACATATGCCCCTCCCTAAATATCGGTTCAAATGTCATTATGCATATATGGTGCCACGGATTTGTAATATCTATGAGCCATACCATGGACTAATAGTTCAATAATATTTCTATATCACCACCACAAGAAGTAACATATTGTTATAGTTTTCCACTGTTTTTCAGACGTGTTTAGCGTTAGGCGTTTGTAAGAAGGTGCGTTTTTCGCGGTATATTTAAAAACTTTTGAAACGGACTACTTTTGCCCAAATTAGACGCTGTCAAACTATCGAAAATAATGCGGCATAATTTGAGATAGGTAGATATGAACGAAAGATGACGTTCTCTCGTTCAAGAAAACAATTTATCCTACACTTAGTGTACTAAATGTATAATAACATGAAGAAATAAATCTGATATTTATTGGCAAAATGAATATCCGGAGGATATCGTAACGATATACTCCGGGCGGACGATATCGTGACGATATACTCCGGAAAACCCAATATGCGGAGGATATTGTGACGATATACTCCGCTTGTTGATTTCCCGCCAAATTGACTCTATTTGGCATGGAATTAATTTTATAATGATATTATACATTGAAAATTGCTTAATCAGCAAAGTCAGAAAGGACGGACGGACAGACGGACGCACGGACGGCTTTCCTAAATCCCCCTCGAACTTCGTTCGTTCGATGGGATAAATATGGATGAGCTAGTAAAATACGATTATTTAAAATGGAATACTGCGATCGCGAGTCATTCTTCATACAGCTTAATCGAAAATTATAAGTTTAAATAAAACTTGCTTAGGTAGCATTGACAACTCTCGTAGAAATCGATTTGCAAAATAATTCGGAAATGGTTAAATGAACCTTGTAAAAAACGATTTATGGCCATACTATAAAAGGATATTAAATCATAATTTTGTTGATAATCGTTACATGTGGCGTCTGAACGCTAAACGTAAATAATGTAATACTTTTTGTTTAATGTAGCATCTATCATCTATCTTAAAGTAGCAGGACTAAATGATTTAGAATTTAATAAAACTAGATGTTTTTGTATAAATCATTCGATCAAATGTCTTGCTCCTGTAGTCTTGTTTTGTTCGTCAACGTCGATTAACTTTATTTTCATTTCATTTTTTGGGAACAACCATAACTGGCACGTCACTATGGTGAATGACGTAGTCACTAACACTTCCTAATATGGTGCGACGTAGTGATCCCATACCACGTGATGACATAACGATCATGGATGCATTTTTCTCCTTTGCTTGTTTGATGATCACCTCTCCTGGGGAACCCTTCACAGAATTTACTTCCCCTGATTTCTAGAATAAAAACAACAAGTGACATTGTACTTTATTTCAAAGTTGCTGGCGGAGAGCAAGCAACACGTGTACGTCACTTTAACAATTACCAAAATTAACTCCAAATTGTGAACAATTTAAATAAACAAATTGAGAATCCTTGATCAAACAAGTGTAACAACATTAACTATTACTATGTCAGGGGTATTTCAACTGGAAAACTTCACTTAAACCACGTGTTTTTATAAGAACTGCAAAAACTATTCCTAGTTATCATTTCCGACCTATTTGATCATAAATCAAATGGGGGCTTCTATTTGACAAACGTTGGGGCGTTTTTTGGCCGTAGATGTTCCATACTTGATAGGTACGTACCTTGGCGTCTTTCATTTTCTTTTTATATTTGTCTGTTATAACCTTCACGTGAGTCTGATCTTGCGCTATTATGCCATTGAGCGTTTCCAAGTCTAAAACAATACAAATACACCGAGAATGATGTGCCTGTTCAAAAATGCAATTCACGAGTCGTACGTCCATACGTACGTCCATAACAAAAAAGCAAGAATGAACTGTTAGCGTCTTCCTGGATCGGTTAAGGACTGGCATATATCATGCTTCAACCACGTATGAATTATTGATCATTGGGCATAAATCATTCAACACATGACAAACAGTTCTTTGAAAATTTCGACGTCAGTACTACTGGCCAGGCCTGTCCGAAGGACTTCCAAATAAAGGGGGGGGGGGAGGGGCGCGACTTTTGCGTACGGATGGATTGCGCCGCCGACACACCCACGCAAAGACGTCTATGGTACGTAGTGCTGCAAGCCCCCGCCCCCCCCCCCCAAGAAAAAATGTGAAATGTTAGCTAGAACCTCTGCGATGTTTTGAACGGAGAGGGGCTTGCGGCATCAACTGCATGACTCGAGGTACGTGTGGGCTCTTGTCGTAATCGATAGAGATTCCCCTCGATGGTGCAGTGATGTTCAATTCTTATAGTTGGTTGTTCGCATGATTATTTTAATATATTGGCAATATTATACCTATAAGTTGGTCTCCAGGTACATCTAAAATATTAAGTAATACCAATAATTATGGGATATTGATGTTCCAGGAGAGCAACCTATGGTATAGAGCATTCTAAAACTATGGGACTTACGAGACTGTGATGTCGGTATCTTAGCATCATAAACATGAAGTATTACGACCTTGTTTCCACTCTTGTGTAGGTAGGTATTATACCCTGGAAATACAAAGACCATTTAGTTAAAGTTATTACATTTTTGAGTCAATGGCAGCATAGTTGGCGTTGCGTGACGTGTCTGGTATCAATCAAGTACTACAAGACACGACATATTTACACCCCAGTCACATTTCCTACGGCGACCTTGCGGTCTATCATTTCTGCGGCCAGTAACATTTCTACGCTCGCCGTGGAATTTCTGCGCTCTCATACTTTTGCAGTCACATTTCCCACGGCAGCCGCACGGTGAATTTTAAATTTCTGTTGATAAATAATATTTTTTTCATTGTATTTACATCGGGACAATTGATAAATGTTATTCATAGTGCTAGGATGTAATATCAAATGAAACGTGATCGTGAAACATTGACAAATAATGATTCAATCTTGTTGAGCCAGTTGATTTCTACGGGGACCTTAGAAATGAACAAATATTATAACTCCGAGTTATAATTTCTACGGCGACCCTGCGGCCTGTAAAAAACTGGATACGCCGTACGGAGGCCGCATGGCGAGCGTAGTTTTTCTACGCTCGCCGCAGAAATACAATGATTTAATTGATCTGCGGTCGACGCACGTCCTCCGTACGACAAATGTGACTGGGGTGTTAGTAAAATTACATTTGGTAAAAGTATACTTTACGATTTTGTTGTTCAGTAACTTTTAAAGATGGCAGGTCAACACGTCTTATATCTAGCTGTATTGCATTAATTTGCAACTAAACATATTTCTATTGTATACTGTTATTGCAGAACAAAAAATAAATCTAACGTTAATATAGTCTAGCTGCAAGCCTCTGTAAACCCCCTATACTTGACTGAACAACTTCTCACACTTGTATGCAAGAACTTGACGCTAGACTAACATTAATACAAGTAGTACAACATTTCAATTATATATAACGTGTACTCGACATACAAAAGCATCCTTTCACATCTTTTAAAGATAAAATTTAAATTTTTATGGATTTAATAGAGCGTTCCAAAGTGCGAGATTTTCCGAGGTGGCCTGGTGTTAAAAGCATTTAGAGAGCACCTTGAATTTGCTCATATATTTCAATCTTTAAATCACATACTTTTAATGAAAAATACTCCCGTTTCTTGTGACTAGAAAAATGTTTTAATTGAAACAAATACAGAAATTGTACTTTATATCATAATAGCGAATTCGTATATACTTACAATCAAAGGCGTGTTCCGAGTGCGTACTCCCGTCCACTGGTATTATTACGACTAAAGGTTCCGAACTTACACCCGATGCCATTGCTTCTAATGTACTAAGGATATTATGCTACGAATTAAGATATTTTACTCTTAAAATATTGGAACTTCAATCTGAATGATTTGGATTTGAGTTTGCGTATATGCCTTCTGTATCGAATCTATATGTAGGCAACATACTGCACGAGGGGAAAGAGTACCCGTGTATATACAACCTACCGCCGAGCAAAGACCCGAAGATGTCTGAAAATGTAGGGGGTGAGTTATAAACTTTTGTTTATATCTTGAATTTCTCAATATGAGAAACAGATAAAAAACAGAATTGTGTGTAACTGATAAGTTATTGTTCCAGGCACTCATGTTTGCAAAATAATGAGTACTTAGCGCAATGTTTACTATCCAATCGCTAAATTCAACTTTTAAATATTTGAATGATGATTTACATCTTGAATAAGTAACAACCATGGCTGTCTTTACTTCATTCGATTCAAAGATACAATAGGTGTAAATGTATCATATTTATTTCACTGCCATACGTTGCATATCATTGAAATCACCGGTGAAAGTTGAAAATGAAAGACCCGATTATGTCACGAGTACGATTATATAGGACCCGAAGCTACCACCGAGCTATTCCGACTATACCGTGAGTAGAACCCGATGAGGTAGTGAGCAAGCTTTCGAATGAGCATATAATATCATGACGATATCACAAATATTCCTTTTTATTTATCATATACTCCTGGCACCGGGATATAATATAATATGATATAATTCCCGCAGCACTATACGTCAACGTCTGTTTCCGACAAAGTTCTTTAAAACATTGAATTCATGCTTACACTTGAATCACCATAATTTCCTATGTATCTATGGTAAGTAAAACATTTAATTCTGCATTGCAAGCGCCATTCTACTCAAAGAACACTACTTGAAGAATCCCAAGCTTCACAAGCTTCATATCCTCGAAACGAAAATTACCGCGATCTTTCTTTGATACTACAATACCATAGTCAAAAACATTGTAAATCCTTTTTTGCCATTTAACTCAGGCACATTAACTTTAATACTCAGTAATGGATGGTGCTGACTGAAGTGGACCACAAAGTCATCCATCTCGTGTGATTTATAACTACAGTGGAAGCATTTGTACCGAGGACCTGAAATACAATGTTTCGATGTGCAGTGGTAACTGGTGATAGCCATATTTTTTTCAGTTTCATTTATTGTTCACAACAAAATGATTCACATGAATGATGCAGATTGTATGTTTATTATTTTTTCATCAGCACGTCATAAACTCGACGATATAATCGGATCTCAACAGATTTTACTCAAGTAATGTTCGGATTATGAGATCCTTTACTCAAGATATTTTCGGATCTTTATAATATTACTCGTCGATCACATCGGGTCCGATGTCCGATAACATCGGATCTTTTAGGACAAAGTTTAAGTGAAGATTTTGCTGTTCAAAAGTGCTATTTTGACCTAATATTTTGACACTTAATATATTATGCATATGCACATCCATTTACCGACCCAAGTATGTCTTATGTATGGCTCATTATCAATTAAAGCGAGTATGAATGAGAAAAACAAATCGAAAACCATATACGTTTACCTTATCTCTTAATTTGGACATAAAAATATATTTCAACTATAATTCTAGGCCAATTGCGCCTGCTAGAACATCTTAGTAACAATTCTAACCATCCAAAGGAATTGTTAGTGACATTATATTACCTTTATTGTCCATTTTCCTACGAGATGACATTATCAAACATTTGCTCGGCGGTATATGCGTGTCTTGCTCGGCGGTAGGTTGTATATACACGGGTACTCTTTCCCCTCGTGATACTGGATTATATCAAAATGTAGTATAAAGCAATTAGCAAAACAAATTATTAAATCATTACAGTAAAACTAATCAAGACTTTGATTTCAAAGGTGGCGATGCTCATCAAAAGAGGTGTTTAAAATAACAAGTGTATTTAATGTATTGACATACTATTATAATTACAATTTAAAAGGTCTAGTCCAAGAGTCTAAAACCCGTATCCAAAATTTATTTCGTCTCTTGCCTATTCCTCATCTGGCCCAAATTATATAAAGGAATCGATCGAAGACGCACCGTGTATTAAACGCTATCTTAGAATCGAGCCTATATGTTTTATGTTTCCTAATCCCGCATATTTTAAGCACTATTTCACTTTCGGACATAATGTTACGTGGAACATTCTTTCTGGGAGTTCTTCTTTGATATGTCTTATTTTGATCAAACATCAATCCCTCATAACTATATGTACCATTTGACGAGACTTTATCCCGTATGAAATATCATAATAAACCAATATACCGACCCCCTAATAAAATTAATTTTAATCAAAATCGCATGCAGTTTGTAATTAACCTAACCAAAACATGCTAGAGCAGTGCATTTATCTGACTTTAAAACATAGGCCTACTCCCGGGAGTGTTGTTTTGTAATGTTTACTTAACATTAAATACTTACAAGGGATTATCAAGTTAAAAAACATTAATAAATGATGGTTGTACAAACAGAATTTACAAAACATAGATAAACATATTAGTACACCTATCAACAAATAGACCTCGTATTGGATTTTTATGTTTTTTTTCTCGCAGTAGGCTTCGTTGTTATGGCGACGCAATAACAAAGTACGATGTTTGCTATTCCTCTTAGTAAACTCAATACCGAGTGCATAGTGTAGTATTGTAGGATTGGATTTGAACTACACGCGAATATTAGTCTTGATTAAGTTATATTATGATTTTCTAGGAATATATCGTCAACATAAGGTAAGACTGTAATATTAATATGTTCAATATATATATTTTTACCAGGAATGTGACGTAACTATGAGAATGATATCATAGTAATGCAATTAGTGGAAAGGTTTTATCTTGAACACATGTCGTTGCTGAACGAGAGACTATTGAGAAGAATGTTTAGTTCGATGTTGAACAATGTCTAATCAGATCACAACTCTAACATGAACCACTGTTTGTAAGTAGAGAATCACGTTTTTAATATATTACAACGAAATGGTAAACAATTTTCGATTGATGTTAAGACTTGAAATGTAATACTTGAATTTTGAAAAAAATATTTGTAAAGATATACTGAGTGCCATTACTGTTCAAAATTCTAGATTATAAAATGTGTTAAGTGAATAGATAAAGCTGACAGTAATAATAAGTTAATTAAGGCAAATATTTGTGAATAGGGACGTTTTTGACTTTATTGGCATCATCGCATCTGGGCGTAGGGGCATTGAATAAGTATAGGAAGGCATTTTGTTGCTTCATAGGACAAAGCACTTTTCACATAGCTTTGTATTGAAACATTCAACATAATGTCTATATTATTCAAATAACATAGTAGCTGTATCTAATGGAACACATTGGATATTGGATAAGCCTATCATATGTAACCTGCAAATAGTAATTAATAGTATCTTATCGATTTCTTTATCCCTCGATGCCAATTACGTTGTATATTATACTGATCTACTATTCATCAGTCGCATTGTCTTCTATAAGGATTATGGCTGGCAATGGCATGGCAATGTTCTCTCGAAACTTCCTTGATTTTCTCCTTATTCCCCAGTTTAAAGTATTCATCACCCCAACAATGGGCGCATTATATGTAAGATCAGTGAGGAATCGAAGCCCTTTAATTTAAAAGAATTCGGACAGTCCTCGATTTTTCACAAATTATACATGTTCTCGGGGAAAGGAACTCAAATATTTTCAGAAGCAAAGTTATTCTGTTCATCATAACTGTAGCGTTTTCTAAAGTACTGTATACAATAAGTTTATTGATTTACAATGGTCGCTATTTGTATATAGTATTAGGAACTACATACATTGACATTATAAACGTGGTCTAGTACATTAACTTTATTTCTATGTATAACATCAATGGGAGGTTTAAGACGTTTTAATGTGAGGATGATAAATTGACAAACTAATTGTAAGTGATAAGGAAAATAAAACCCATTCAATGGACCATTGATATAGATATTTGGATCATACTTCATAGTTATCTCATTTTATTTTCAGATTCGATTTAACTTAGAGCTTATATCAGGAACACTATGGCTTTTGCAATACCACGTTGTAAAAGTCCAGTCGGTTGGAGCACCACAAATAACGATTACGGACAATGTTACATAGCAGGTAGACGAGGAAATGGTCTCTACAAGAAATTCCACTCCAAAAAAGACACAAGTCGACCTTCGACTGCGCATGCGCGGTTTACTTCAACAAAGGTTGGACCTGCGAGATTTCAGTCAGCAAAGAGTGCGAGACCAAGAAACCCTACTCCACACGCAAGTCAAGATTCTATGCTTACCAAATTTAGATCTATGACAGAACCCGGTACTGACCCGAGTATCTATTTCAACGGGCCCCCCTATCTCGAGAATTATAGAGCGCCAGAAATGAAAACAGCCAGGGAATATTTACAAGATGCAGATGGATATTCTGGATTCTCAACCCGGAGGAAGTATAAATCTCCAGATTGCATATCGTATCAAAACACTGGAACAGTCGGACGCAAGCACGTTTACCCACCAACTCCACCTACCACCAGATCAAAGAAAACTCAGGTTGAATTAAACACCGACAACACTAGACGATTCGGAGGAATAACTCCGAAGCCTCCAAACAGATCTAAAAGGTCCGTGGGGACAAATACGATACGAAATAAGTTCAAGGGTGCGCGGACAAACAGACTAATGCCTAGACCCCCTGGGCAATATAAAAACGTTTACGATGAAGGATATCGAGATTACACATATAGTTACGGCGGTCCTGTCAACAATGCGGCCGGGTCGAGTAGCTACCTAGGAAATGTATTGGCGTCCAAGCTGCGGGCTCGTGATAGCGATGGCTACCCCAAGGATAACTTCGAACATTATATTGGCGTAAAGAATGCTTATGAGAACAACACCAGTGACCCGTATGCAAGCGCATATCGATCGGGGGATGACTATAACACTATGAGATATGAAGCAGACTTGCATCCTAGAACGTCACGTGATGCACTAGCTGGAACGTATGGAGCTACTTCACCGGTTTATGAACCGAGAATAACTTACGACAGTAATGACTATTCGTATGACACACATCTCACATCACGTGATGCATTAGCGGGATCTTACGGGGCTGAACCTTCTCATCACTACTCAACACGCATGCGTGGGGACAGTTTTGATTATCCAACTAGATCCCGTAACGGTTTTCTAAAACCGTCTGAACCATCAGCAGATATTAAACGGTTTCAAAGTGCCTTTTCTCCAAAATTTAAAGCAAAATATGGCACAAAATCTGTAAATTTTGACAATATACGTCGATCACCAAGACTTCATACATATCCAGCCGGTTATTCGGGTGAATATGATCGCCCTCTTTCAGCAAGTTATGTGTACTAGTTGACTGGACTAGAGTTTGCATTTGTAAACTACGTAGTTTTAATCTATTTTATAGTCTTTCTTTCGTAATTGTAATTAATTGTAATTGGCATGATCACAGATTACTCGTTTTGGCTCATTAGTTATAATCATGTTTATATTGGAGGGTTTTTCGGGGATCGTTACTTATTTGAAAACTAAACGTTCTAATCGAATCATTACTAGTGTATACATGGAAATGACTAAAACATGATGCCTATTTACAATATGTACTCAGTCGATTTAAAGAGGTCGCTACATGTTCACCGATATGGCTATGTGCAAATATACGTTTGCGCCATCTTTAAATCGAATTTGCGAAGAATGAATTTATACTTTTGTTTTAAGTCGCAAATTAAATAAAGTTTAACACGATTTAATAACGTATGGGTAAATCATCCACAATGCATTGATACTTCTCTTAGAATGTTCTTATTATGTACTATTCCATAATAACATATTTTCCTTGGGAAATAAACTGGGAGTAAAAATGATATTTAAAAATCCCGTATCAGATCCCGTATCAGCCAAAATACCGTATCAGATCCCCTAGTGGATCCCATATCAGCCGAAATCTTGTATCAGATCCCGTATCAGTACTATCAGAAAAGTTCATGAGACTAAATAATGTGTTTCCCTCGAAATAAAATTCATATTCCATCCCTCTCAATAAATAACCTCTATTTATTTCTTGCATCAACTTTTGAAATACTGAGTTTTGATCCCGGTGTTCTGAGTGGCTGCAATCGGACACACCTTGCCTTTTTGTAAAAGATTACATGACGCATGATACTATAAGTTATTGAATGATTTGAAGTGCAATACAGGATATATTCTGTTCGAGAAATTCCGTATTGGAACAAGACGAAGTCGAGTGCCAATACAGAATATCGAGACAGAATATATTCTGTATTGCACTTCAAATCATTCAATAACGTTTTTATCGTGTTATCCTCTGTATTGCTACTGAGATTGTCTCCTCCGTACCAATATTTTCTGTATTGCGACGGAGATGATCAACGCGGACAATCTCAGTAGCAATACAGATTGGTACAGCACAAGAACTGACCAATCAGAGGGCTTCATTTTACAGATCATACGATAAATTGGATAGATGCTACTATTCATGAAGTATTTGCAATATATTTCACTTAATTTATACCATTGTGACTATCATGGTATGTAAATACTGTATGTTGCACAGCTAGAACAACAACATACGTAGGCCTACGTTGGTGCCGTTATTTTGTATTAGATGTTTATATGAATTAAGATGCAATATAATAAAATTATACGAATGAATTAAGTAAAGTTGTTTGCTTTTACGTGTTCAGTTTTTATCCAGTCCTTTAACCCAAAATTCAGGGCTACGTTGCCAAATGGTTGAAAAGACCCTTGAGTATGAGTAATATTAAGTGTCTTGAATATAGAGATTATCCTGTAAGAGGTTCATGGTATGGGAAATATGGAGAAACAATAGCATACTAGTTCATATGATATACGTGATATACATATATCTTTGAAAAAGTTGACCCTTTTACCTGTTCAACTGTCGAAATCAAAATTACAATTTTTGACATTTTCTATAGATGGTGTATTCAACAAATAGCAATTTTGATTTTAGTGGGGAGTTTCGATGCAAACTCTTTTGCTTAAAAGAGGACATTCGGGTATGATGGCATAATAGAGAAACATAATAGAGGCCACACGTCTTACTTTTTACATCATACTTTCCGAAATACATGGGGGGGTGCAGCCATGCTTGTGTTTTTCCCTTCTGGACATTCTAAGCGAATTGTTTCTGTACATACGGAATATATACAGTTAGACTAGGAATCCTCTTAGCTGAAGTGACATATCTTTTGAATTATAAAACTATTTTCAATTACTTACAAATTCACAACGCCTATAAAGATGAGCGAATGATTGCTATACACAAGAAACTTTATTTCATTACATTTTATCATAGCATTACAACACAATACATCTTACGGTATATGTCATTGAACAAATTCAGAAGAATTTGTTTTGTATTATAAAACCTTGTTTATTACTACCTATTGTATTTACGAGGACGTACAATGATACAAATATAACAGCACTAGTGCCAAAGGGAAAGGACTAAAAGTTGTAATGGAACTTAGCAAGAAAATGCAAACTCTAAGTGCATACCAGTCAAGAAAAACAAACCCCATATAGCCCAAAACCATGATCTAACGTGAAAAGAAACAATGTCAAATACCCCCTTTCCTCCACCATTTAAGAACCAATATCATAATCAACGACCAGAAGACCAAGGGACATTTCATTCATACTTCATTAGTCAATACAATACTTGTTGAAGAAAAAATTAGAAATTGATAGCCAATACTCATAACCTCAAAAATAGTTGTAGATACAAGTACTCATACAAGATGGGGCATTCAGTCTCTAATGATGTGGGATAGATAAAATACAGTCTCCAAGTCCATAAGCGTTTCAAAGGGTCAACATCCATTCACAAAAGCCGTCGCCATAAAACTACACATACAGCTGTACATAACGCAATTCGCATATAAAATATTTTTCAGTTTCTGTCCGACAGTCAAAAAATCAATTTTTAGAAAAAGTTCAAATCCCTCAATCAAATCATTTGGTGTACTTACTCATATTTACATCACTTATTTTTTGAAGTCAAATGCCCATTTGGTAGTCAGTAGGCAGATATTCGAAATTGGATCCAAATGCAATAAGAAACTCAGTCAGTCATTTTCTTGAGAAAAGTTGTATTTTTGAAGGGGTGATTAATATCCAAAAATATAAATACACAGATTCAAATGTGATAATCCAGTTTCCAAACTATTATTCTAAACAATTGTAATTTCGCACAATGTAATAAATGTAATTAACAATCTAAAGCATGATGGTCGAGTTTACAAACTATAATGACTTGTCATGAGATTTTTTAGAATCATCCACCATTTTGAAATTTAGAGGATTGATCAGAAGAAAATGTAATTGGACATGGTTCTACTCAGCTCTCTGACGAAAGTCATCAATCAAAGAAAATAATACATTTTCAAAATAAAAACCACTGTATTTATATCCAGAAAATACTTATGGTGAAATATATATATATATATATATTTTTTTTTTATTTTTTTTTATTGAATCAAACATAAAATAATACATTAAACAAGGCAATGATAAAATATTAAACCACTTTCACACCACCTCCATTCATTCAGACATTCGCAACAGTCATACCCAGAAGTTCTGGTATATACATAAACATCACTGCTACCCACCTAATTACACAGACGTATCGTCGGTGTATCATGGCGGAACTTCCTCCGGGACTAGGTTTCGGTAAGATTTTTTTATTTCCCGATTTACACCTACTTATAAGTCACGTTGTGGATAATAATTTGGCTCGAAGTTAAGGAAGATAGTCTAGTTTGAGAATGTGTCGATGGTTTTAGGTTGTATATGTTAACAAAGACACAATTCACGTATTTAGTCCCTCGCTTTTCTTACACTGACGATCGGCATTCATATTGCCAATATTACACTGACATTGGTCGTTCGTCAGTGTAAGAAAAGCGAGGGACTAAATACGTGAATTGTGTCTTTGTTAACATATACAACCTAAAACCATCGACACATTCTCAAACTAGACTATCTTCCTTAACTTCGAGCCAAATTATTATCCACAACGTGACTTATAAGTAGGTGTAAATCGGGAAATAAAAAAATCTTACCGAAACCTAGTCCCGGAGGAAGTTCCGCCATGATACACCGACGATACGTCTGTGTAATTAGGTGGGTAGCAGTGAACATGGTATTTTCAAATTGAGTCACGTCCAAGTTGGGATTTACCTCATTAAATTGTTTTGCATATATATAATATTTGATTGCTAGTGATAGCCTGTTTAGCAAAGTGTTTTCATTATTTACAGATCTTCCGAATACCATATCATGGGCATTAAAATTAAGATTTACATTGAATAATTTCCCCAAATTCTCTTTAATAGCTTTCAAAAAAAGCTGAACCCGCCTACATTCCCAAAACTTGTGCTTTAAAGTGTCTCTTAATGGACAGTAACTACATCTAGCATCCTGTTTAATTCCTATCTGCGTTAAGTAAGCATTTGTGGTACAAATACCATGTAGAATCTTAAATTGAAGTTGTCGAATTTTATTTTGTTTCGTGCAGCTATAAGCCATTTTAAAATAATCTATTCTTCCTAACTCACGATCATGTTCATTTTTATATAGTGGTTCCAAATATTTGTTTCTATTTAATATTTTTTGAATTGACTTCACTGTTAAACCATTCAATGACACTGGTTTTTCGCCAAGTGTTAAATGCACAAGATCCGTTTGTAGGCTCGGTTCAAAAACTGAAGTTAAGTCTCGCTTCAATAAACGTTTCCACTCCTTCGGTACAGCTGATATTATAGCATAATAATCAATAAAATTAATTTGTACGTTGTATTTTGCCTTAAAATCATAATACTGTAAAAAATGTCCCTGGTCATTTAGGAGGTCATTTACGTAAACGACCCCATTATCCATAAGATGCTTATTTATGACCTCTTTGTTATTAATTAGGACAAATCTATTATTCCAGAGTATTTCACTTTTAACTTCAGAACTAGTTCTTGGAGCTTGCATATTCCTTATATCAGAGTAAATTTGTAAAATATTTGAGTAAAATTCTGGCACGTCGTGGGCTATTGTTTTAATATCAAAATTACATTGTATAAAGAACTTAATTCCCCCAAGCGGTTTAAAGTACAATTCTGGAATATATTTCCAATGACTTTGTCGAGGTTCGATTAATCTTTTTAGCCATATCAGTTTAAGTGCTTTTTCCATTGAAAACATGTCAATCATTCTCAGACCACCCTCGTCGTAATCACCAATTAAAGTTCGTCTCTTAACCTTTTCCGTTTTTCCACCCCATAGGAATGAATAAATTATCTGTTGTGCCCTTGTTAATATATCATTTGGGGTATTTGTCATTGACATGGAATATACCAGTTTAGAAATACCAAGCGTTTTAATTATCAGAACTCGACCATATAAAGTTAAATTTCTTCTTGACCACATTTTCAATACTTTTTGAATCGAGTCTAATTTCTTCTCAAAGTTAACAAAATCATTTGATTTCTTATTATATGAGACACAAATTCCCAGAAATTTACTTGGATCTTTAACCCATTTTAAACCGTATAACTTATCCTCAGTTTTAGATCTTTCTGAACCAATATACATACATTCTGTCTTTTCTTTGTTAATACATAATCCAGAAATATCTTTAAATTCATCAAAAATGTTTAAAGCCAGTTTAAGAGATTCTTTGCTATCTACTGTCAGTGTTGTATCGTCAGCAAATAACTCGATCTTTTGCTCATTGTTTCCCAAGCGGATTCCTTTAATAGTCTGATGTTGTCTAATTCTAATTGCCAGGACTTCTATCACTAAGATAAATGTCAAACAACTCAAGGGGTCCCCCTGCCTACATGATCTTTTAATATCGAACCAGCCAGTTGATCTATTATTATTCAAAACACAACTCTTTATATCTGTATAGAATAATTTTACCCATTTAATTAGTGTGTCCCCGAAATTAAAAAGTCTCAACACATGTTCTATATACTCGAATTCAACACTATCGTAGGCTTTAAAAAAATCGACCATGCAAATAATGCCTGGAATGCACTTTTTCTTAGAATATTCAAGAATATCCTCTAGGTACCGTATGTTTTCGCCAATAAAACTTATGGTGAAATATATGATTGTCTTAAATCACTTGCCATGCACATGGACCTTCATTATATATGGGCGAAAAACTTAAGAATACGGTCGACTGAGAAGATAAATGGATTTTCGACCGTCGGACAGCATCTGAAAATTATTTTAGTAAAGATTAATAGTAATCATATAATTAGTAATTTATACTGTACGTACAATAAATAATTGTCCTATTGGATACTCACCCTATGGTAATACAATTGTTGGCGTCTTTTCAAATACCTAAGTTCTTATAAATGCGGCAAACCTGGGTCACATAGGCGTGAATCCAGGTACGCTTAACGGATATAAGTGTGATCAATTTCATAGTTTGAGTACATATAGTTCGTAATACTCATGAACCGACTTCTTAAAGTACTTTAGTCAGACTATGAGTGAAGCGTGGAAATACACATAAATTACCACACGTTTCTTTAAGCGTTTTATTAACAGCTTTGATATACGATGCAATCTTGAATGTATCTTGTTTCGAAAACGGATTGAAAAATCCACTTGTGTTTCTATGGTGATTACCCTCGGAGTTACAAACAGTGCATTTGAGAATATCTTCTGATATGTTAAATCCAAGAAAACGACCAATTCTTAAAAGCTCGTGTCTTAAATTTGTTTTAAGATTCTCGTAATGCACAATTAATGACGTATTATCAATTTCATATGCCTTTAACGCAAAGAGTGTTCCTTTTAACCATACGTCTCTTTTTGTAGCACGTTCTCTCAAAAACTTGTTAAAACGTGCCCCCATCTTCTTTTCGTTAAATATGTCTTCTGTGATTACCGACACATGATCCCCATTAACTCGTTTAAACTCTGCCATTAAAGCATCGAATGGGTTTCGTAATATGATAATGGCGCGTTGATATCTTCCACTGCCCAAGGTATGCACTATGTGCGTTTTAACAACAACGACATGTCCGTCTTTTTGTCCCTCGCCAGGAAACCCATTGGCTTTCAACACGATGTCATTGTACACTGCCCCAGTGTATATACCTAGAAGACAAATAGTTTATGTTATTTATAGCCACTATTGATTGTTGATATTTTCAATTTCTGTTCAGGTACTTCGGTCAGCTAATGTGTGATCATTTCGACAGCATTTATGTGTGCTTTTTTGATGACAACACACCTACTACAATGTAAATACATGTGCAGTCTTTGACAAGTTTTGTTTGTGGTAATACGAACCGAAATTACATCACATATAGTGCAAATATGATTGCGATGATTATTTTCAACCTACATAAAATATGTTCGAGATCAGCTGTTAAAAGAGCATTGATAGATATTTGCTATACATGCAATGGGACTCTTTAATTTTCTATGCATAGTACACGGGATACTAGAGTATCCGCGTATATTGAGTATGACCGGTTCTAAGCTTACGAGTGTGACCGTATTTCTGTTCCTATAAACAGACGAGGTGAGTACTTGCTTTTTATGAACACTTTCGAACGTTTTCTTTTTATCCTACTTGGTCAATGAATGATACTTGGTATACTTATAATGCCAGGCATATCACAAGGGGCCTTAATCAACAGAAAACGTATTAATATTAGATTGAAGCCGTAAAATCCTAGTTTCCAGCATCTTTGATCAGTTTTTGTCTAACACAACGCAACTCCGAAGAGGATGACACATCTTATGTATAACATATAGCTAGATCTACGATTTAGTCATGAATATTTTAAATAATTTAGCCTGCTCTGTCTAAATATGATACATCTTTGAATTTTTGAGAATACGAATGTCACTGGTGCCCCATTATTGGAGAATACGGTTGTGAAATGTCTTGGATGCCGTGTTACACTCGTTTCCATGACATTTCACAAGCGTATCCTCTGGGAAAAGATAAATCCTTCTCTTGCTCACTCTACGGGGGATCATATAAACTGAGATTTGGAGATCTTGTTCAGGTTAGCCATAAAAAGGTTTGGGATTTGTTTTTTTCTACTGTGATATTAATGATTTGGCTCTAAGGCGAGAAATCTGTACTTTCTGATTGATATTCCATTATGAACAGTTACATTGCTAAAATAGCTCATGTTTAACATTTTCTTGTTACATTACTATTAAATACAGCATAAACTATATTCAACAAACACAATTTCAAAAAGGATAATATAGAAGTTAACCTTTATTTTCCATTTTTAAGCAGCTGTGCCTCTCATGACTTTCCAAAACAGGTCATATTCGTAGCCTAAGAACCGGTCATACTCAATATACGCGGATACTCTAGTTACCCGTGATAGTAGTTCATTTGCATTCCCTGGAGAAATCCTATGTTAAACATAGGGAAACATTTGATTCCGATTGGTCTATAATCAGAATTTCGTCCCAATATCTCTACATTGTTATAACTCACTTTTTGCAGTTTTGAGATAAGTATTACTATCTTTCTAAATTTTCCACGAGGTATTCATATCTGAGGTCCATTTCAATATATCTAAACTCCTTTTGGAGACATCCGGTGCCGCATTGTTATAAGTGCAAAATGAGGAAAAAAAGTTGGCCAACCTATATATCCATTTGGGTAGGCAGCAGAGCCAATAAGATTACATCATTTTGACCATGGGACTAAATAGTTATAAAAATGTCGAAATAATGGGACGATCACTTAAGTGTACTTAACATGTAATTAACAAAGGAGGTCATAATTCATGACACTATATACGTCATGTAGTATAAACAAAATGGAAGCAGATATGATATTATTTGAAACAAAAATAAAAGTTCATTCACTGAACTTGATTATAATTGCTGACTTGTTATACCATTACCAGTCAAAATGGAACATGAGTCATATTCTGTGTACTTAGATGTAGAGCAATTAACTCTAACTATGGAATGATATGCACTCTAAAGAAATTCTCTCTCTAAAATGTAATGGTAGTCAGTAGGCTAAATATATAAGCACTAGTGCCAAAGGGAAATGACCAAACGTTGTAATGGAACTTAGCGAGATCTAGACATATAAATCTAGACTCAGAAGTGATTTTAAGAATGCTGCCAGGGTTTTCGACAAACATTTTAGAGCTGCTAAGAGATCATATGATAAAATTAATTTAGAGGATATTGAAAATGCTTGTGTAAATGACCCTAAAATGTTTTAAAACTTCATTAAATCCACTGGCCCGAAGAGGAAAAACGATATTCCCTTTGAAACAAAGGGTTATGATGGTCAACCAAATGAAGTATGCAAAAATGATAATGTGAAAAGTATGCTTCATATATTCTTTAATTTATGTTTTGAAAATAGCAAAATACCAAATGTTAGAGCTATTATTTATCCTATACCTAAAGGATATAAAGATAAGCGTATAGCTCTTAATTACAGAGGAATACATATAGTCTTGTATATATAAGTTTTATAGCAGTGTTATTAATAACAGACTTGTCAAATTTTATGATTCAGAAGGTATTCTGGTTGATGAACAAAATGGCTTTAGACAAGGAAGATCATGCAATGATCACATATTTATTTAAACTCCATTGTTCAAAATTCCATTGAAAATAAATCAAGTATATTTGCTGGGTTCATTGACCTCCAGAAGGCGTTTGATTTAATCGACAGGAATCTACTATTTTATACACTTCTAAGAAATATCAATAGCTGTTATTGTACAGATAACACATTAATCGTGGGATAAATACAGATATTCAACTCTACAGAATTCGATATTTGTAATTTTTTATTTAATTGTTTTTGTAGCGCTTCAGTTCATTGTATTAGTTGAAAAGGACCAAGATGTGATCCTAAACGTCTTGAGAAGTTTAAAAATAAAGGTTGTGAAAAGAAGAAAATAATTTTGTGATTTAATGATCCAACCTGAAGAAAATGTTTATTAATATAATACTCCTATCACAATATACACACATTTTCATCTGAATTTATAAGTATCAAAGGAAGCATTATTTCTGGGACAACCCTCGTAATACATGGATACTATATTGAACATTTGTCATCGAACAGTTAATTTAGTTTTAAAACTATTTTAACACCCTACATTGTGTCAACGTTATGTCGCGTTACCATGTATAAATGGCTATAAAAGTCATAATGCCATGTGCGTATAGCCAAAAGCTGTAACTATCACGCTAATACATTGCAATTCGTTCTTTTTTATGTACACAATAAATACGTGGACATAAACTTTTCCATTAAAAAGTTAACGCTAATGTGTACAACGTATTTTACATAACATTGATGGACATGGGGTGTCAGATGACCCCCCTGGCGTTTCAAAAGTTAAAGAGGTACGGTAAAAAGTGAGGTACCATATTATCATTCAAAACTCTCGAGGAAGGTGTATTAAAATCCTAAAAAGTAGGTCAAATGGGGTCAAAAGTAGGTCAAAGTAACACAGGGGTCAGCTTTTTCGCGTATTTTTTACTTTTTTTTTTTATATATAGTCAAAACAACATACACTCCGCTCCATAAGTTTAGCAACCTTATTAGCTCGTTTAGCTTATGTCTTAATAGGGATGGTGTGAATTTCAAGCAATTTCTGAAAAAATCCCAAGTTTCCAACATCCTAATTTAGCCACTTTTCCCCCGATCAAGTCGATTTTTTCAAAAAAAGGATATTTTATCTGTAGCTATAGGCTATAATAATGATACACAACATTTTCATCATATTTTAGAAATCGAGTCCATGAGACTCAAGAACTGGTTTTACCTTACCTTATTCTTCGGCCACAGTGTGGCCTTACGCTATCATCAAGCCCTGTTTGTTTTATTGCTTTTTACTCTATCCCGTGTGGACTGTTGCTATACATTAACTCAAATGTAATAAACATACCTTTATTGAACTTCTATGAAGTCTTAGTACATATGACCATCTACATCGGCTTTTATTTAGAGCAATCTTTTGAAAAAGATCATTCGGTAAAAGCGGCCATTTTGTTTTTCGCTAAAGCGAGATAAAGATCAACCTCAACAGATGTTTTTATAAATGGCAGACCAAATGATTTTAAGTTTAGACGAAAGCATGCAATATCTCACAAAGGATAGTATTCGTTTACATTCTATTTGATGAAATTTTCTCATTACAAATTTTAGAGTAACATTTCAAAAATCTCACTCCAGAATCACCTCTTTCACATGCCATGTCTTCTAGTCAAGTAATTTGGCTAGAGACTCGAGTAAGTTTTACCAACCTGTTATTTGTTGTATAAGATGTCTCATCCATGTATTTCCAGACCCGGGAAAACTGTAAAGTGCTGTAACAGGCAATAACCTCTTGGAGTAATGTAAAGGCTGACAGGTGCTAATTAAATCAGTTGGTTGGCATTTGTATTGAATCTCGCTATGTACGACGCTGGTACTACCATCAACCGTCTCTTTTGATACTTCAAACTTGCTTGCGTTGTCATTTTCGGTGTCTTGAGAGAAACTTCTGGAAACGACCGTGACGTATTTTGGCTGTTTCCCCTCGTTAAGCTGTTTTGTAAACATTTCTTGTACATTTGTTACATCTTTTTGAAGTAACATTTTGTTTAATAACATAATACAGCAAAAAGTCAAAGCAATAAATATCAAGATTGGAAAAGATTTTTTTCTCATTATTATGCTACACTTATCGCATATCATGTTAATTAAATTTAATGTGTTTTACTGTGCGTAATTATTTATTTTACTTAAATGTACGAGGGGTGATCCAAAAGTCTTGGACGCCCTGCTCTAACTTTGCTATTTTCTAATGTAATTACATGAAACTTTCAGATAATAAAGATCAACATCTTAACAACTTTGTGTATAAGTTTCAACAGAAACTAATAAAATTTAGCTACTTTTCTGAATATTTTTTAATACCGGGTCCCTGCCACCCGGAACGGTATTTAAATATAGCAAATCACGTCACAACTGTTTTAATATGGGAAATACTTCAGGTGCAGGTGCACAACCTAACACCAGTCATGATATGAGAGAATTTCCGATTTTCAGTCTGAGAGTCATCTGCCATTATCATCTTCACATATTAAGACCTTCTTTTCAACATATTTTCCATGAATTTGAACACATTTTTCACACCGCTTTACCAATGAATGAAAGACATTTATGAAACCCCCATTGCTTATGTGATATAAATGCTGCTGGAGTGCCACTCTATTCTCATCCGATGAGTCAAAAAACATTTTCTTCCAACCCTCCTTTCAACTTGGAGAAAAGGAAGAAAATCACACTGAGTCATATTTAGACTGTATCGTGCATATGGAAGCTGCTCAAGGTCAATAATAGTGACAATATGTTGTAGAATTCTTTGTTCCACTTTGATTTCTTTCATGTTCTGCATCTCAGCAGCCACCTTGGAGCGAAAATGATACCAGAATGAGGGTTGATTGGCTGATGTCATTTTCTTAGTACTTTACATATACGGCCATTGTCATATGTGACATTAAAATTAAATCACAATTAATTGGTTGCCTAGTAACAAAGGAAGTAAACTAACATGGTTAGACATTCAAAATTTAAGGAAAGATAGTGGTCAAGACTTGCAAAACAAGTCAAATAGCGGCAACATTTAAGGCTGAAAGTTGCCATATGTGAATACCGTTCCGGGTGGCAGGGTCCCTATATTGATAACTATCTAGAAAGCTACATAAAATATATCATTTCACCATGAAATTGATGCACAAAGTAGTTAAGTTGTTGGTCTTTATTATTGGAAAGTTTAAAGTTATTTTGTCAAAAACCAACAAAATTAGAACAGGGCGTCCAAGACTTTTGGATCACCCCTCGTATACAGAAACGTTTCTGATCGGATGTATCTCTAAACAAGTGCCACTTCGATAAGTCTATGCGTCGTGTATCTATTTTTAAAATATGTTCGATCGGTGATGTATTCTACTGTGTGAAGCATAAATACACTCCCCTCCATAAGTTTGGCAACCTTTTTTCCCCCATTGAACTACGTGTTAAAGCCTCTTTACCTTTGAATTTTTATTTACTTAACCTGCAATAAAAATACTTATACTATTGATGGTAACGTAATTTGACTTTAATTGCAATATCTCCAAATTTTCTCAATTTTTTCCTCAATTACAATAGGTCGAAAATTGATGATAAATTTGATGAATTTTGGAAAATCGACATTTCCATGTTAACCAATGGGAAATGGTAGGTTTGCCGCAAGTCATATGACAGAATATCCATCCATCCGAGTCCTTGCAAAAAATACGAGTTAGGCAGGCAATTGAATTTGCTAACTTTATTTAACAAAAAATTGATATGTTTCTTCAGGTTCAACAAAGTTATAGGGCTTTAAAGTCAAAATTGTTTTTCAAAAAACCTCTCCCATTGAAATAACACAGGAGGCGAAAAATTATTTTCAAAAATGACTTTGAAGCGCTGTAACTTTAATATTCATCAAATAAACTTATCACTTAGTGTTCAAAAAAGTTAGACAATTCAATTTTCTATATAAAAATATTTTTTGCTGAATCTTTTACTGAAAAGATATCCTGATTTCTGATTTGCCCCGAACCCTCCATTTCCCATTGGATTACATGGGAATGACGATTTTCAAAAATTCATCAAATTTATCATCAATTTTCGACCTATTGTAATTGAGAAAAAAATTGAGAAAATTTGGAGGTATTGGAAATAAAGTCAAGTTACGTTTCCATTAATATTATAAGTTATTTCATCGCCGGTGAAGTAAATAAAAATTCAAACGTAAAGAGGCTTTAACACGTAGTTCAATGGGGAAAAAAGGTTGCCAAACTTATGGAGGGAGTGTAAATGTTTATCACGATAACCATCACAAAGCAATCAAACGCACGCAATAAATGACAATTATGTATTGAGGAGCATCTCAAAAGATTATTGAATTTGAAATTCTTCAATCCCTAGATTACATGATAAGCCATATTTTAGCGGAATCGAATTAGGATGAAACACTTCTACAAAAATAAGTAATTCTAGAACAACACATTTTGTAAGATGTTATCAGTGTATGCAATGGCATGGAGCAGAAATAGATAACAACCATGTATCATTTGTGAAAGAAATATATTTAATTACTCAGTCCACGTGTCTGTGTGTTTCTAGTTGAATCGAACGTGCAGTAGTGACGACACTGTTGTAATTTAAACTTAAAATTCAAATTTCCGCTTTAGGTTACGACCTTATGATATATCAGATATCAGTAGAAATTGTAAAAAGAATTTACCAATGAACAATCAGAACGTATGTTTATTTATACAGGGTGACCAATAAAACAGGACGAGAGTAGAGTTGATTTAGTCGGTCAATCTCACATATTCTGCCTTGAAATTACAGAATTTTTTAGTTATTCAATTTTCACGAGCCATCCTTCATTCAAAGGACTTCATTTATTACTTGATTCATTTATGGAAAGAAGTGAAATACCCTTGGACCAAGGATGAGCAAAAGGGAATGAACTCAAAGTTCTTATGAAACGTAGCAAGAAAAATCATACTCCGAGTTTTAAACAAGCCATAAGAAAAGCAAACCCCATATCTTCCAAAAATTGTTGTGAACGTTTGATGATTATCTGCCCATTGAGTCGAAAACAATAGTATCTTACAAACAACAAACAAACAAACGCCAAGTCATTTAAAACGCCATGATTAATGTATAATAATTATAATCTAACCTTGATGACGTAGATGTACTCAAGAACGGACTTGTAAGTAACTCGGTCAGACTCATTCTGATACTCATTACATCTTTCTGTCTTCAACTAGAAATATGCTAGTGTGAAGCCAATAGAAGGCCATAATAGCGTAAATTGTGACATGCTGAAGCCCAACCTAACCATACATGTTGACGATGAAACAGCTGCTGCGAAGAGCAAATCATCCATAATCACCAGATTAAGCACGGCGATGTCTAAAAAGTCATCTTCGGCGATATCGTCGGGGATGCCTTTCACAAATTCTATATTGGGAATAGTTTCCCTGATTCTTCGTAGAAGAGTTGCCAATGCCATTGTCTGTAGCAATACACTATCCTTCTCGGTATGGGTGTCATCGCAAAGTCAATATTTTGCAACAGTTTCTTCACCCATACCGTTTTCCCACTGGATGTCAGGCCACTGGCGATCAGGGTATACGGCATGGATGAGGAGCAATGGTGCTGATGTGGAATTTCGCCCGGACATTGTTACGTTTAATGTGTTTCCTTCGCGTTGATGGGATTCTGGTACTTTCGATTATGGTTGGACAAGCCATGCGCAGATTTCAGGTTCTGAGAAAACTCTAATATCTTTTAAATGTTTTATTGTCTATCCCTATTGTCGGCTCCCCTAAATCGAATGAGCTGATAGTCCAATTCACTAAGATAGTGTAACAAATTTTTACTTTTCAAATTTTCGATTATTTGTAGTCCAGTTCCATTTTATCAGTTTTCTTACAGTTAACTCAGTGAGAAAGCGTTTTCCAGTTTGGTTGGCAAGTAGTATACTTACATGAATGTATGTGACACTAAAGCAGTAGGCAGAATCATGTAAACTGTTCGATTTTGTGAGATTGCTTTTTGCTTTCATTTGTTTACATTTTTCTCATCTTACTTTTGAAGAGCTATCTTGACCTACATTCAATTACTAGTTTTTTCGGTCAATTTCGACATGATTATAACCAATGATGATTGGTTTATGTTATATTTATTTAGTTTATACATTTATCTAGTTAATTATATACTAAACATGTATTAATGTTACATTAGATAGCACAGATTGTGAGTTCTAAGTGAAGCCAGTTATTTTGCACTATTCATATCCTGATTGCATCATAGTAATTGTACACCAGTCTTGTCCTGTCCAGGGGCCTAGGTATTGCATCAGCCCATGTGCTGATCATGAGTGAATACAGCAGTGTACACCTGTCTGGGGTATAAATCGAGACGACCAGGTGACTCAGCAGGCACTTTCTAGCTGGAACTGAGAGAGGACAGACCTGTGTGCCTCCAGGGATTGACGCTTGATGGACTTAGGCTAATTCTACGCATATATCTGATGGACTTAGAAGATTTACATCACATATATTGAGGGACTTAGATGATTTTACCCTGATGTACCTAGAGGATCTTAGGCAGATTCTACATATACTGAGAGGCACTTAAGAGGAATTAACCTGCGGTACTTAGAGGATATTACCCTGGTATACTTAGAGGATCTTAGGCAGATTCGACAAACCCGTTGAGGGACTTTGAGGATTTTACCCAGAGGTATTTCGAGGATCTTGGACAGATTCAACACATCTACAACTTGATGAACTTAGAATATTACCAGCTTGAGGGACTTAGAATATTCATCGCTGGATAGAGGAACTTAGTAGATGTCTTACATCTACAACTTGATGGACTTAGAATATTCATAGCTGGCTAGAGGAACTTAGTAGATTTCCTACATCTACAACTTGATGAAGTTAGAATATTACCAGCTTGAGGGACTTAGAATATTCATCGCTGACTAGAGGAATTTTGTAGATTTCACACATCCATAACTTGATGGACTTAGAATATTCACCAACTTGAGGGACTTAGAATAGTCACTAGTTGATGCACTTTATATTTTGGTTGATGGACTTATGGTATTCATCGCTCATCTGAAGAACTTAGGAGAATTCCCTGCAACTTCAGTAAGAGGACTTAGGATATATGTGCATACATGAGGAACACTGTTCAGGACAAGACAATAAGCATTTGTGATAGACACTTTACTATAAATAGACAAGTAGTTTTACATAAAGGACTTTGATAACAGCATCTCTGAAACTGAAATTTAGTATTAACTATCGATTTATATTGTATTATTTTGAGGCGGAAGAAGCCAGAATATATGTTGTTAATTTTATATTAAATATTGTGTCTCTTTATTCATGCGTACATTTAACGTGTACCAAGTATCCTACGAAGTAACCTGGTCTGATTAATAACAACATCCACGCTACCACAAATTAGGCCAGACGTTACAATATATACAGTATATTAATATATTTATTTGAAAATAATTTCAGTATCTGTATGGATGAAATCTCAAATTGGCCATATTCTGTCGCCTTTCTCCAGTGACAGAGTTACGCTTTTTTGATGTCTTTTCATTTCTGGTCGAATTTCTAACTTCAACACCCTTTATTTTTGACAAAGGACGAATAACGGTGATGGCGCCATCATGAATAACGACTTCGTTTTTCTCAACGTGACTATCATTCCCTTTTTCAGGTTGCCTGACACCATCTATTTTTAAACGACTTCCAAGCACTCTCATTTCCAAGTCCGGGAGGTCGTCTAAAAATTCAAGCGTGTAGCTTATCAATTTCCGTTTCTTCAAATAGATTTCTAACTTGTATTCGGATGCTTTTAGAAACGTTGACCACTTATCAGGGTTATCCTCTCATCCTCAAAAAACTACAATTTCATGTTGACTGTCTGGTTAAAATTAATTAAATTGACTCCCTACAGAGTATCTCTCTTTTTTATACTGCTCAATATACTGTAGAAGTGGAAACTTTAACGACGTGGAAACTTTGGCGAAATTTAGCGTTAAAGGAGAGACGCCAAAATAAAAATTCGTAGAAAAATATGAAAAAATATCGGTGGGCGATAATACCGTGAAGAATACAGATCGAAATCCAGATGATGAATTTCGTTTCGAATACATAAATAATACATACATCAGTGCTTCCTCATCGATTTACAATCATAATTAATACCTATTTTGTTTTGCAATCATGTTTTGTTGCCCTAAATGATGAAAACAATACAGAAATAATTCGATTTTTCGATCAAAAAATCTGTTATTTGATTGGATATCTACTGTCACGTGACAACTTATCACTAACATGAATGATACGATTATTTTATGAGAATATACTAGTATTTATTCCTAATAATAATAATAAATAGAATAAAGTTTGATAGTGAATTAGCCGAGTTTGTTACTTATTTGATTGTTTGTCGGGTATTAACACCTACTGCATGGTTTGAGCACATTGATTGGGGATTACACACAAACATAAACGACTTATCTTTGATGGTGACACGCCATTCCTCGAAAGGCAAGTTAATTATAGGGCTAATAACGGTGATATAGAGCTAATAACTGTGATATACATGTTTACAACTCGGGGTTTACAAAACTGCAACCAATCGTGTTGGTGAATAAATGCTTCATGATAACCTAATAATAAGCTTAAAAGCTCGCCCAAGTAATTTTCAATTTTCTTGATTGCTGGTCCGGGAAAGTTTAATTCGGCAATAGAGTTTTAGGGACCATCTCGCTAAAGTTTTGTTTCGCTAAAGTTTCCACTTCTACAGTATATTTATATGATACTAATCGGCGATATTCCCGTTCATAGATTTAACTGTTTCTAGGACAGACTTGTAAATCAGTTCTGGACATTGTATTTAAGATGGTTATCACTTCATTGCCCGCACATCGCATCATGACACAATGGAGACAATAATACAAGCAAAAAGAGCTCGAGGAATCTTGGTATTGAACGTTGTTGTATTTTAGATTTTTTGTTTAATCCTCGGGTGAAATCGACATACTCGGATCCATAATGGTACGGGGCCTTTCCGAAGGAGTCGAAGAATTCCGTTTCTTTTCCAATATAGAGCACTAACCAATGCTTACCTGGAAGAGAGGCTATGCTTGAGTTGGCCATAACGATTTTCCTATTTGGTATCTAGGTAAATGGTCTCTCGAGTACATCCCTCCATACATATACCCGGTCCACGGGTGCTTCGTGATAGATATTATCTATCGTCGTGGAATCCATGATTAATGTATCTGTAGCAGTATATTTATCTGCTCACTTGGTGAGCTGTATGAAAAATGAATACAATCATTTCCACACATGACTTTATTGTAGATATTTTAGAGATATTTTATCTGATGAGTTACTCAAATAAGTAACCTAATTATAATTCTACTCGAAAGAGTCCAAGAGTCACTCGGATGAAATTAAATTAGACGAAGAATGACTCATATAAGTCAAAGTTAATAAATGAGTAATGAGTCACTCGAATGAGTTAATGAGTCACTCGAATGAGTTAATGGGTCACTCGAATGAGCTAAGGAGTTATTGTTATGAGTTGTTGACTCACTCGAATGAGTAAATCACTCGCATGAGTCACTTAAATGAGTCAAGGAGTTACTCAAATGAGTTGATGAGTTATTCGAATGAGTTGATGAGCCATTCTAATGAGTTAATGAGTTGCTCAAATGAGTCGATGAGTTACTTAAATGAGTAATGAGTCGCTCTTATGAGCTTCTCGAATGATTCAATGAGTTATTTAAATGAGTAATGAGTCACCCTTATGAGTTTGATGAATTACTCGAATGATTGAATGAGTCCAAATGAGTAATGATCAGTCACTCGGATAAGCAAATATGGATTACTCTTATGAGTGATGAGTCAATCTTTCAGATATAGAAATATCCCTACATTTCAGATACATGTAAACACGATTTATTGGGACACCCTGCCGACCGACCGACCGACAAATTGCGTCATAACATAACAATGTATATATTATTTTGTGGACTAAGGAGTCATGCCAGAAAATAACATACTATCATTCGAAGCGTTATAAGAACATTTTGAATCCGCCATTTTTGTTTGTCGATTTTGACCAATCAGAGACGTGGGTCATCTCAATAAAAATTTACATTATAAGCGTACGTCATCTTAGAACGCTGGGGTTATTCACTCTCCTTGATAAGTGAGATAAGGGCGTTCCTTTTTATCAGACTGTACTTGTCCAAATGGCATATGACATTCTAATCCCTATATAACTACTCAAGGCTTTATGGTACATTGAATGAAAGCTGTTATCGCTGGTTTTGTGCCGAGATAACTATCTGTTGCGTTTTTTTTGATACGCGCTGTATTGGATGCACAAGGGTGATATGAAAATTGAACCACTAAAAACAGATGAATATAAGTTAAAGGGAACATTTTACTGTACCCGCCATGCTATCTTAACCCGAATGAGCCACCTGGTGGTGAAACTGGTAACTACCTATTCGCATATGAGTCATTTGTATGAGCAGTCCCAGTTCGACACAAAGAAAAAACGATTTTACATATATTCTTATAGAATTCTTAACCCAATGCCCAATGCATCGACTTCGACATCACTATCAACGTTTAACATTTCATTAACTTAATTGTGTTTATTTCATGTTTTTTTTTGATAAACAGCAGAATATATACAACGTATTACAGTGTGTGTACTATACAATACAATACAATACAAAAATGTTATCAGCTAGGTATTAAATGCTGGCATTATTCTGTTAACCAAAGCAATACAAATTTTAATTTGGATGATTTTTATTTGATGCAACCCTTGTTAGTCTAGGGTTAATTAATAAAGGGAAAATCATCATACAATATCTCAAGATTTATAGATTTCTATTCTTAATGATTTTTTGTCTTTCTTGTCTCGTGCCACGTGACACATACAGTGTAATATATCCATCCATTTAAAAGTTGAAAAATCACATAATCTGGTGTTGCCTACCCTTTAATCAATGACACGTCATACACTTTGATGTATCTATCCATTAAAAAATATTGTGAAGTTTGAGATATGGTTTTGTTTGTTAAAGTCGTCAGCTAATCTCTGACATTCCATTTATAACGCATGATTAGAGAGAGAATCAGATATAGCGAGCAGCATAACAAAAACTTGTTTCAATTCTCGAATATTTCTGGCTTATGTCATTCCTTTTCATGTATATTTTCTAAAAATTCCCTTAATGCACACTTTCTTTCAGGAAAACTAACGATTTTTACAATAATGTATAATTTTTCTGTTAGAATGGTTACCATTCTTATTATTTGGGAGAATTTAGACATTTTTTCACACATTTTTGCACTTTGAATCCATGATAACTTCATCAATTTATATCATATCCTGAATCTTTTGGGAGGTATTGTATTTGAGATTGTAAGGAATAGATTGGTAGGTCAACTGTACATGTTGCTTGTAATTTTGTCATCCCCAAGATCTGATTCTGCCTTTAATGTGAGATTACAACAACATCGATTCCGAAGATATACTCAATAACGGATCTATTAAAGTAACTCAGTTAGAGTAGGAGTTGAGTATGGAAACACACACGAATCACCACATGTTTCTTTGAGCGTTGCGTTAACTGCTTTGATATACGACGAAATCTTGAATGTATCTTGTTTCGAAAATGGATTGAAAAATCCACTTGTGTTTCTATGGTGATTACCCTCGGAGTTACAAACAGTGCATTTGAGAATATCTTCTGATATGCTGAATCCAAGAAAACTACCTATTCTTAGAAGTTCGTGTCTTAAATTTGTTTTAAGATTTTCGTAATGTACAATTAATGACGAACTATTCGTATCAAATGATTTTAACGCAGACAGTGTTCCCTTGAACCATGCGTCTATTCTAGAAAGTAAAAAATTGTTAAAACGACGTCCCATATTTTTTTCTTTGAATACTCCTTCTGTAATCTCTGATACATGGCCTCCATTAAGTCGTTTAAACTCTGCCAAAAAAGCGTCGAATGGGTTACGTATAATGATAATGGCGCGTTTATACTTTCCTCTTGGTAAGAAATAAACTCGATGTGTTTTAACAACAATAACGTGTCCGTCTGTTTGTCCCTCGCCAGGAAAGCCATGCTTTTTTAAAATGGTGTCATTGTAGACTGCACCGGTGTATATACCTAGAACGAAAAGTTGATAGTATAATAGCCATTGCCCTATTGACAATTACACATTGCATATACTTGCATAAAACAAATATGAACCCTTTGCATAGGAGGATATACTGATACACTTGTGCTCCAAAAGTACTCTGAGTTGATTGGCCGAGACTTACTTCTTATATTTGAATAATGAATTTGTTGAACTATTTTCTATGACAAATTAATAATTGCATAATGCATACATACAAACTGAACATACTACGTGGTTTTTGTATTGTGTAAATTCCCGTACTATATTTTTAATTTTTACTTTGCCGCTAATGTTATTAAGTTAACAAAGGCATACATATACATTTGTATTTATATTAATATCTAGGAAATATAAATAAATTGAATAAAAAAACAAAAACAACAAATTAATCATTTGTAATAATGAAACATTTCCACAATACAGTTTAAATTAAATATTTAAACCTATTACTAGGTCAATAATTTTTATTGTTAGTACCTCAGTTGAAATACTCGATTTTGATTGGTCAACGAGCGGTGAATAATTTTAACTGTACACCGCGCAATGCATTGCCGGTGAATAATATTCCCAGCATTCCACTAAAATGACGTCATTATCAGACGATAAAATGGCCGCCGCTAGCACTAGCCGTTTCAAAAATGTTAAAGATGAGGATATTATTAGTCTCTTAGAGAGTAAAGACAGTATAGACCTCTCCATTCGGTTTACTGTCAAAATTATATCCCTCGACTGTAAACCTCGACCTACGGTCTCGGTTTACAGTCTCGGGATATAATTTTCACAGTAAACCTCTGGAGAGGTCAATAATTGTATATTAGATATTATTATTGGATTTACAAATACGTGTATGCTTTCAAACTGAACGTCCAAAATTCTATCGTAATATAACTAATCATATCAATTCGCATGTTATACTTTTCGATTAATTTTTTAAATGAATTCTCTATTTTCCAGAGAATGACGACTTCACGCGGAAGAAAAGGCATCCTATGTACCCCCACCCCCTATTCGTGTAAAAGTATTCTACGTGAATGCAATTCGGTCATAGAGGTGAATGATACTGGTAAACTAATTGCACCGTATACATGAATGAAGATAATGGGCGAATGATATTGACATAACAATAATAGGAAACTAATATTTGAATACATTTGATAATGAAACATTTTTTATTCTGTTTCAGAAACCAATTCCATGAGACTCTAACTTGTTTTACCAACCTGTTATTTGTTGTATAAGATGTCTCATCCATGTATTTCCAGACCCGGGAAAACTGTAAAGTGCTGTAACAGGCAATAACCTCTTGGAGTAATGTAAAGGCTGACAGGTGCTAATTAAATCAGTTGGTTGGCATTTGTACTGAATCTCGTTATGTACGTCGCTGGTACTACCATTAGCCGTCTGTTTTGATACTTCAAAGTTGCCTGCGTTGTCATCAATGGCGTTATTAGAGGCTCCTTTCGAAACACCAGTGATGTATTTTGACTCTGTTTTCCCATCGGGCTGTTTTGATAACATTTCTGGTGCTTTTATTATAGTTTCCTGAGCCAACTTTTGCGATTGTTTTATTAACATAACAAAGCAAACAGTTAAAAGAATGATTATAACAATTAATTGTTTACCCATTATTATGTAACACTTATCATATTTCATATCGTATCTCTTATCTCATTTAACATTTATTGTAATTGCAAACATATACAGAACATTTTGCAATTGTGGACTTAAATGAATGCATTTATATCTCAACAACTGCCACTTTTGTAACAATCTCAGATGTACAGGACCTTATTTAAATTTTAAACGAGCTTTCATCCCGTTCTTAACTTATGTAACGTGAGCCTCTTTGTGAACTTTATTCGATTGACTTTGTTTTATCTTTATTCAGGACATCGTAAACATACTTAAGCCTTTGAAACTGGAAAATCATATCTAGCATTCTAAGACAATAGCTCCGATGTGTCTATAGTTTTATCCATTGATGCATGTTATCCATAGATATCGGGCCAGATCATGGACCATGTCTATGTCTGTGTGTAGTAGTGTTGATTTTGTACGATTGGATCAATAACATAATAGAAAAAACAGCTATGCCCAACGTTTATGCTGACTTATCCGTATATGCAATAATTTTGGTTTGAAATTGCGCTGATAAATTGCACATATTATTGGATCCACTTATTTCATAGTATGGTACTTTCAACGTCTCTCATAATCCGGTGTCGCCTGCCCTATTGTGCAAACATTTTTACATTTTTAATAAAAAATCAAATATTTCATTGTACCCGTATGTGATGAAACACAAATAGATATTTAATAAATCAAATAACTCCAAACATTGAAACGCACATGATAACAATTTATGCATCGGGGAGCATCTCAAACGATAATTGGATTTTTGAAAAGAATTGCAACTAATGAATAAAAATACACTTATACTAGCTCAGAGGTTGAAAAGTTAATGTACAGGGTGACCCAAAAAATACAACCCTCCATTTATCAATATTTTTCTTAAATGGAGGTTAATTGCTCTGAAATGATTTGGCACACAAGGACGTCATTCAATGTGAGACCCTCTGGCAAAGTTTCAATAACCATAGTCTTATATTAGTAAAGTTATGGTCGTTCCAAAATATGCTCCAAATGTCGTCCATTTCCAATGTAAGGTTTTCGGATGAATCACATTCCCTTCTTGCTGAACATGTAAACTCAAGAGATAATGTGTTCTGAGATCACAAATTCCAGATGAAGTGCTTCAAAGGCCCCTTCATTCTGTTTAATGCACAGCTTGGGCTGCAAATTTCCAAACATGAAATCATTAGCCCCTTTTGGTTTGAGGTTGATAATGGCATCACTGTTAGTGTTAACACACAACGCAATATTGGCGTTCCCAGGAAGTTCTAGGCAGTTCTAGAGTGACATAGAGGCTTCAATAGACAAGAGCAGTGGTTCTAGAAGGATGGAGCTACGTCTCACACTTCTAATGATAGCATAGCCTAACTCACTACTCACTTCTATCAAAAGATTATCTCTCCTAGGACAGATAACCCATGGTCACCCCACAGTCTTGATCTCAATGCCCCTGACTTCTATATATGAGGCTATTTAAAGGATAATGTGTATGAAAATAACCCTACTGCAATTGCAGAGCTCCAACAAGCAATGGCTGCAAAAATTTGAGCCATGCCCATGGGGAAGAATGCATCCGTGTTATGAACAGTTTTCCCTGAACATCGCAAGTTTGTTTTCAGCGAAATTGACGACATATGGAACATATTTTTAGACAACCACAACTCTATCAATATAAGACTATGATTATTAAAACTTTAAACTTTTTTGAGGATCCCACATTGAATGAAGTCCTTGTGTGCCAAATCTCAGAGCAATTTACCTCCATTTAAGAAAAATTTTGAAGAAATGGAGGGTTGCATTTTTTGGGGTCACCCTGTAGGATTAGCTTAGTGTAAAGGCACATACCCCCCCCCCCCTACTCGGCAAATATATCTCAATTCTCCCTTTCGCGGTTCGCTCTTTGAATCAGAACGTTCGCGAATATGTTCTGAAAAAGCACTCAAAAAGGACAAAATTTGATTGGTCAATATTTTCCCACTATGCATTTCGCGTAGCTATTTGCGTGACCCGAAAGTTCTAAATCAAACTAATTACGCAATTTTGTTTTTACACCCGCACGCTAAATAAAACAATGACACCATCGGAAGTATTCTTCTTTGTCATTGCTTTAATAGTCAGTATACCGAGTTAATCAATAAAAGATTGTACAATGAACAACAAAATTCGGAAACGAGTACTATAGATTTGCTTTCGGACCACTGAACAGATTGACCTAGATAATAGCGACGCGTCTTCTTTGGTGTACTGCTCAGTTGTTTGTGGGTTTTCAACGTAACTATTACTCTATGATGTAATTTGAAGATGAATACTTTTATTCAGTTGTTGCATCGATGTTGCAGTTTGTAGTGTGATAAGATTGGCATGAAAGTATTGAAAGTCGAATGGAATTGTTTTTTCCAATATGGCGACTAGTCAACTGATCACGTGACCCTCTCTTCCGGAATATTTTCTCACTTTTCAATCGTCGTTTTCCCCACGCTATGAATCAATACAATGAAAAAAATAGCTGTTATATTAAGATTAATAAGAGATCAATCGTTAGTAATAATTTTTCTGTACTCTCGTGCAGGAATATGAACGAATATATCGTTTGAAAAATAGGTGTGAAAATCCCCTTGTTAAACCTATGAGGGAAAACAATGAAGTATAAATTTGTTCCTCCGCGAACTGCATCATGGGAAATATTTTGACCTTATAAGGAAAGATTTTCGCGTCTCCTCTTTTGAAGAGGGAACAACGATTTCGAGAATTACTAAATTTATCTTATGAGGGGTCCCTTCGCGTAGTACTTTTTATGTTAATGATCTGATATACATCAACAGACTCAAAGTGATATCTAATAGCAGCTTTACGTGTAGCTCTAAGGTAATTCAACAGATGTTGCATTGTGTAGCATGTTAATGTTAAACTACATGTGCATAAATTTTTCTAAATCGTTATTTTATAATTCAATTATCTAAGTAAATGCATTCAGCACACTGTTTAGTGTGTGTCAAAACAATACGTATACGAAATTGTATACGGTAAGTGTGCTACAATATTATGTGTATTACAAAATTTTTGAGTCTACTACAACATGTACGATTTAATACAACTAGTATGTGCTACAACACGTGCGTACTTCAATAGTAGAGAGGTTAAACTACATGTATTTAACAAAACTTGGGCGTGAACTTCAATGCGCGCGCAGATAAATGACGTCAGATTTGTTTATTTCCTGTGATCCAGCGTGAAGTTTACAGGTTTTTACATGAGATTATCATGTTGGTGCAATTTACAGACACGTATTCAACAAAGCATGGACGTGTACCTCTATGCGCGCGCAGGAAAATGACGTCAGATTAGTCTACTTTCTACAGGTAAGCGTGAAAGTTTTTACGTGAAGATAAGTGATTACACGTCGCTCATTACGTGATTGATTCTAGCTAAATGTTCTAGGATGGCCCAGGAACCCAAATTTGATACAGATAATTTCGCTTATTATATTGTTAAACCCCAACTCTTAATTGGAAGTAAGAATACATTTTAATTTGTAAATGATGACTTCAAATGTGATCGTTATGTTTTGTCTTATCACTACATTTGATTTGCGAACGAGGCATTTTCTGTGTATAATGTCCGCCCTTGATATGAGCAAAAAGTGAAACTAAAGTAATAGCTGGAATTGTGGTTGAATATGAAATGAAGCAAAAATAAAAAACAAAAATGTTTTGGTGCGACTAGATTTGAATATAACCATTGCGCCATAGAGGCGTGACCTTAAGGCATAGTCACCACATAAATATACCTCCACGTCCACTGACATGGTTTCAGACGTGTAGCCTAACAGAAAATTTTCTTAAACGTGTACTTGAGCGTGGACTTAGCTTAACCTCTCTATTGTTTAGAGTGTGCTACACTACGTACTCTATGTATTACAGTACCGTAGGGTGTACTACAATACGGTGTATGCACGAAAATACAGTATAGAATGTGCTACAAAACGTGCGTACTTCACTATTGTTTAGAGTGTGCTACTATACTCTATGTATTGCAATACCGTAGGGTGTACTAATACGATGCATGCACGAAAATACAGTATAGTATGTGCTACAATAGGTGTGTACTACAATATTGCTAAGAGTGTTCTACAATACTCTATGTATTGCAATACCGTAGGGTGTACTAATACGATGCATGCACGAAAATACAGTATAGTATGTGCTACAATAGGTGTGTACTACAATATTGCTAAGAGTGTTCTACAATACTCTATGTATTGCAATACCGTAGGGTGTACTAATACGATGTATGCACGAAAATACAGTATAGTATGTGCTGAACACGTGTGTACTACAATATTGTTTAGAGTGTGCTACAATACTCTATGTATTGCAATACCGAAGGGTGTACCATAATCCTGTGTATGTATTTTATCGAAGAGTGCTCTACAACACTGACGTATGTCTACTAAACACTACGCATGTACACTCCCCTCCATAAGTTTAGCAACCTTAGCTCCTTCATTGAACTACATTTTAAAACCACAAATAAGTTTCACAGTTTTTCCAATTTGTAGCAATTGCAATGACAGGAGGACATGTTTTATTTGCAATAAAGACATTCGTTTTTACTAATATATACGTTGTGATATCACTATGGATGTTCTCATTTTGCACTTGAAAGCATATTGTCGATGTTTTAGAGGGATGTAACTCTTTTTTACTCTGCGTTATCCCCTTTTACTTTTTATTTCAGATGTCATTGAAATCTGCTGTCTTTGCTTCATGCTTCAGGAACATATGTACTGTCACTACAATTATGAAGTGGCAGAACTGATGATGATGACTGAACCCTGGATGACAACTCCAAACCTGGGAGGCCAAAAATCTCACTTTGTCACGGTGGAAGTGCACGGCTAAGAGCGTACCAGGATTGGGTGAGGAGGCATCAAAAGTACATTACATGCAAAGGCTTATAGTTTGTGAAAATGTGAAATGGGACACTGTACAATAAACATCCATTAAATCTAGGATGTGCTCCTGGTAAAGTATCTTAAAATAATATTATATTTTTAGCATACTTCTTATAGCTACACAAAATGGTATTTATTGATTAATTATTTCATATTATTATTTTTTTTATTCCTTTTGACGAGACAAAAACCTGCTCCACCCTACCCAAACCCAAAATACATGTGGTATTAAAAATTGAAATGAAACTTTCTAGAATAATCAAAATATCTCTAGGGAATATACACTGGAAATTTTGTGAAAAAAAAGTATTGGTTAGAGCATATAGTGCATTACTTCTGGGACAACCCTTGCATTGGACAGATAATATTTTCTTTTATCGTATGATCTGTAAAATGAAGCCCACTGATTGGTCTTTTCTTGTGCTATACCAATCTGTATTGCTACTTAGATTATCCCCGTTGATCATCTCCGTCGCAATACAGAAAATATTGGTACGATGAGACAATCTCAGACTGTAGCAATACAGAGGACAACACGATAAAAACGTTATTGAATGATTTGAAGTGTAATACAGGATATATTCTGTCTCTATATTCTGTATTGGCACTCGACTTCGTCTCGTACCAATACGGAATTTCTCGAGCAGAATATATCCTGTATTGCACTTTAAATCATTCAATAACTTATATTACTGGTCATATTTTGATTTGCATAACTATCAAATACATAGAGGTGATATGGAAATTGAACCACTAAAACTGAAAATATTTAAGTTAATTAAAGAGAACGTTATACGTTACGTTGGAAGTGCAGTGTAGCGAATAGTTTTTTCGACTTTCGTCTGCCATATTGGATTTTTTTTTTACTAGTTCATGAAAACAATGTGCATGCTTCAAATTGATCTTTTTATATTCACAGATGTGTGTTTTTTATCCTAAAATTATAAATTGTGATGATCACCGTATCATTTCCTGATATTCAAATCAGATATTTCTAGCAAAATGCAAATATTAGCATGCGTTGGTGTAAACTGATCACCATTGATTTTTTCAGTAATAGTCATATCCTGGATGGAAAGCTGTCATTTTAACTCTGTATCCAAAGCTTAGTGGAATGTGCGTGTAAATACAGGATATATTTAAATCACGTGCACCAATCAGATTGCAGGGAATTTCACCATCATGGAATAATCTACTATATTCGCCATGCTATCTGACCCGAATGAATCACCAGGTGGTGAAAATGGTAACTACCTAGCTACTCGCACATGAGTTATTGATAAAGAGACGCTCATAACTGACACTGCCCTCTTTCACTACACGAAAGAAACAAAAATATATACTTGTAGTTAGCAATATTCCAAATAAAAATTACATCATTTTGAATTTGTTCTTCAATACAATACATATGCTACATATGTAACAAGAGATCACAGGAATTAATCTATATAGTGGAAACAATTGTCTTATATACAGGGTGTCAAATGGTGTTGTGCCCCCCCCCCTCCACGGCATAAACTAGGAAAGATACACACACATACCATATACCATTGGAAAGAGCATTTAATTGTTGTTAACATGGGAAAAGATGAAGATGCATGATGGAAAATAAGATATATTTTTAACTTACTTTTAAAAGTGAGTATGACCCCCTTGGGCAGCCTTAACCGCTACCAATCTAGCCACACATGAAGCTAAATGGGAATGGAAAAGGGCTGTGTCTTTCTCAAGAGATTTTAATACTTTTCGGAGGTTCTTGAGCAGGGCATGTTTGGACTCTGTTCTCTGCGGCTTCAGTGTCCATAAGTTGCTCTGTTTTCTCCATTAATATGGACCCCATGTGCTCTGCAGCATTTAGGTCAGGGCTGTTGCTTGGGTATTCATCAATACCAAAAAGTCTATGCCAGATTCTCAAAAATCAATGAAATAGAGCACTACACTAGTACATTTCAAATGCATGTGACACTATGTAGCAATATCTGACCTAGGTCATCTAGGGTTTATTTTATCCAAAATTGAATGCTCTTTCCAATGACATACATAATGTGTCAGTACCTTTCTAAGTTTATGCTGTGGAAGGGGGGCACAACGCCATTTGACACCCTGTATAAGCAACCTGGTAAAATGCATCGAAATGTTGATGGCAAGTGTCATTTCAAAGGGCAACATACTTAAATATTGGACCTTGCGCCTTCAGCCCTCGGTGAATTGAGGTTATTAGTATTATTCCCACTGTTTATGCACAGGGCTAGAATAATAAAAACTCATTTCCTGGGAAACATTGCCGGGCAGATAATATCCATTTTGGCCCGCCACAATGACGTCACATATTGCTCAGGTCAATATCGTAAAATTAAAGCGTTCTTAAAGATATGCTATACAGATATGTAGGTCAGTATTACATAATCGTGAAATGAATAAGTCTGAATATATCATTGGTCAGAAAACACTAAAACCTGCTTGAAACTGTAAAAGTTTATACACTCTATTCCACACTGTATAGAAATAAAATAACTTACATTATAAGTAACTGTGAGCCAATCATTGCAGAGAAAAAACTTTATGCACTGTTTATAAGATTCACTGAGACAAGTGGGTCAATACTTCATGTACTTTATGTGCTCTCACACAATTACCTTCCCTTGCATAAAGTTGCTGTACAGTTATATGTTACTGAATATTGTATATTCATCACAAACAACATTAGCAAAATGATGGTTCGACGAAATGGACGGTTCGCTAAAACCAATAAACCAGGCAATCCAGGCCAATTTGGAAAGAAACTAGATAGCGTGATAGCGAATGAGGATAGTAAGTGAAATATATTTTGCAACGGTCAGCTTGTAAACTACTGGGTAACCCTAAATGATGAGAAATATGTACAAAATATGTTTTGCATGATTTATTCATATCCCAATGATTTAACTCCTTCACTGCATCTAATAAGGTATATAAATACTAATTACGGGACATTTAGGAATTAAGTGACTAGACCAAAGCAAGCATGTTTGAGATTTTAATGATTTTAAATAAATTACCACTTCATTATTTGCTTTTAGACATTCAATCAATTTTATTTGTCCAACAAACCATATTCACAAGTGTTCAATCCAACGATTAGGGGATAAGCTATAGAGACCCCTCCATCTGTCCGTCCATCCATCCTTCAATTAGACAACAGCAACACCAAAGTGTAGCAAATCCCATCGAACAGCCATGGCTGGCAATTTTACAAACAAAGTATACAGCAAAAATGGCAGCCATTTTTCAAAATCGCCACCTTCTACCAAAAGTGTAATTAGACAGTGTGCCATGCTTATAGTATTCACATACCAAATATGAACAAAATCGCTCCACTACTTTTCGTGTTATAGTAAAATACGTTAAAATGGCCGCCACTGTTCAAAATGGCCGCCTTCTACCAGAAGAGTCATTAGACAGTGTGCCATGCTTATAGTATTGATATACCAAATATGAACAAAATCGCTCGACTACTTTTCGAGTTACAGCAAAACTCGTAAAATAACGAGTAAAGGCCGCCATTTTTCAAGATGGCTGCCATGTGCTTCTTTAATAACTACATTTCTAGCTTTATTAATGTCCTATATAATTTTTTTACATTTAAAATCAAATCAGTACCAAAATTATGGTTACCCTGTAGTAGTGGAAGACACATTAAAAATGAATATCACCCCCTTCAATCTATTTTTACAGGTTTTTATGATTTTTTATGATTTTTCTATAGTTTGCGTAACCAGGACGGTGAATTTTCTTCATTTTTCATCAAACATTTTGTCTTACCAATATTTATTATATCTGTCAATTTTTTCAAAATCGCGCCGCTACGTTTGAAAATAATTCAAATTATGTAGTTTTTCCCATTGAGCTCCATTATAAAAATGGAATTTTCAAACTTAATATTTTAAAATTCTACGTGGTGAAAAGTTGCATATTGAGTAGTTAGTTAATGTTATGGTGTTAAAAATTCAAAACAAAAAGGAATAAAGAAAAAATGCCACAGAGAAGTCTCAATAGAGTCTCTTTAAGAGTACTAATACCCAAAGAACATGTCCGGCAATGGGGTTATGATAGATTTGAACGCATTGATATATAATCGTTTATTTGTAATGATGTCTAATTTTTTACGAAATAACTTAATAATAAAATATTTTTAGATGTTTTTTTCATTTGGCCAAATCATATATAATTTGTATTTCTAAATGCTCGGTATGAAATTACAAAGAACCTTGTATTTGCTATTATTTAGATATCTCTTTAATTTCCAAATAGCAATATTAATGTAAATATATAGCTGTTTACCATGTTTAAATTGCGCTACAAATCGAAACTTTCACAAATTAATTTTATTGAACGTTAAAGTGGCAACGAAATAACGTCACCAAGATAGAGTGATGTATAATATATGATATTTATTTCCTGTACAGTATTTAGATAAATGGAATGCATTACACGTATTTCCGATAATGCTAATTTTAAAGCAAAGTCTTCTTAAATGAAATTTGAGTAAATACACTTTCCGCCGTGAGTATAGATCTTTTTAATTGAGCAGATCTATTTTTATATGTACGTTGTTTATCTCTTATTTCACAATTTGAAATAGTTCGCAATGATAATGTATATCTATCTAGCATGTTTACATTGCACTACAAATCGAAACTTTACAAAGAAAAATTATTTTGATTAAACGTTTAAATAGCCATGACATTACGAAATGACGTCACCAAGATAGAGTGAGTGATGTATAATATATGATGTTAAAGTTCCTGTACAGTATTTAGATTAATGGAATGCATTACACGTATTTCCGATAATGCTAATTTCAAAGCAAAGTTTTCTTGAATGAAATCTGAGTAAATACACTTTTTGTTGTGAGTATATAGATCTTTTTAATTGAGCAGATCTATATTTATATGTACTTTGTTTCTCTCTTATTTCACGGCAATAGTAATGTATACTGTATATATCCACCACGTTTGCATTGCAATACATATCGAGACTTTCCAAAGAAAAATCGTTTTGATTGAATGTTATTTAAGTGGCCACGAAATTACGAAATTACGTAACCAAGATAGAGTGATTGTATAATATATGATGTTTAGTTTCTGTACAGTATTTAGATTAATGGAATGAATTACACGTTTTTCCGATATTTAAAGCTTATTTCAAAGCAAAGCCTTCTAAATTGAAGTTCGAGTAACAGAGAGGGAGAAACACCAGGGTTCAAATATGACATACGCTTATAATGTAAATCTGTATTGAGATGACATCGTCGCTGATTGGTCAAAGTCGACAAACAAATGACATCATCAATGGCGGTTTCAAAATTTTCGAAATACTCTTCGAATAATATTATGTTCATTTCGGGCGTGTTTACCAATATCATAGCTTCTCATTTCACACCAATTAAAACATCCCATCGAAATGTAGTATTAATTGATAACTAGCCGATGAAAATTCGAAAGAACGAAGGTGGTAAGCAAGAGACGTAATTATGTCTGTCATCTTTATACTCTGGGGCTTTCCCTCCTTTTGTTAAGTAAATACGCTTTCTGCCGTGAGTATTGATCTTTTTAATTAAACAGGTCTATCTCCACATATTTCCCAAAAATGTCTTCACATTTCAAAGTTTTTCTAGAAGATCAATGTAAGAAAAGAAATGGAAGCTGTTATTGATTGCAAAAGCGTTTGGTTCATTTTCCCAACCACAATGTGCAGAAACTTTTCAAAAATACCCATTCATTTTTTAAAGCGCATTGACATCATGTTCCATATACTATTTGGAACGTGAGTGGTCCCCATCTGGTTGTAAGAACAAAGTTGGAAGTCGATGTGTAAATTAATAATTTACCTGTATCCTGTATGTTAATAGTAAAATCTGGTTTCCTGTATCAGCATGCATTATACAATTTGAACCGAATCTGTCCATATATATGATATATGAGTTATATATGCGTTATCAATTATGTTTTTTTTGAAAATGAAGGCCATTTAGAAATTCAGCTGTCATCTTAAAAAATTAGAGTTCAAATCTGGTATTTGGGTTATAAAAGTTGAAATGTTTAACATCAAATGGTGGCCATTTAGATCAATTATGGGCCATCTTGAAACTTTATTCAGAAGTAGACCCACTTTATATGTAAGCATCAGAATATAACATTAAAGCCAAATTCATCAAAGAAAGTTTTTTTGCGAAAAAGACGGCAATTTTGCGTAAAAATTTGAACCGAATCGTTAGACTGTTATTTGAGTTATCAAAGATTATGTTTTAATGAAAAATAGCGGACATTTTGAAATTCAGATGCCATCTTGAAAATTCCTTCTTGAGCAGAGCTTGTTTGTCCCTAAGCATGAACATATAAGGTTTGTCCTAATTGCTGAAGTGAGGGAAATCTTACTCGATTATTTGAGTTGCTGGCTATATGATCGTGACTGACAAGCTTTCCAGTACCCGGATGTTACTAATAACATACGGGAGAAAAATTTGAATAAAAGTCAACCATTTTGTTTGATGAGAATTATCAACGAAATGGAGCTACTATTGCAAAGGTACAAGAGCATGTCAAGGAGATGTTGTATAATTGGCGATCTGCCATAGTGATATTGCCTTTTAGTAATCACTAAAGTTGTTTCATTAGGGTAGTGTAAACCTTACTTCCATTAGCTTTAGTATTATTTAGAGTTGGCGTCCGTGTCTGCTTACGTGGAAAAGTACAAAGCATACACCAGAATCAAACAACCAATGTAGGGATATAGGATAGAGTACAAGAAAATAATACATTGTAAACGTATTTGGGATATTTGTTCTCAATTTTTTCTTAATTACTTACACTTCGCATCACTTACACTACGCGTATACATTGTTTTCAAAGAACCAAAATATCTAACAAAAATCGAAACTACGTAGGATGTAATAAATAATACATTGCGAGTAGCTTGTGAACATGTTTTCCTGGATTTTCTCATTGACCTAAACTGCGCATCGGATACGACAAGTTGACAACCTTTGAAACAATCAAAAATGAACTGAATGTGCACAAAAGCACGCGGATGTGAAAATAATTGTGAAATGAAAATTATTGTGAGCGGATACGCCTGGGTGATCATGACAAGGAAGTGTCATTGCGTAAAGTAGGGGTTTATTTCCCGACCTTTATAAATATACTGACTCAACATAGACAATGACAATTACAGTCAAGAAAAAGAAATACTTGTTAATCTGAAAAATGATTTTTTGGGAAATGATTCGTGCCATGTCAACCTGTGTTTATTGATGGGATACGGGAACGCAAGAATTGAGTACTGTGAGTTATCGTTGAATGATCCGACAATGTATAATATGACTATGGAATTTATTAAATTTACTGTTCAGTATTCCGAACAATTCTGAAGTCGTTCTTAGAGGGTGAAGATTTGTAAACAAAATGGATGGTAATTGGCTACAAAAAGAAAAACAACACGTTTTGTCGTACATGTAAATGAGTGTTTTTATTAAAACTAAAAAATGTATTCCAATGTCCCATACTTGTAATTAAAACAAATGCAATACTGTTAAACAGGATCTTGGAAATTTCATTTTGACTCCTCAAGTAGCTCGTCAAAAGATTCCAATTGAATGGACTTGGCTCCGTTGGTGTATCACTACTGCCTATAATGAAACTACTGCAACGAACTAACGTAACTAACTAGAGTTTGAATAATTTGAAAGCATTCAACAGCACCAGACTGAAACTAACTAAGTTATTTTCGAATAATCAGCCATTGTAACACCACGTCTCCGTGAAAGACTAATTCCAATATGCTTTACATACGACACATCACAATCTTGTTAACAGGAATTATGTTATCCATCACTGGATCAACTGCAAGAAAGGATGTATTTAAAGTGGGTAGAATCCCCGGGAATGTCAACCTAGGTTTTGTCCTTCCAGTACACAACAGACGCACCGGACTACATGCCTGCGGTGAACTGGATCCAACTAGCATCATGCGGCTATTTACAATCAAATATGTTCTACATCAGGTACGTGTTACAATATAAAGTGTATATCCTATGATTTATGAGTTGTATGCTTTTTATCCACAAAAATATATCGATATCTGTCCGACCCATGGTGTTTAATATGCTTTGGTTCTTGCTCAAATGCATATTTCTCACCTCGTTATACCTCAAGATGTATCTATTGACTCTTATCACTTAATGAGGTTCTTAAGATAACGCGTACGTGAACATGGTATAGTATGATCCATGTAATATTTGTAATATATATTACTGTTCCCTCTCAACTGGCTTATCTTAACACCCAACCGGACGGATAAATATAACGAAGGGGAGAATTATCATTGGAGGATAATAGCTTTACACGTTCACGTAGACCTCCAATTGGGTGAAAGAAAAAACGCATAGCTTGGCCTCCCTACTAATCTGACCATTGTATGTAATTTCGATGTTTTAGCAATGATCGCAAAATTGAAACATAAACATGTCGTACACTATTATAATCAATAAATCGTGGTCTTTAATCATCCATTATTACACATTTTATATGTCGTGTTTAGCGATGTCATGAATTGAAAGCAGGTCTAGGATGTTTGAACTGTAAACCTCAGTGTCCCTGACTTAAGTGCTCTATCCCGTTACCTAGTAATTGATGAAATGTCTGTATTGGACAATTATGATACGCAACTTCAAACGGTAGTCATTTTGCAGATCAAATAAGCCATAATTATTAAGCCGATTCGTCATCTTATTAGGAGGGTGCATTATCGTTTATATAGCAATTTGCAAAGTAATTCATGTTCGGAAGAATTTAAGCAGATTTTGTAAACATTGCCGTACGCAACGCAATGTAATTTTATAACAAACTTACGACAATATATTCTATTAAACGAATGGTCAGAAATACGTTCCGATGTCACTTAATTGTTCCTTGTTTTTCCAACACAGAACATAGACGTATCTGACCAATTTACAATTTATTTGTAACTTATAAATATACATGGGCTGCAAGAGAGAGAAAATACTTCGGAAAGGTATGGCTGGGCGTATACAAATTACAATAAATAACTTTTGTTGTACATTTCTGTGAATAATTATAAACAAAATGCGCTTATAAATCAGCTGAAGTTAGTTTGATGTTCAAAGAAGTAACTACCTAGAATCGTACTGATCTATGTCTTAAATGAAGAACTTGAAAATACCTAATCTATATGCTAGGCTAAGATCAAATACATATTGGAAAGTTATCCTGTAAAAATTGCTATGTCCACAATGGTCATAAAATAGAAGATGCATATAATACCTGTGCAAAATTGAAAGATGGCTCAATAAGATAATAAATATCCCCAGCATTATACGTATGTGGTGTGTGAAGACATAACATTCGAGAAAATATCACACTATCCCTCTGGATAAACCCATTATTCCCCCTAAATACAACCTACGTATATACAGGGTGTTCCAAAAGTAACAGGACTGGTGCTGGCATTTTGTTAAATATGCACCAATCGTTTTCAAAATTTTACATAATGTACTTCCATGTATCGTTACTAAGACTGCAAAGTCTCGACAAAATATATGAAACTCGGGTAGAGTTATGGTTGCTATAGTAACATGACATCGATATACCCGGGGCAACATTCCACGCAAAAAGTTACAGAGACAGTAAGCATTTTGTACATCCCATATCATTTTGTTCATGCCATTTCAAAGTTAAAATGCATCAACTGGTGAGAATTACATTTGTTTTACATCATTTGATATTCCTATGTACCCTCTACTTTGAAAAATAGGCTCCTCTTTGGTCAGTGCAAGAGTAGTATTCTGTATCCATGACCCAAACACATGAGTGAACCCATTTGAGGACATGTCACGCAGGGTCGATTGGACAACTTGGAGAAGGTCATTCTCATCTTTAAAGGTCTTACAGCACTGATTAGCATTCCGTTCTCAATATAAGTAAAAATTAGATATTGCATGATCAGAAGAGTATGGTGCATGGTTTTAGACCTCAAGACCTAGCTCCTCTTTAGCTGCATGGTCTTTAATGGTGACCTACGGGCAGGCGCGCTATCAAGGTGGATGACTGGCTTCAAATTGTGTATTTTCAAAAACTCAACCGTGAATTGTTCAGACTGTTATATATAGTGATATTCCAAGAAATTGAATAAATATAATTATCATTATGAAATTATACTTGAATCTGAGTTGTATAGCAACATCTTTACAACAAAGCAACTAATAAAATAAACAAGAAATGTTGTATTATAATAGGCGAATTAGATGCTTTCTTCAGTAATACAAAAGTGTTAAATATCACATTTTTAAGAAAAAAGTTGCCCCGGGTATTGGAATGTCATGTTACTATAGTAACCATAACTCTAATCGCATTTCATCATTTCTTCTTAAACTTTACAATTTTAGTTGAAATACTCCAAAGTACAATTTGTGAAAATTTGAAGACACTCAGTGCAAAATTGACAACATGCCAGCACCAGTCCTGTTACTTTTGGAACACCCTGTACATATTAAAAGTGTGCCCATATAAAAGCCCCATGATTTTTGCAGTTCCAATACTCTACCAGGGCTTAACATGGTGGTAAACATGGAATGCCAGTATTACCCTCATATTTTGTCATTTTTGGGGATTTGTTCTCTGATGTTTTGCATATTTGTGACTATCAGTCCGATGGTTATATGGTAGGCTGGTAGGTAATTGAATGATGTACACATGTGCCACTAATCAGGGACTAATGCCTTAAAATCACAAAGATATGAGGAAAATACGGGTTTCTGTTTTTTGACTACCCTGTAATAGAAAGAGCAAATAATCCCCACATACTCGTAAATATAATGTTTATTACAGAGGCGTATTGTAATACTTTTTACTTTATTTTTACTTTATTTGTTGATGCCTTGGGATCTTTTAAAACTGGATATATCATCTGCTTTTTCTGTTGATATACTATTCATGTTCGTAGTTTCATTGTAGCTCTGGCAATATTAGGCTGTTGAGGGGGCAAAAATGTGGTTATTGTATGTCTAGATTTAGAGTTTTTGTACATTTGGGGTTGTAAGAGATCGAAGGTCATTGAAAGTCTGCGATTTTTTCATATCTTTGGATACTGTAGATCTTAAATAATTAATGATGGGCATTATTTTTTTGTTCAGAAATATAATAACGTCTCTTCTCAATAGTACAACTTGATATTTCACGTCAATAACTTAGTAATTAACTTTGGAAACAAGATGATTGTTTTTTATATCTTTAACAATTCGATATGAAAAATGATACTTGAAAAATCCGTATTTCTAGATTAATGGAAGACATGATGTATGTTTTCGACATCCTGTTCCTACTAAGTATTTTATCATAATGTTGACGTAGTGAAATTAGAGATGAGGTATATCAAGAAAACGTCAATACTTCAAACACGTACTCCTTTTCTGAGAACACTGACGATGTAACTGAATCAAACTACTCACAGGCTTTATTACAGAACGCAATAACCATGGTTTCAAGGAGGCTAAGGAGGGTGTTATACTTTTGTTCTACCACTTCCCACCGAATACAATCAAGTTTTCAAATGAGTCATTTATATTAATTGCGAATAGAGTAATTGCTCGTTACGGTCACTATGTAATGGCAATATATCAAGACCTATAACACTCTACTATACCTTACTCCTAGAAAGGCATAAGGTACTCGGTTTGTCGCATTGTATCGTTTAGTATATTTTTGAACGTACCCTATGAACATCTAACAGTCATCCGATAAACCATTAATAAGGAACAGACAAATAAAAAGCAAATGACATAAGCATTACAATAAGCCAAATGGGATGCTCATGAACACCAAATGCAAGGTATATAGCTATTATAGTAGAGTGTATAACAGTTTCTGTTCCCAAGCGATCCCCTAAGCAGTGAAACTGTTTTTTATTTGTATATTCTAATTTCAATAAAGAAAATGGGTTCACGTTAACCTATCGAAGTGTATCAGTGGATGAATCAATTAATTGTAGGTGCCGTACATGACATGTCTAATTGTAATACTCGCAGGTCTAATTGTAATTCCAGCATATGGATTTCACCTCGCTTCATTTTTTGTAGAATCGCAACAAGAAATTATTCATCAGAGAGATAAGTTAGCTATTATCAAAGTCGATCCGGTCCGATCCTTACTTTGATTTAAACGTATCCAATGCCTTTATATGGTTCCCTTTGTCTGTTTTGCCCATTGATTGGTATTCCGAGGGCCCGTACTTTTAAGCAAATTGCAAGATTGCTCATACTGCCAAATCAACATTTTAGCGATCGGATTTAGAGATCATGTCATCGTATTTAGATTTTAAGATTAGTCTGTTACAGCCGCATGAGATGTCACATTGGAAATATTGTTAGTCGCGTCGATTTTAAAATACCTAAAGTACCTTTTAGGCAAATTGTTCTGAATAAAATATGGAATACAAATACATGTAAATGAAAGTGCCGTTTAGCTGTACGTTAACATGTGTCAGTGTACAAGTAGTGTTATGCAAGTAAAATATAAATTTATTTCGCAACTCTGCTTATTGGAAGTAGTCCAAATTATCCGATGCGATAGATATCTGACAAACGATCCACCAGAATGAATGTCATTATCGCTATAAGCTAATCGACACTACAATTTGCAAGATAAGGGCTCATCCAATATGTCAAAATCATAACTGTACATTAGATAGACTATATTTTAGAAATAATCAAACATGATTGGGAATTTTCGATTTATTTCTTAATCTTCTTCAGGTAAATTGAAAGAAATGATCATATATTTGATATATTTGCTGAAAAGGCTTTAATGTAAACCTTAAATTGGATATCGGCAGCTGTTAAATAAACTTCCCAATATTGTAAAAAAGTTTTTCAAATAGTGATTTGTCATTCACACATTTTTCGAAAAGATGGACGTTAAATAAACAAAGAAATTAGCAATTAAGAAATATAGACCGGAAAGTAGGGGAATTTCGTCGAATACATCCCGCAGGGCTAGGCACAAACGTTTGATGTACCCCGAACGACCGAGTTCTTAAATTATCCTGTAAAAAATATTTCTCACAGCCAATCTTTAGAGTCAATTCAACTATTCTACCTCGAGACCAGAATCACTATTCATATGGAAGTATTCAATTTTATTTTTACTATTACATTATTTTCAGTTAAATTATGGCAGTGAGTCCATATTGGAGGGGACTGGAATAAAGATCGGAGCTTACATCATTGACAGTTGCCATAGCGACGCATACGCGATGGATCAAGCGCTCGATTTTATAAGGGTACGTGGGATAACACATTTTTAATATTCGAGTTAAATGCACCTCTCTAGTATCTAGCATATGTTTACTGTAAATATCCGATGTTGTACATCTCATAGGAGTTCAAGGTTTTAGGTTAACAAATTACGAAAATACAATCATTAATAATTCTAGGGTAAGAAGAACGGTTGTAAGGAGTTTACATTTTTCAAAATGATTACCACGTTTAGTAAATATACAGGTGGGCCAATTTCTTACTGCGATATAGTTTTTTGGAAATGGATGTATTTCGAAAACATTTTATCAGGATATGCAGGATATGCAGACATTGGCGGTCTATTTGAGAAACTACATACATCAGAATATTATTCAAAGCAACGGTTTTACACTGATATTAATCATAGATCAAATTAAAGTACCGATTTGACACATTGTTAGAAAAACACAAAAGGTTTGATGTTCAATATATTCTGAAATATTTTCCAGAAAAATGGCATTATTGGTATCTTATAAGTAAGATGAAACCGATTCAGCATTCAGAGAAAATGTATTCAAAGTAAAAGTTATTCTGAGATCTTTTTGTGGCAAAAATATTACATGTAGTTTGGTGCTTGATTGAGCCCACACATTAAAGAAACCGTTTCTTAAGTGCCATTCAAAACTTAAATTAATACTTCATGAGCAAGTTCCATTTTTCTTGATGTTGAAACTGTCCATCTAATCGTCCTTATCAGTCTCAATACACTGCGATGCTTTTACTTCTATCAGCAATAGAAATTAAACACTGTATATATCATACATAACATATTTCTCTGGCTGTATATATAAAAAGTCAATCTGAAAATGTACAATGTATATGAGGCATGACTATTTTCAGGGTAGAAATTGTTGCTTTGAATTTCATCCTGAAATCCGTAATTTTTTATATTAGATATCTAGTGTTTTTCTACCTTTATTACCCAGAGACCCCTAAAAAATAAGTTATTTATCCTACTGCAGATTCTGTCAATTTTTATGGAAATCCATGCATTTCGAAAAAGTTTTATCGAAAAAAGATATATCCGTTTTTGGCCCACCCTGTAGATGCTCTTTTAGTTGCCTCTCTATTTCAACATTGCTTCTGAATGTTTCAAAAGTGTCAGCCATTTCATTTGCTCATGACGCATCGAAACTCTTATTTGAAATGCACTTTAAAATTATCTGGAAGCCTGATTAATGTTGTTTTCAGCTAAGTGTCGCTTATTTACTACTCATGTTACTAATGCTAATGGATTGATTAATCTTTTAACGTATACGTTATGTCATCTCGTGCGATTTGGAATTTTCTCAGTTTACCTGAATTACAGTCCCTTTCCAAACATTATGGATTTCACCCTTCTAAAACTTATAACTTTTCCCCTACTACTACAATAAGCTAGACCTGATGTAAATGTGCTTTAAGAAGCGAGTTGTCGATGTCAGTTCTTATGGGAAATATTGCTTATTTTTTGTACGCTAATCTTTGTTACATCATTTTTTGGAATTGTAGGGGCGTTATGAAAATAACTCAAACAATCCCAGGATATATGGCGTTGTTGGAGCGGCGTCGAGTACACTTTCCATAGAGCTGACAAATTTTCTAAGGATCTTTCATATACCACAAGTGAGTAACTGTTATAAACTACAAAAAAAACGACTTGATAAGTTACCTGCGTCATTAATTGGATCTCGACATGGACATACTGGAAAAGTTAAGAGATCAGCCTTGAAATTTTAACCGATAGCTAGAACTTATTTTCCTCTAAAATCGAAATCAAGGATGTATTTATTCGACCGAGACTCTCGGGGGTTTTACTCAAATATATACACACTTTTTGATGGTTTCCAAGGTCAATTTCCTCTCAAGATTAAAAATGTCCATGTTTATTTTTCTCTCAGACTTATACGAGTCAATTTGTTTTCCCGAATTATTTAGAGTGGTCCACCTCCCCCGGGCCAAGAGTTAGTTAAGTAATTACCTGTAAAAGACAGCTCAGAGACCCTTTAACAATGTGCTGTGTATGTGTTTAGTTTTAAATCTGTGTTTTCCTAGATCAGCTACGAAAGCACGAGTGAACAGTTGAGCAACTCAGAGCGTTTTCCATTTTTCTTCCGAACTGTGACGTCAGACGCTCACATGGTTCCCGCCATGAAAGAACTGCTGCGCACATTTAACTGGACGTATGCAGCCATTGTTTATGAGGACTCTAATTACGGTCGATCGGCGGTCGGCATTAAGGGTGCGCTTGGTGCTTGTTTCGCAACGAGGCAGGTCATCCCTCGTGATACAGCCCATGCGTATGATGGAGACTACGACAAAATAATCCAACATATTATAAAAAAGAGAAAAGTAAGAGGTAAATGACAAACCATGTCTATATATTCATGTCGTTTACATGTTTTCTGTACATATAATGATAGTCGCAGGTAATCGAGGATTGATAACGCATTGTTTCGTCCAGTACACATATTTAGTCACGGGTATTAAATCGGTCCAAACATTGAGCATCCATGATACAAATAAAAATTAATATATCATTAAAATAGCTTACATAGAACATAAGCCAAACTTTCATTTGACATAATTTTCAGTATTTTATTGAGAAATTGCCAGAACAATATTCTCTGCAGCTTAAACATTAGGTAGACACATCCACCCTAGTGACAATACGTGTTCGTCACTTTTCTTGAGGTAATTGAGGTACACGCGCTACCGCTGAGCTATACTGGTGAACCTTTGCTTAAAACCGTTTAAACAATTTTTCAGTCATACTGGTGGTAGCACTTGCCAAAGATGCCTTGCGGATTTTCTTAGCAGCAAAGCGAGCAGGCGTGCAGAACAGATATGTTTGGATAGGTACGTAAACGAAGTTTTCGAAATATCTTCGAATTTCAGTGTGAAACACTGCGCATAATTTTGGTTTAAGTACTATTTAAGAGATGTCATGCTGATCATTGTTAAAATACCATTCTCAATAATCACCACTACTCATATTTATTTAAAAAAATTATTATTAAAAATTAAATGTTGATAATTATGTTATTTCATATTAATGTCAGCATTATGGCCAAAATACAAGCTGAAACAAATACATTGTGATTACCTCATATAACCAGTTGAAATAATTGAACGCCTGTATTGTGTTTTTCCATCTTTATTTCGAAATGGTAAATTTATTGTTCGACGTGCGTTGCTTTTAGGAACAGATGGATGGAGCACCGAACTCAATGATCATCCTGAGGTTAATGACGTCATGGAGGGATCTCTGGCTGTTATGGTAATAATCTTGTTTTGAAGCATGTCATGCTATGACCAAATACAACTTTAGAGGTTTTACGTGTTTATAGCGTCACGTGTTTGTTTGACTTTTAGACATACTTGTGATCTGTTCCAAGATCATTTATTTGATAGATAAGATGGGCACTTGAGTATAGGCTCGCAGATTTAAAGGATAACAGAATTGCAGTGAAAATTTAAGTTTTTCTAACAAGTGGGTCATTTAATTCCTTTTCAAATATATTTAAAAACGATCCATAGCATTGTGTAAAATACTTTGTAGATAATGAAAAATGTTCACATCCAATTGCTGCAAAATATCAATGAAGTCATCCTTTTTACCAATTGTTCTCTTTTGATGGTCATTTAGCCCAAAACATTTATCATTTGTTTTTTTAATTAATTAAAAATACCCATGGCAAGCAATGACCCCCGACAAAATATTTGATTTTCTCTTCCACAAATAAAAGTTTATTTTAAGTGAGATAATTTTGTGAAGGTTATGCTCTTTTGTAGACCACTTCGAGTCCAATAGAAGGACTCGAGTCATTTGCTAAAGATCTACTTATGAAGGAAGCTAAAGTTGACATGTCGATCACAAGCCGACATCCCTGGATCAGAGAATTCTTAGACAAGTATTTCAACGTAAGCACAGTCGGTGATCGGGAGAAATTAACGAAGGGGTGGGGTAGCTGATTTTCGCTGGAAAATCCAATAAATCTGGAACTGATATAGGTGCACAACAGGGGGATATAATGTATGTTCGGTCTTCTAGGATTTTTTTGAGCTGATATGGTTCTAAGATTTAGATATATTTGAAAAGGTACAGCGTCACCAACGTGTAAATACCAATGTTTTTGTTATATATCAAGCGATCGGGGTCTACCCCATCAATTAAAAAATCCTAGAAGACTTAACATATCTCCCCATGTCGTGCGTCCATTCATTTAGCAATTCAATCGTAAACGTTCTCTTGAAAAATTCTTCAAGATTTGTTGAATTTTTAAGAGAAAACATGGGCATTCAACTATTACTTATTTTGTTTCAACAATGTAATTGCTTTGAGTTAACACAGGGCTGAAGAATCAATCTATTTGCATTGACTTTTTTATTTGTCATTTTAGTGTCCAAAACATAGAAAATAATTTCAGATGGAGCACTCAGCAGAATATACTAATTCGACAGTTGGACTGAACACTCCTGCTAAATCGAGCATTGTGTATTCTGAACTGTGTGGAATAGAACAGCTCATCAACAATGGAGGATTAAATATGAATCACCTTCGAATGGATTATTTGGCAAACGCTATACTGGCTTTCGCACACGCATTCAAGCGCCTCCATGTTGAATTGTGTGAGGGTCAAGGTCAAAGATGTCACGTGCAATTCCAAAACGAGATAAATGGAGATATGATATTGAGGCATCTTTCAAACGCTAGCTTTACAGGTAACACTTTTAGGTAACTTCGCGACTATAAAACCTCAAAGATATTTTCATGGAAAAATTGAAAATACCTAGATCATTAAAAATGAAACAAGGAAAAACACATACAACCTCTCAACAGGCAAAATAAACCCCCAACATCGAACACTGATTAATAATATTTCACGCACAATGAACGATGCATACTCCCAAGATGGCAGTTCGAGGCAATAAAACATGTTGTTCAATCAGTTTGTGATGTCGCGTTTTTTTCTTAATGCGTGGTAGTGAAACAATAACATACATGTTGTAAGCAAAGGCTGAAAAAACATTTCAAATACTTATTTTGACATCGAAAATACTACTTAAAGCCCGTAAATTTAGATGAAGGTTGAGCATGATTTTGTGTTATGGATTCAACATCTATCACGAGATGTAATTCAGGAAAAGTGGATTGTGTTAATATTAAACAATTTTAGCCTTTATAGTTGCTATGACAATTGAATCAATAAATTGGATTTCTGATTTTTAGGAATACATGGTGAAAAGATCACATTCGATGTACACGGGGAACCAAAGCCTCGTTATAGCTTAATGAATTATGTCAAAGATGGCGATAGTTATAGATGGAGGGAAGTAGGACAATTTAATTTCCAGGTAGTCTAACATTCACGTCTAAATTATGTTTCTTACAACGGTGATGCTATGCTATGTATCTTGTTGCATTTTGGATGAGGTTTCTATTGATAAATAGTCCCGGGATTTCGGCCATTACAACCCCGTGGTGGATTATTGATTAAGGGTGCATGTAAATGAGATCCTTCACCAATCGTTATCTTGTGTGGGTATGTTAATCGATATTTTAAGTTAGATTCAGTCCCATAGCCAGGTGATTCGGTGGTGCCAAAAATGACAAAAAATCACTCTGGATTTTTAAAATGACTCCCCTGTTCGGCAAAAGCTGACTTCGGGCCTAAACCTAACGTAAACATCAGTAGCTGTCTCGCTACTTGCTTAAATCATAGACCCCTTGCCATTTCTTATGAACTTTTTTTTATCGTAGGAGGGAGAATCCCAACTTGATTTACATTCTGAGATAGTTTTTAAGGAGCACATTAGACGGCTGCCCAAATCAGAATGTTCCACCAGCTGTCTTTCAGGGGAAGTCAGGATTCTAACAAAAGGTAAATATTTTTCACTTCTGAAAGGAGGAGGGAAATTAGCGCAACAGATTTTGGACAGTCATATGTTTGATTTTGGCCATTTTCTAGGGATTTAAACAGGTGCATATGTTAGGCCAATGCATTACCTCCAGGAAAATCACTTCTAGAGATGATAAAATAATTTCGACTTTGAGACAGGGTAGATGCAAACAACCCACCCACATGATTTTTCAGAAATGTTTCCCTGATTTTCGACCCCTTCCATCCCTGCTTTTTTAATTTTTCTTGCATCAATATGTTGCGTTTTGACACATAATTAACCACTTTAAAGGAAAAAGTGATTCCTCTAGGGGTTTTAAAGATACCCACTATGACTATGGGTGACCAAACTTAGCTGAAACCAATGATTTTCCCTATGGGAAAATAACATGGGAAATATTGTTTTCCACTTTATCACTTAGGAATCACTTATTCCTTTTAAGGGGTTAAACTGTGTGTCAAAACGTAACATATTGATGCAAGAAAAATTAATAAAAAAGCAGGGATGGAAGGAGTTGAAAATCAGGAAAACATTTAAGAAAAATCATGTGGGTGGGTTGTTTGCATCTACCCTGTCTCAAAGTCGAAATTATTTTACCATCTCTAGAAGTGATTTTCCTGGAGGTAATGCATTGGCCTAACATATGCACCTGTTTAAATCCCTAGAAAATGGCCAAAATCAAACATATGACTGTCCAAAATCTGTTGCCCTAATTTCCCTCCTCCTTTGTTTGCTTGTAACGTGATAATACTTTTACTACAAGAAAAAAATATACAAAAGTCAAAAGTGACACGCAGGTTACTTAAATGATTAGCATAACAGAGCGCGTAATTTGACTTTATATCCAATACCTCCAAATTTTCTAATTTTTTCCTCAATTACAATAGGTCGAAAACTGATGATAAATTTGATGAATTTTGAAAATCGAAAAGACCACGTGCAGTATGGCAAGTGATTTTAGACGGTCATATCTTTCACCATGAGTACTTTCTTGGCATAAATACAGTGGTTTTTATTAAAACACTATGTTTTCTTTCAAGTGAAGTACCCATGATGATAAAAATATCAATCGAACAATTCGAAAAATTATGAATAGGGACCCCATGTCAACATTTTTTCGAAATATTGAACCTATTTACTTAAAAGAGGATCTCCCTTTTCTGATTTTTATTACACGAAAAGATTATTCAACAAGGGCTCTAAACCATCTTCAAAAATATAATTGTATTGAAAGTCTAGTTTTGAAGATATCAAGTTTCGATGACCAAAATGATCCTGAAAACAATGGATAGCACGAGTTTTCCATATGGGAAAATAACATTGGATATGTGTTTTTTAACTTTAACGCATTTCAATACGCATCCCCTTTTCAGAAACTGTTCATATAGTGTAGGAGAAACTTTTGATATGTTTAAATTGAGAAAAGCAAGATCCTCTGCCTAACATTTTTTTAAAAGTGCCAGGGTGGGGCTCTAATCCATAATTTTTCAGAGAGTTGGATTGATATTTTACTATCATGGGGACTTCACTTGAAACATAAACATATTTGTTTAATAAAAACTTTTGTTTTTATGGCCAGAAAGTACTCACGGTGAAAGATATGACTGTCTAAAAATCACTTGCCATACTGCACATGGACATTTCCATGTTAACCAATGGGAAATGGTAGGTTTGCCGCATGTCATAGACAGAATATCCATCCATCCGACTCCTTGCAAGTTAGGTAGGCAATCGATATATTTCTTCGTGATCAACTGTTATCATCAAGTTATAGGGCTTTAAATTTAACCCTCCCAATGAAATAACACAAGAAGCGAAAAATAATTTTTAAAAATGACTTTGAAGCTCTGTAACTTTAGTATTCATCAAGTAAACTAAACACTTAGTGTGCAAAAAATGTGACAATTCAATTTTATAGATATTTTTGCTGAATCGTTCACTGAATAGATATCTTGATTTCTGATTTGCCCCGAATCCTCCATTTCCCATTGGTTTACATGGGAATGACGATTTTTAAAAATCCATCAAATTTATCATCAATTTTCGATTTACTGTGACTGAGGAAAAAATTGAGAAAATTTGGAGGTATTGGAAATAAAGTCAAACTACGTTTCCGTCAATAGTATTAAGTATTTTTCGTAGGTTAAGTAAATAAAAATTCAAAAATAAATTGGCTTTAACACGTAGTTCAATGGGGGAGCTAAGGTTGCTAAACTTATAGAGGGGAGTGTAATGGTATGATTGCACATGCATAGTTGTACTTGCAATGTATTTCATCTCTTTGGTAACACCATGCAGGTTAAGATACATTTTTCAGATGGGGATAGAAGATGTTGTTGGAGTTGTGCCCCATGCGAAGTTAACGAGTTCATGAAAGATGCCTATACCTGTGAGAAATGTGATGTCGGAACCAAACCAAATGTGACTCAATCAGGGTGTGTAGCCATTGAACCAATTTACTTATCATATGAAAATCCTTGGGCGATCGTCAATATGATCATAGCTTCGTGTGGAATTTGTGCAACGTTAGTGGTAATTGGAATATTTTATCTCAACAAAAATACAACCATAGTGAAGGCATCTGGAGGGACATTGAATTTCATTCTTCTTTTCGGGGTACTTCTTTCCTACGCAGTGACGTTTATTCTCGTTGCCAAACCAACGGGTTTTACATGTGCGGTGTCACGATTAATACCGGGACTATGCTATACATTCTCGTATGCTCCCGTCTTTACAAAAACTCACAGGATATCGAAATTATTTAACAAAAGAAGCTTTGGACGGCATTCAAAGGATATTACTGAAAAATGGACAGTATTTTTGACGTGTCTTTTGATATTTGTTCAAGTCCCAATAGTAGGCATATGGCTACATTTCGATCCACCCGGAACTACTTTACAATATAATGATTACCAGACAACGGTACTCATCTGCAAAGGGGCGGGAGATTTTAGCTATCTGATTGGATTGGCGTATCCATTTGTCCTAATTCTGTTCTGTACTCTATATGCGATACAAAGCAGAAACATTCCAAATGTTTTCTCAGAAAGTAGATATATCGCATTTACAATGTACTCGACGTGTGTTATTTGGCTGGCCTTCATACCTGTGTACATGGTGACTCTGAGTAACATACCCCTCCGCGTGACGTCAATATGTATAACACTAGGATTGGATGCATCTGTAACTCTTGGTAAGTGATAAGATTGATATAAGGTGATCGCGTTGATTATGATACAAGAAATTATCAAATTATGAAATTTAACACACTGTAAATGTCTTGAATGCAATTATCTATAATACTCTCTTTATACATATTAATAAATTCGTATACTGATTTCCTTTTTCAGGGATGCTATTCGGGCCCAAGGCATATGTTATTTTATTTCGTCAGGACCATAATCAGAGGGACTATTTTCTTCAAAAGACAATGGAATTTTCTCAAAAAGTTACCGCGCACCAAATGAATTCTAAACTTGGGAAACACGGTAGTCACAGTAGTTTAAGCTTTGACAGTGTTGCACAAAATAAAGCGTCGACTCCAGTACATTCTCGAAATTAGAGAAGCTTAGTAACACATATTTGTGAGAACAAATACGTGAACGAGGAACATTATTGCCGATGCGATTCTTGTCCCCAGGGAACAATACTGTATCAGTACGTCCTCGTTCATATTTCTCAAAACAATGCCATATCGATGCATATGACAATGAATAACAATAGTGAATCTGATAGTAGCAAGTATAGATAGCGCACGTTACAAATATATAGTAAGACATCGTTTTGTGAAATAAATGATATTATTTATTTGAAATATGGCCTTCCGTTGATACAATACACTCATATTGTAGATTGAGATACATTAAAATATGAGCCTGGCCATAGGAAAACCGGTCTTATCACAAAAATTAAAATTGTGCTACAGAGCAAAAAAATGTGCCCAAGATTAAGAGGAAAATATGCTAAACTAAAATCCGACTTTTTGGTCTATATAATAGCAAGGAAAATCGTTAAGTCATGGCTCATTTGAAAGGTATTTTTGTGCTTTTTAAGATAAACAAAAAACAAAATATAGAAAAGTATGTGATAAGACCCCCTTTCCTGTGACCTGGCTCATATATTGGATGCGAGGTGGACTTTCAATTTCTACGTCTACGAAGAACTTTTGGTAGACGCAATCTTTCATGCGATGTTGAGTAGAGATAATGTGAAGTAAGGAATGACTTGATGCGCTCGAGAAACTTCATATTGCAAATATTCAACCTTACAATTGTTTGTACATTAAGTTTATTGACGGGGCAGTATACGTAGTTAAGAACAAATGTACTTGTGTTGCATTGGTATGATACAAAGCTTGTTTTCTGTTCATATTGAAGCTAGGAAAATAGCTCAAATAGAAAACAAGATTCAGGGATCATTAGCCACCGATGTGTTTTTAATACCATTGCTTTAAAAGATGGCGCATGTGGTTGAAATTTGATCAGAAATTAATGAATCGCGTGATACCAAAACTTTGCCAGAAACTTGAAATGAAATGTTGACATATCCGACATTATTTTGATAATTTATTGAAAGACCCGGTGTGGCCCGTTTTAGCAGTTTTGGCGATCAAAAAGTAAGTACCTATTAATTAATTGGGAGTACTATGAACATCAAAGAAGTCCTTATTTTGCCAAAGGATGCTAAACAGTATGCGCAGAGTCCCTTTAAATAATAAATTATGCAAAATGTTGTGAAAAAAACGTTACCCAATCATCACTGTATAATAGCATAATATAACCTTTTAGTACACGTATGTATCTTTGCAAATTCTATAATATCGATGTGCATTTATTTTGAAATAATTGATTATTATATACACAATACAGTGTTGAATAAGATTACACGTATATTCATTTAAAGCATCTAGTGTTTGTTTAACTTGCTGTAAAAAGATACAGCGCCTACACAACAACTATGGTATATTAATCCACATTCATCCTTTGAAGTATAATTGTAATCATGATTATTAGTTCTACGAAAGTTGCATGTTTGCAAGTGCACTCCTAATTCTATTTCTCATTCCGCCTCTGCCCCTCGCACGTCTGCGTTCAGCTTTTGTGCGCCGACGTCCAGATATCCGACGTTCTTCTCTCTCCTTTAAGCGCCGTCGTCTGGCGCGTTGACGTCGAATTTGTCGCCTTGATTTACGTCGTCGACCTCCTCTATTTTCATTCTGTCGTTGACGCTGCCTTAAAGCTGTCTGTCGGGCTGATATCGGAAATGCGTTGGCGTTATCTGCTTGACGGACAGTTGGCGCATTGACTGGTATTACCCCCAGTCCGCCAAATCCAGCATGACCACGGCTGCCCATGCCCTGATTTTGTCCAGTGCGCATGACGGAATTTGGAAGCATGTCCGGTTTACCAAGGCCCTGGAGGTCATCTATAGATATCGTGGCCTCTTGTTGTCGTTGTCTGTTACGCCTTCGTTTTCCTTTGCGCCTTGGCGAGCAGTCATACTGGAAAAAGAAGAAAACTTATAAAAAACTTGTCAAATGTATGCATTAGAACTTTTTTATTATGTGATTCAAAATCATATAATTTGTGGTTTTAAAATCCGTAAAATACTTTAACCATATCCGGATATGGAAATAATGCTATTTTTCTTAAATAAAACGCTTCAATATATATATCTTTTATTGACTCTTTAGATGTCATTACCTGACATATAAGTCATTACAAAATGAAATTTTACAAAAACTACACTACACTACACTACACTAATATATACAATTTATACAAAAAACTTGTTATTTACATATGTTATAATATACTTTAGGTGTGATGCATCCAAATGTTAATCCCCAGGCAAGTTTAAGTTTTTGAATGATTTCGTAATAAAACTTCCAACTTGATTTTGCACATATTTATCTTTTGAAGAAATTAACATAATGAATGTATTTTCAGGATCATGTTGATCAACATCAATTTTGCTAGTGATGTTGTCAAACAATATTCTTCTATTTTCTCTATGTATTTGGCATTTAATCATGAAATGAACCTCATTTTCTATTTCCCCACAAAAGTTACACAATCTTTCATATTCAGGTTTTGGCCGTGGTTTTACATGTCTACCCAGTTCTATTTGTAATTTATGTGAACTTAATCTCAGTTGTGAAATTGATTGCCTGTGATTTTTGTTTTGAAGGCTTAAATATTGTTCTCTTTCGAAAATTGTTTTGAATTTAATGTATGTTCTTAAAACTGGGTATAATTGTAAATCACACTTCCATTTCTCCTTATAATTTTGGTGCAATGTTTTAGTTAGATTCTTTTTGAATACATAGTCATCATCAACAACTTGTTCATTCCAAGTGCTTTCAAGATTACAATCTTTTAAAATATTATGAACCTTACTTGACCAAGTATTTTTAAATCCTAAACTGTACATTTCATAGTCATATAGATATGCTTTATAAAGGAGGTTATCTGGACAAAGTTGTATAAGCCGTATCCAATATTTAATAAGATTAATATCAAAGCACAAACTAAGGGGGAAACGACCCAGCTCCCCATAGACTGCTAGGGTTGCAGTTGATGTTTTCACACCAAGAATGCTTTTTAAAAAGGACAGGTGAATAGTTTTAAGTGACTTGATATGTTTTTTACTTGACCATATTTCTGAACCATACATCAAAATTGGTTGGACAAGTGAATCAAATAAATGTAAGGCAACTGATATGGGAATGTCATTAAACTTGTGATATTGTTGCTTTATTTTGAATAAAGCTTTTCTAGATTGTTCTTTAAGATAGCATATTTGTTTATCAAAATTATTTTTACTGTTGAAGATACACCCTAGGTATTTGTAGTCTTCTACACATGCAATCACTTTATTATTGAATTTAAAAGTTTCATCTGATTTAGAGTTAAAAATAATAGCCTTTGTTTTAACAGTGTTGACAACAAGATGATAATTTCTGCAAAAATCAAAGAGAGAGTCTAGCATAGATTGTGCCCCAGATTTAGAGCTAGCTATTATTACTAAGTCATCAGCCCAAAGTAGATGGTTTAAAGAAACACCTTCAAACTCTATACCATGTTCTGAGGGAAGAAAATCTTTCAAGTCATCCAAAAAATGGTTGAAAAGATATGTACTGAGAACAGAGCCCTGCATAACGCCAATTCCAGTATTGTACGTTGGGGTAATGCCATCTTTAAGTTTGAGACATGATTTCGATTTTTTATACATGCTATCAATAATTTTAAACATTTTTGAACTTGGATGTATCCCTGATTTACATAATTTATAAAGAAGTGCTGTCCTGTTGACATAATCAAACGCTTTCCTAAAATCTACCATTATACAATATAGAGGCTTTTTCTGCCTCTTAAAATGTGAAATAATAGTGTTTAAAATGAACAAATTATCTGTTGTACGGTGACCAGATTTATAAGCACCTTGTAATGGGTCTTGAATATTGAGCATTTCTGCATTGAACACTAATCTTGTTTGAATGATTGTATCAAAAACATTTCCTAGACAAGCAAGTACATTGATTCCTCTGTAATTATCTGGATTGAAACGTGATCCTTGTTTGTAAAGAGTGGAGAGCATACCGATGCTCCATTCTTCAGGGTAATCTCCTCTATCAAAGATAAAATTAAATAGTGCAGTAAAATCTAATGATAGAGCTTTACAATTTTTAATAATATTAGATGGTAAGCCATCAATACCTGGTGATTTATTTAAGGCATTTAGAACCTCTTTTTCATGTATAACATTGTTAAGTAAATGATCACTAATTTGTAATGAATCTGTATATGAATTATGCATGTTATATTCCAATATAAAGATTTGCATTTTATCTAAAGCTTCATAATCAAAGAAGTCATATTTAGGTGCTTTACCAAGGTTTTTGAAAGTATCCAAAAGTACAGAGGTTGAAATTGGAATATCTCTGCTATCATTTTTACCAGGGATTGAATGTACCATTTTCCAAAATTCTGTGGGATTATGAGCTTTAAAGTTTAATAATGATTTCAATAAGTCAGTTTGATATGCTCGTTTTTCTCTTTGCTTTGTCTGATTATATTTTTTCTGAATAATTGAAATTTCTAAGTCTGAATAATTTTCCTTAATTGCATTCCGTAATTGTTGTTTAAATCTTTTACACTCATCATTGAACCAGGGATTAACTGGGAATTTCTTTTTAGACTTTTTAAGTTGCTTTAACTGCAGAGTGCTTTCAAATGCATGATAAATAACACGTTAAGAACATTCAACAAGCTATTTGAATCAATGTTTTGTCCCATTTTACAATAAAAATCATCTAAAATATCAGTGCTAATATTGTCATGAAGAATTTCAATAAAATTATCTTTTGCTTTAAAATCCCATTTAAAATATGAATATGGCAAAATGTTAGTTTTAACATTTTTATCTGACTGGGAAGTGCTTTTTGAATGCTTAATATTAAGACTAAAGTGAATTGGTGCATGGTCTGAGTCAGGATGCCTGTCATGAACCTTAAAATCTGAGAAAAAATTAAAGAGATCAGGTTGTGAAAGTACATAATCTAATACTGATTTCCCTTTGCTATTGTCTAAGTCATTTTGTTCCTGATATCGATAATAAGTGAATTTTCCAATACCTTTGTCTTGAAAAAATCTACCATTCAAAATCCTTAAATTGGATGATTTACATAAATTGATAAGTTCACGACCGTGAGTTTGATATACAGCTTTAAGGTTTTTATCCATTGAAACCCTATTAGAAGTAACCCCATGCGATGCATCTTGGTCAATATGATTATATGGTGTCAAATTTTCATCAGATCCACATACCAGAGTATTGCAGTCAGATAATTCTGCTGTTCGAGCATTTAGGTCTCCAACAATAATTGTATTGCCTAACAACTGATATAATGCAATTGATTTTTCTAAAATTTCCATATTATCTACATGTTCAAATTTTGAACCTTTATGTGGCATATATACAAAACAAATATAAATATCTTTGGCTAAATTGTAAAATGATGACTTGAGCTTTAGCCAAACAAAAAAGTCATGTGTTTGTTTAATCAATTCTACACTAGTATTGAATAATTCATCTTTTACAAGAACAGCTAATCCTCCTGAAAATCCATTGGAATTTGCATTTTTAGACTGTCGAGCAAGATTATGTACAGTAAAACCATCTAAAGTAAATGTTTCAAGTGGGTTTAACCAGGTTTCACATAGTAATACAATTGAGTACTTGCTAAAAAGCTCTTTAATGTCATACCCATTATGTAATTTATCTGATAAACGATTAATGTTCCACATAAGACATTTTAAGTCAGTTGAATTTTGATTTTTGTGGAATAATGAAACATCATCAGACGCTAAGAGCTTACTACATTCATGTATTAACTCATTGTTATTTGAAAACGTAATATCATTCTCACTAATTACAGAGCAACTATCCATCTTATTACTACTATATGTACAATCTTTTGAGTTCATCTTACTATATACAGTTAAACCTTCTTTTTTAACACTGATGCCTTTGTTTGTGCATAAATCAGCATCATCATTATTACAAGTCATATCATATGTACAGTTGCTATTATAATTCCAGGATGCATCACACACAGTGTCTATAATTTGTACTGAGCAGGCTGGTAGGTAGGGTTTTTACTTGGCATATGTCTTGGGTATGTCACTGTTGATGCATCTTAGCATGGCCATCACTAGGGAAGTTCGTCCTTTTGGATTAAAGTGGAGTCCATCACGATTTAGCACATCAAAATTTGGTCTGCCAGCAGTTGAGTTGTTGGCTTGGTTAATATCAATAAATCCAATTCCCTGATTGTTACAAAAAGTTTTCATATTGCTGTTGATGTAATCAATGTCAGAGTTCATATTCTGAATGTGATGACTAGATTCTGAATCCCCTCTGTGGTGCAGTCCTGCCATGATCAGTTTAGAATTTGGATGATGTGATCTTGCTGTTTGAGCTAAGTGTTTAAGACTATAGATAATGTCATTTGGTGAATCTGTCTTGACATTGTTTGTTCCCAATCCAATTATTTTATAGTCTGTTGATTGCTTGATATCACCTCTCTGTATAGCCTGGACTCCATGCTCAATCCTACCACCGCTGTAGACTGAGGACGTAACATTCACACTTGGTGCCTTGCTCTTCGTGATTCCAGCTAATCCTCTACCATTTGAAGAATACATTATATGTACAGATGTCATAGACTTCAACTTAGGTGGCTCTTGCATGCTATGTGGCATAGACTTGGCATGTGGTGCAGATGTCGCCTTTGGTGACGTTGAAGGCTTAGTACATGGTGAAGGGACAGGTTTGGCAATTTTGCTTTGAGGAGGCTTAGCTTTACTTGGTGCACTTTTTGGGGCCGAAGAAGGTTTATAAGAATCACATTTTGGTGGTTTGGGTGATTCAGCAAGACTCTGGGGTTGAGATAGATTTTGCTCACTGTCTAACATGGATGCCAGTTGTTTATTTCTCCGGTAAGTTGTCTCCAGATCAGCTTTCAATCCTTTATGTTCTTTTTCCATACATCTCAGTTTTTCATCTAAGTTGTAGATTTCTGCCTCTAAGTCTCTAAGCTTTGTGTTATGGAGTACTTGCTGAGCCTCGAGTTCATCCGCTCTCTGCTGTTCATTTACTTTGATGCGGTTAAGAAGATCATTTATTTTGGCAGACTGCTCATTTATAAGTTTCATGTCACTCAGATACTTCTCATTTTTGTTCATTAGTTGAGTGATTTTACTCCGTTGTTTGTTATTTTCAACTTGTAATCGTTTATTTTCTTCTAATATTGCAGCGACAGATTTTTGGGATTTGGCAAGTTGTGATTGTTCAGTGAAAGAGGACCCATCAGACAGTACATTATCCATTATTGTGTTGAGTGAGGGCTCTTGAATATTCATGTTCAATTCCTGATCATTGGCATAATTTGTTGTGGAGGCTTGAAGAGATTCTCCATGTGAGGGGGGGGGGCCCTGGGCTGAGGGGAATCCAGAAGATGAAATATCATCAGGGGGTGGGGATAGTCCTTCAGATGAGGGCGGTGGGGATGGTCCTTCAGGTGAGGGCGGTCTTTCAGACGAGGGCGGTCCTTCAGACGAGGGCGGTCCTTCAGACGAGGGCGGTGGGGATGGTCCTTCAGGTGAGGGCAGTCTCTCAGATGAGGGCGGTCCTTCAGACGAGGGCGGTGGGGGCGGTCCTTCAGGTGAGGGCGGTGGGGGCGATCCTTCATCAGTCTTATTCAGGTTTTCAAAGAAGATGAGGCTATCTTCAGCGGTGTCTGTAACAGGATCTAACTCCTTAGTTAGTATTTCTGGATGCAAGAATGTGATAACACTGTCTTCTTGATCTGATAAGTGTGTATTCTCCATAACATCTGATAAATGGATTGAACTTGGCACAGCAGCTCTGCTGAGGGGGGGGGGTGGAAGTTAATGAGTGACACCTGTCAATGTGGACTATGGTGTCCTTGATAAGTGGAAAGTCATTCATCTTCCAATCATCAAGTCCCTCACCTTGCACGTTTATTACTCCTGAATCATTTATGTTGATTGTAACATGATCAGAAACAGTGATGATTTGTCCATACCGAGCTCTTGAAGATGTTGCTTTCATGCATTTGTTCTTGTAAAATGTTTCAAAAGCATCCAGCCATGTTGGTATTCTTTCCGTAAAGAACTGAACACTTTTACATTCATCAGTCAGTTCTATTATCCCAGTATTGTCTATGTCAAAGTACTGATAATTATCATGAAGGGTTTCTGGTTTGTTTCTTAATGTTTTCATGTTTTGCTTTTTGTTGTTCTTTCTCTTTTTGCCCTTTAGGTCTGGTGAAGAGTATGTTACTGGTGCACCTGAAGATAGGACTTTACGAGATCTACGGGGGTGATCTCTCGCCATTGTCCAAGATATAATATAGATGTAGTTTGTTTTTTATCCAAGTAGAGTAGTAAATCCAAATAAGTTCAATAAATAGGTTTGTTTATGGCTGTTCTATCAACTTCCCTCAATTAGTAATTAGGTGGCTCTTCCATTTAATTAGGTGGCTCTTCCATTTAACTCCTATTGTCATCAATTGTCTAAATTAAATGGCTGTTCCATTCACCTCCATTAGTTGTCCAAAGTTTTTATTGCATGTTTATCACATATATTTCCTGACTATATCTTCTTAAAATCCATTGTGATCAAAAACATAATTAAGGGTTTGTATAAGCTATTACAATTATCCTCTTAAATGTTCATGTAACTTCTTCAAAAAGTCTATTTAAAATTTCTTTTGTTTAAAATTTTTTTCTTCCTTTGTTTTAACTTTGAAATTTACTTGTTAATATCCTGGTAATTAAGCTCCAAAACTGTTATTTAAAACAGTCCAACGGTTTCCCTGTACAATACATATTATGTCACGTAGAATGGCAATTTTGATTTTGAATATAAAAACAAATATTACTTTTCAAAATATGTCCGAAATAATGAAAAAATGTAAAAAAACAATGGAATGGAATATGTTCGTGCGCACTGATTCACTCAAAGTGTAGAACAATATATAATGCATTGCATTTAATTTTTTCTTACACATTATGGAGGATCACTTCAAGCTGCAAGTTAGCTAAAGGTACGATTTTTCATTTTCGTGATAATATGGCGAACTATCGTAAAGTTAGGACATGAAACACGGTGGCACAAGATGTTTCAGTAATACTATAAGTTATTGAATGATTTGAAGTGCAATACAGGATATATTCTGCTCGAGAAATTCCGTATTGGAACGAAACGAAGTCGAGTGCCAATACAGAATATTGAGACAGAATATATCCTGTATTGCACATCAAATCATTCTGTACGTTTTTGTCGTGTGATCCTCTGTATTGCTACTGAGAATGTCCCCTCCGCACCAATATGTTCTGTATTATAACGACGCAGATGATCAATGAGGACAATCTCAGTAACAACACAGATTGGTACAGCACAAGAACAGACCAATCAGAAGGCTTCATTTTACAGATCATACGATAAATAAATATATTCTCTGTAGCGTTATCTGAAATATGCTTTTTGGTATTTACATATGCATAAAGCTCACATGATCTGGAGCAAATAATCTATTTAGTTGTTGATTTTTGCAAAAATGTGAGTGTTATTTTTTTTACTGTAGCAATTTCCTTTTATGAGCAATTCCCTACATCAATGGACCTACCAACGTATGTTGTGATATTCTCATAAAATTGATCGTAAACTGTACTCAGACACTTACCGATGCGATAAGAAGACAGACAATCACTAAAATACATATCCACCGAATCCCTATTGTCCGTCTAACCATCTTCATTCTGCTACATCCGGTGAAATAATCTTTAGAGGATTTAGTAATTCTAATACTAACACCCTTGATTTAATTAGAAAATACGAACTCGGCATGTGATTTAAAAGCATCTTAACAATTTACTATATAATTTCAAATATCCTGATAATGTCTATGAAAAAGTGTCATTAAATTCGGTAGTAAAACAAGCGCCTGGTACACAACGTGTTAATTATCGTTAATGGTATGATAACGGGCGCCTTGAGCTATTATTAGGCGACTGCGCGGTCATAAGTTTAATTGTTTAATTGTTGGACTATTCCCCTTTTTGAAATTTTAAAATAATGAGAAAGTTGATATGATGAAGATGGAAGTATTTAATTGAACCATATGCACGGGTGAAAATAGGAAAAAAGCAACAATATCGATCTTAGCAATGTAAATCCCGTCTAACACAATCAGACAAGAGCAAGCCATTATATCTCAACTATACCATCATGAAAAATTGTTCATTGACAATTTATTTTCAAGTTATAAAAAGAGATTTAAGAATGAATCAAAATATTAAGCAGGTCAATCGAGAAAGTCGATTGCTTCAAAGTAGCTATTTATCAAATGTCAACAAAGTTCAGCTATTTACGTTTGAGTTACAGTCACGCCATGTAATCGTAAAACCTGAACTGAGGGGGGGGGGGGCAATTTCTTCAGAAAAATCAACAAATCTGTTAAATTTATATTTTCAAGAGAAAGTTTCTATTGGATTCCTGAATGGATAGGCGCACGGTATGGTAAAATGTGTTAGGATTTTTTTGAACCGATATGCTTCTAAGATATGAGATATATTAAAAAGGCGCAATGGCACAGACAGTGCAAAAGTCAATGTTTTTGCTATAAATCAAGCAACAATGGTCTACACGACCTGTAAATAAATACTTGCAAGAGACGTCAGCATAATAAAATTAATGCCATTGCTAATCACTTTATAGAATACGTTTCGATACGTTTTATATAGAGAATAATCGAAAATAAATGTAATGGGACAGAGAAGGGGGGGGGGGCGGGGACGGGTGAGTAATAAGACATGTCTATAAGACATGTTGTCTATAAGACATGTTAAAAGGTGTGATTTGACTTTAGTCCTGTTACTCCAAATTTGCACAATTTTCACTTTTCAGAGAGGTAACATCCAGTTTCTAAGCTTTTTTTAAAGTTCAACTTTTATTTGAAAAATGGCTGGGAATTTAAATATTTGAAAAATAAAAAGCTGGCAACTTTTTCCCCAAAAACTGTTTTTCAAATATCTCAAAAAGTAACTTATACAAAGTCATGAAAAATAGTAAATGAATGATAGAACATATTTTCAAACTTTCCATGGAGGTTTTCATTGTTTTTTATTCATGTATGTATTTTGGATGTACATGTATGACTGCATGTGCACCGGATCATGTTTAGATAGTACAATACAGAATGAAGGAACCTCAAATGCAAGTTAGAAAATGGTACACATCTATCAATCTCGAACACTTGATATAATAATACTTTACAAAATAATACACCTATTTCTATAACATTTTGCTATTACACTATCTAGTTCTGTACACAGATAATACACACGTAATTATTCATTGAGTAGTACTAAGTAAAGTTATCGTCTTCTACTTTTCTATAAATAACACGAATTTCATTAACACTATTTTCCAAACAGGAATCAATCGTTTGTAAGCTTAATATATACTTAGAAACTATATAGAAAGTTGACTTAAAAAACGTTTATTTTATTGTCAATATTAACCTTTGCAATTCTCTAAATGTATGAAGTGCTAATCAGATTACCATGCATGCAGAGTCTGGTTAAGAAAGACGAAGCTCTCTTTTTGATAGGAAGTCAAACGAATGCAAAGGGTATAACCATATAACCATGACCAGGAAAATCTGCCCAGAACCTTCTAATTGACAATTCCTTTAGTGGTATTTACAATGGGACTGTTTCAAGTAAATTACAAAATGAAAGATGATTGACTAGTAAGCAACAACAATCAAGTGTTAATGCATAATTTTTAATATACAATGGTTAATGCCTAGCTCAGATAAGCCCCGATTCATCGTACAGACGCAGGTCGATTAGTATTTTTTAACATCGACACATCGCCAGCAACAATTGGCCGATTTTTAGATATCACCAGAAGGCTAATGGATTTTTCTCTCAATCAAATGCATAGGAGCCTATCCCGCCGGCGCCCGTACGGTCATCGTACGATTATCGTACGGCTATCGGTGACATCGTTTGGACATCCATTGATTTCAATGAATGATAAAACATAATTCTAATTAGCCAGTAGTAATATAACGTTTTCGCAAATCTTTATGTATTACAAATACAAGTACATGTTTCATAAAACATAAATCAAATGAAGATGTCCAACTGGTGCCGTACCGCAATCTAACGATCATGATGCGATTTCCAAAATTCAAATTGGTTGCAGCTGCCGTACGATCTGTGAGCATACTCACGACACATATGCAAGATAACGGAGAAAAGTCCATGGTGCTTATTTGAACTAGTCCTACGTTTTATGTTGATTTGTTATAATACAGTATTACTATAAGCATTTTTCCACAAGTACCAGGTAGTGACTGTTTGTATTTTATTTATAATTTGTTAACATCTACTCTGTGAGCAATATCGATACTCATCCAGCGTCCAAGTAACAAAACATTTGGTTCTTTAAAGGGTGACGCATATCGTTTAGCAAATCGAACGCTCGTTTCTGGTGTTGCTCACCGTTTAGTATAAAAGGCCCGATCCCGGAATAATACTCAAGGGTTCACAGGTTCGAGGTCGTTGTGTCAACACCTCTAATTGTTATATAGCATAAGTATATTATAGATCGTCACACATTTATAAAAGGGTGAATTTTATTTTGACAAATCAATTCCACATTTATGGGTGAAGTTTCAGGATCTTCTATTTGTGTATAATAAGGAAAAATTGGCATCTAAATTTCCCCATAACGTAATAGCACACAGCTTGGCATATGAAATATCCTACAAATGAAACAAAGCAAGACAAACCGGTTTCTAATACAAGAATTTATATTGGCTGTTGCACATGTATTATTTGAACGCAAACACTCTTTGGATAACGTTTTCAAAATCATTATAAACGGATTACTTTATCTCAAAGACAATTTCAATTAACTGGATTTTACAGAACTCCCCTTATTTCTTAAAAATGGACTGATCCAGTTGATTCGCCTGGAGCCGCCATATTGTTTTTATACGGGATGCTAATCGGAACCCTTTAACAGGACATATCTTTTTGAATTTCTAGGCTTTATGTTAGCACACGATATATGGATATGTGTTGACCATTCACTCCGCCGCATATCTGTGTTGGGTCCCCGTTACATGGTATTGCGCAAATACTCGTCGTGTTATAATGTATATCATTTCCACATATACATCGGAAACCTTCGTACGCTGCCGCATACAACATTCCTGAAAATAATAAAATAAGTCAATATATGAAATACATAAAGTGGAAAATTAGAAAAAAAGTAAAGAGTAATTTGAGTCACAATTTTTTAGTACTGTAACGACCGTTGGCCACGCTCGTCGGGGAGCTGTAGTGTACTAAGCCAGATACTAGACACGAAAGAGAATGTGCTAAACTCAATGCCCCGTACGGGAATCGAACCCAGGACCTCCAGCTGTCGAGTCAGACGCTCTACCCCTGAACCATAAAGGCTAGCCACTACAACTGAGACTGTAGTAGCGACTTGGTATCGAAGGTCATTACAGCACTTTTAGCACTCATTGGTTTTTGTCATGCCTACTTTCTACATTTTCCAACGATTCTGACTCAAATTCAGGATAATCGTCAGTCATTTTGTGTAGCATAACTAAAAACAATGAATTCGTTTAATTCTAATGAATGGCTTTGGTAATGAAATTGATCGGATGTTTCAATTGATTTTCAAAAATGTAAATTACAATTTGAAATACCAGTAACTAGTATAATACTAATAGTAATACTAGTGATTAAATGATTTGTATACCCCCCACGAACCCACAAATCTAAACCGATTTCACTTGCCAGCGACAGATAATTTAGTCTTCAAGGAATCGAACATCAACATTTCAAAATTGGAAGTAAGCTTGCAGAGGTGTCTAGACAATGATAGACAATACTTTGTACACTAATACCCTTGAGATACTGTAAGTAAAACAAAAGGTACAAAATGAAAAAATAAGAACATTCAAACAAAACAAATACTCTTTTCCGCGTCCCCCTGACTGTTACTTTTCTTCAAAGACCTATTCACGATGATTTAAAATGTATGAGTAGTGTAGCTATACTGTGTGAAAATTTCAGCTAGATGAGAGTACTTATAATGAACGCCCCTGTACATACCATAATTTATCAGATACCGGACAAATTCATAGATTACTAAACCAGAAGTGTGTTCTGTGACGTCCGCAAGAAAAAGACGTATTCAGATTTCAGTTCTTTCAATTTTGCCATGGATTCAATTTAATGCTTCTAAAAGATCTTCGAAAGCTTACTATTAATTCTAAAAGTACTGTTTTGACTTCCCCGCTTCATAAAAAGAACATTATCACAATTTACTCGACTCGTAAATTTACTTCCGGTCTACCGAGAAAAAAGTCCTTGGGACTTTTTCAATCCTCAGTCTACATGGCATGATGAGTCATCCAGGGGATGAGTTGTCCAGGGGATGAGTTGTCTAAGGGATGAGTTGTCCAGGGAATGAGTTGTCTAGGGAATGAGTTGTCTGGGGGATGAGTTGTCTTAGGGGATGAATTGTCCAGGGGATGAGTTATCCAGGGGATGAGTTGTCTAAGGGATGAGTTGTCCAGGGGATGAGTTGTCTAAGGGGTGAGTTATCTAGGGGATGAGTTGTCCAAGGGATGAGGTGTCTAGAGGATGAGTTGTCTAGATGATGAGTTGTCCAGGGGATGAGTTGTCTTGGCGATGAGTTGTCTTGGCGATGAGTTTCCTAGGGGATGAGTTGTCCAGGGGATGAGTTGTCTAGGGGATGAGTTGTCTGGTTACCATATTTTATAGTGTAGTGTAATTACCTTCTTGTCTGCATTGTTCAACACATGCCTGAAGTGTTAGGTTTTCATAAGGTGTATTCGTACTGCTATATACGTAGTGGAACATTTTGTGACATCCCACATAGGTTAGTCCAACTGAAACACACGTTAATCAAAAACATTATATAACATTAATGCATGAAGTTTGAGATTTCTTTTGTACATACTTTGTATGAAGCTGTTACATCAATTTAGCTAGCTTTAGTTTTAAATTTGAAGTTGACATTGAAGCGATTGCAATATATCCAACAGCTCTAGTGTAATCTTATGAACCATAGTGGAAAAATTAAATTTTGGTAAAATAATATAAAATAAGATACACGGAAACTGCTTTTGAAAACCGGTGTAAAAGAAATTATGGTCCCCTGGGGATTATGGTCCCCTTTCCTTACGGCCCTTACTGGCCCTGACTGTGTATAAATAATAAGGAAAATAATTGTAATTAGGTCACCATATAAATCAATAAAGATTAGGGATTAGGGCCAAGATTTTATAAAACCACCAACCCTTTTACACACCGGCACTCATCGTTGCATCCAATGCATCATACACAATACATCACAAGTATTTAACAAGGCATTAACATGACAAAATGTCACTACCTAGTTGCTCACAATATCATTAGCTCAATTCTAAGTCAGATTTGAATTTGTGAGAACTCTGTAGATGATTTTGAAAAGATTGGTCAATGGGTCAAGTTGAAAAAATACATTTTTGACCATGAAAAGGTCATTGAAGGTGAAATCTCAAATCTGAAGTCAGATATAAACTTCTGAGAACTTGCAGATGATTTGAAAAAGGTCAATTTGAAGTAGTTGAAAAAGACCTGTTTGACCTTGAGAAGGTCATTGAAGGTCAAATGTTTGTTGACCTTGAGAATGTCATTGAAGGTCAAATCTATAGTCAGATTTGAACTTTTGAGAATATGACTTTGAAAAAATTGGTCAATTTGAAGCAAGTTGAAAAAATACCTTTTTGACCTTCGTTTAACCTTGAAAATGTCATTGAAGGTCAAATCTTAAATCTAAAGTCAGATTCGAACTTGTAAATCATTTAAAAAAGGTCAATCTGAAGCAAGTAGAAAAATAGCTTTTTGACCTTTTTTAACTTCTTTTGACCTTGAAAAGCCAATTGGAGGTCAAATTTTAAATTAAACTCATGAAAACTTGTACTATGATTTGGAAAAAATGAAGACAGTCTAAACAGTATTTGTTAAGTTATTGGAAGTTCTAAGAATCTGTGACGCCAACCGCCGCCCGCCACCCGCCGATCGCCAACTACCAATCCCCAACCACCGCCACAAAAACAGCGACCATAACAATATGTCATTGGTGGCGACATGATAGCTAAATTAGTTTTAATTAGTGAAAATTAGCAAAATATTCAAAATATTAGCAAGGGTGCCCTGCTTTTCCATGCGAACAGTATCAAATTTAAATATTTTATGACCAGTACTGATCACCTTTTTAATCAATTCTATTCCACAAATGCTGGTACACATGACCATGAAACTAGAAATAAAGACCGTATACGTTCATATATGCTTAAAGGGACTCATACAATTAGCTACGTTGACCAAAGTGTTTACATTTTCGGATTAGAAGGGTTTATTTTTTTTAAGGGGTGTTTGCATTGAAGATTTCGTGCAGTACAAAATAATTCTCAGTTTTCCTTATAATGCTTGCGCTGCCCCGTTGTTTTCGTATTCCAAAATAACCAATATAATCACTATTGATAGGTGGATTTTTTGTTGAATACCTTATTATGTTATTCTCAAGGTATCAAACTATGTATTGAACTGAATGAGAATGTATGTATTTTTACAAACCATTATGTATATGGACACTCTCTTACAATATGGTCTGTGAACGTTGCTACCTTGAAATGTGTGGGGCAGATATCGGTCGTTCCCAGGCTTGGTTTGGACAAGGAAATAACCCATCAGATAGAAATCGCATCAAGAGAAAAAAGCTATATAAACGTTTCTGATCATTGATGGAGAACTTAGGAGCATGGCGAAGACCAGAATACGTCGCGAAGAAAAGGGCGATGACACCTGGACACAGGAATCATCCGAATGTAATTTTTCTAAGACAGATAATGTCTGATTGCATTACAAAGGTACATCGACTTTTCGGATTATCATCTTTGGAAAATTCACATAATTTACACTGTTAAAATAGATGTGTTACGACAGATTTATATATTTATGTGTCTCTCAGATCATCGGCAAATGGACGTTCATCATTTTGGTACTGGTTAGAGGGCCGCACATACACGTAACATGTAATAGGGGTATTTTTTTTCCAGTTGGTGAGGACGAGCTACCCAAATGTGGAGGGGGTGCCATATCAAGGTCACAAATGGCAGTGAAGAACTGGGGATGCATATACAATATAAATAAACATTGACAATTCTATTCAATTCAGAAAAGGTTTTGTTCATATTGTGAATAAAATATTGAAGTTGTATTACCAAAAATAAACATAAGACTCTGCTATTGTGCCTGTGAAACATATAACACTACATACAATTTTTGAATGTATTTCTGGATACATAATATTGTATTTTTGTAATCTAAACCAGATACAAAGTACCCAGTCAAACAAACATATATATCACAGTTAATAAAAAACATTTTTATCTATGTTCAACCTATTTATATATTTTCTCTGGACGTTTGTTTACGAATAAAAACAATTTATCTATGCTTCCAGGTAACTAATCCAAATCTTTTCCAAATACTGAAATGTTTTCTTTGATTGATATTTTCGCCCACTGTTTTCTCTTGGAGTTCCCTCGTTTTGAGGAACAACCGCTCTCTTGAATGGTCGATTAACATTTTCATTCCAATGCAAAATAAATAAATCAACCCTGACTTGAAATGACGTATCACCAAAGGAATGCCTTTTGGGCAGAAAAGAACGCAAAGCATTGTTTGCCGCTTCAACGTAACTTGTGCTAAGTCCTTCTAGTACGAGATGCGGATTTTTGTATATTGAAGTGTCATGGACAAATTTCGATAAGAGGTCAATTGCAATTGGATCAGTAAGGAGCACACGAGATGGGGCATATCTTGGGTTTCTTACACAATGGCTCGTAAGCCTGCAACTTTCGTGGTATCCTTGGTAATGTGACACGATCGCATCTAGACTGCCTCGTAGTAGAGTCTCATCATTTCCTGAGTGCATGATGGAGTACCATATGTGGTTTTTAATTCCATCATATTTATCAAATAGCTGACCATGCCAACATATATTTTCAGTTTTCTTTGTCCCTTTCGAAATTTTTTTGAAAGATGACATAACATTTTTAATCACATGCCAAACGTCTTTTTGTTCCTTTACTTCTGGAAAATCGTCTTTTACTACCTTGCTCACGCTATTGTTAGAATCGTGCACGATGCAACGAACTTTAATTCCTTCCTGTTTGAAATCATTTAGAATTTCCTTTGTTGCAATCGTTTCATGTCGTTGGACAGAACTGTCATCGTGATTTGTTGATTTCACCTTATCTGCCAATACAGTATGCGTTTCGTTGCAAAGGCCAAATGTTATACTCCTCTTGGCATTGCGGAATGCAGAAAAACACGCATCGGTTTCCATGGTTATCCCAGACGCCCCACTGTCTGCTAAACTATTTTGTATCGCTCTTTCTTTAGACGCTTTGGCTTCGTTGGATATAATCGTAGATAAACGATTGCATGTTTCATTATAAACACCCCAGCAAACAGTGACGTCCATGTAACGTCACTCATATGTGGTATATAAGTTCACTGAAGACGTTGTATATTTCCGTTATATAAACGTCAAAGCAACGTAAAATTGTGACATTCAGCAAAACGTCGGTGGATGGTTAAAAAATGACGTTGTAGTAATGTGTTAGTAAAGTTCGAAATTTGTGCTGGTGTGAAAAACGTAACAATGACGTTGAATTTTTACCAGTTTGGTTCATTTGCAACGTAATATAAACGGTAAAATTTAACGTTGTCGTAACGTTTTTTAAATGTGTAAAATATTTGTAAGTGCAGGAAACATTACAAAGACGTTGCAGTTCTCACCAAATTGTTTCATTTGCTACGTAATATAAACGGTAAAATTTGACGTTGTCGTAACGTGTTTTAAATGTGAAAGATATTTGTAAGTGTAGAAAACGTTACAAAGACGTTGTGTTCTCACAAAATTTGGTACATTTGCAACGTAATGTAAACGGTAAAATTTGACGTTGTCGTAACGTGTTTTAAAAGTGAAAGATATTTGTAAGTGTAGAAAACGTTACAAAGACGTTGCACTTCTCTCCAAATTGTTTCATTTGCTACGTAATGTAAACGGTAAAATTTGACGTTGTCGTAACGTTTTTTAAATGTGAAAGATATTTGTAAGTGTAGAAAACGTTACAAAGACGTTGCACTTCTCACCAAATTGTTTCATTTGCTACGTAATATAAACGGTAAAATTTGACGTTGTCGTAACGTGTTTTAAATGTGAAAGATATTTGTAAGTGTAGAAAACGTTACAAAGACGTTGTGTTCTCACCAAATTTGGTACATTTGCTACGTAATGTAAACGGTAAAATTTGACGTTGTCGTAACGTGTTTTAAACGTGAAAGATATTTGTAAGTGTAGAAAACGTTACAAAGACGTTGCACTTCTCACCAAATTGTTTCATTTGCTACGTAATGTAAACGGTAAAATTTGATGTTGTCGTAACGTGTTCTAAATGTGAAAGATATTTGTAAGTGTAAAAAACGTTACAAAGACGTTGTGTTCTCACCAAATTTGGTACATTTGATACGTAATGTAAACGGTAAAATTTGACGTTGTCGTAACGTGTTTTAAATGTGAAAGATAATTGTAAGTGTAGAAAACGTTACAAAGACGTTGCACTTCTCACCAAATTGTTTCATTTGCTACGTAATATAAACGGTAAAATTTGATGTTGTCGTAACGTGTTCTAAATGTGAAAGATATTTGTAAGTGTAAAAAACGTTACAAAGACGTTGCGTTCTCACCAAATTTGGTACATTTGCTACGTAATGTAAACGGTAAAATTTGACGTTGTCGTAACGTACGTGTTTTAAATGTGAAAGATATTTGTAAGTGTAGAAAACGTTACAAAGACGTTGCAGTTCTCACCAAATTGTTTCATTTGCTACGTAATATAAACAGTAAAATTTGACGTTGTCGTAACGTGTTTTAAATGTGAAAGATAATTGTAAGTCTAGGAAACGTTACAAAGTCCTTGTTTTCCCACCAAATTGGTTCATTTGCAACGTAGTGAAAATGGCTAATTGTAACGTTGTCAAAACATGGTTTGAATGTGAAAAATATTTGTGATTGTAAAACACGTTACAAAGACGTCATTTTCTGACCAAAATGGTTCATTTTCAACGTAGTGCAAACGGTTAATTTCAACGTTGTCGAAACGTGTTTTCAATTGAAATGTAAAAAAATATTTGTAAGTGCAGGAAACGGTTACAAAAAGACGCTATGTCCTCACGAAATTGGTTTATTTGCAACGTTGTCGAAACGGTTAATTTTGACGTTGACGAAACGGGTTTTAAACGTGAAAAATATATATACATGTATGTGAAAAAGAACGTGACAAAGACGTTGTGGTCTCAACAAATTCGTTTAATTTGTGACGTGAAGTAAATGTTAAATATATAACGAATATACATGTATGCCTCGAGTGGTGGTAACTTTAAATACTGATCGGTGGAGGCACAGGCATATGTTGGCTCACACAGATGAACTTAACGTGGTAATTGAGAGTGAGAGTGGAAATATGATGTAAAGAAAACGTTTCTCCGACGTTGTAATTTTGCCATGGGTTATTGCTGACAAAAGTCTGACGTTCTGTCCCGGGGGGTTCACTCCAATATACCTCTTAATACCTATGTGCCGCGCCAAAGACCCCCTTTTTGAGCATTTTTCCATGTCAATTTCCTCTCAAAATTGGAAGTTTCCATGTATTATTCCTCTCAGAGTTATAAAATTCCATATTTTCTTCCTCTGAACTTCATAGATGTCCATGTCTACTTCCTCTGGAGCTTGCCGGGACTAAAGTTGCGAATTATCGGTAAATTGACTAAAACTCCACTCTTCCGGCGATTTGTCAGACCTCGGGACAAAAATTTTCGGTTTTAGTCCCTTTCAACAAGGGCGAGCGTTACAAACGGAAAGTACATCGTTCGCAAATTTGATGTATTTCTCGTTCGGCTTTTTATCGTATTCTGTTCTATCAACCAATAGAAATAGAGGAATTCCCGCGTCGAAATCAACATGGAGGACAGTTCCAAGTTCAAGATATTGCTGCTTAAAAGCAACTTGGGAGCCGTACTGCCAGCTTTCGAAGGTAAGAATGATGCATTTATGTTACACAATCACCAAAGGTTAAGATGAAAGCATTCCATGGCCGGTACTTGCAGCGAGAACACAAATAATCTCATGTGAAAGTTGGGATCGTTTCAATTTTCATAATTTTTCAATTTTTGAAATGAACTTTTGAATATTCTGATATTTGAATCGATGTTTTTGATTTTCAATTTCATCACGATTTCAATCATAATTCCCGGTTCATAATTTTCGTTAGGTCAATTACAAGGGGTCCAGGGGTCAATTAACCATCAGCGACTTTGAAGTCAGATCCGGCCCCGGGGATCTGGCGCAGAGGTGTGGATTGGATGGTGAAGTGTTTATGGCAAATGGTTTATGCAGTTATCTTAATCTTGATGGTGATCTCTGTTAGATCATCTACCTCTTTCAAAGAATAGACATTGCCCGGGGAGTCAGTGATTGCCATCTTTAGCCTGATAGATAATCATGATGGCAGAAATACAGAAATGCACAAACATGTATCAGTTTCATATGCTTTAGAAAATGTACACGTTTGCGAACAAATAGTTCAGAAGACAATAGAATCGTCGATTTAATTCCTCACTTAAGTTACATAAACGGTGTTTCGAAAAACAGTTAAGGTCTGCACTTTTAAGGTAACTTATAACTTAATCAAAAAATCCAAGATGGCCGAAACCAGGAAGCACATGGCATTTGAGTATAATCTGACCATCAAAATTAACTGTCTTTTGGTTGGATTTTCTCTCAATTTTTTTAGTTCCACTTATCATTTATATAACCAGGCTCACTGTGGTAATGCAAATAGAAACAGTAAGCATTCTGGAATGGGAATTTGAGTCCTCTGAAAATGTGACAGAAAAATTGACAAAAACAGTAGCACGGCAAAGGTCCCTGAACATTTTTTTTCTAATTTCTCTGAAACATCCCTTTAATATAGCACAAAATGGAAGGAGCTTTAGAATTTTGAAATCTCTCATACAAATTTAAAAAAATAGAAAAAAAACAATTTGAGAAGTGTACTTTTTTCCTTATTTTGATCCCAATTTTTTTATCGGGTAATTTTTCAAATTTCTGTTGCTCCTTCTTTTTTCATATATGTTTGAAGTATATTTTCTGAAATGTTCAGATATTTTGAATCAGTTGTTTTTCATGGGCTACTCCTAGAAAAAAATCTTCTCAAATTCTTTAAACGGCACTTTTTTTCTCAAACTAAAGTTTTTTGTTGTTCTTTGATATCTTTGTAATGATTACACTGCACAAGCATATGTGAAATAACAAAAACGACTTCTCAGGAAGAGTTTGAAAATTTCAAGATTGTGAAATTTTCAATTTTTTCTGAAAATCGATTAAGTTAACAGTCACCTTAACCCGAACCGTTTGTGTAACCTAAGTGAGGAATTAAATCGATGATTCTGTTGTCTTCTGAGCTATGCCTATTTTTCGCAAACATGTTCATCTTCTAAAACATATGATGCTGATACATGTTTGTGAGAAAAAATGTCGTGGGGATTCTGCCTACAATGCGTGAAATAAGGAAAAAAGAAAAATCGTACCTTCGACGTTCCGACATTTTGTTACCAAAACGAACCGTTTCGGTAACCAGTGTAATCGAGTGGATCACCAGTGAATAGATAGCATACTATATTTAGGGAGTTCTTTAATTTTTTTGAAAATAACATGGCAGAGAAGCATTGAAATATGAGGCCACAGATATGATAGCTAAACTACAAAACAAATAAACAAAAGTAAGAACATGTATAAATGTTTCTATTTTTACATGTTCTGTTTCAATGTGGTCCTTTAATTGCTTATTTTTTAGATTCAGAGAAGTTCCAAACATTCAAAATTTTACTGTAATCTCATCTACTCTACGACCCCCACTTAAATTTGTAAAAAACATAAGTGGGGGTAACCAAACTCGTCTGGCCCTGTTATCCACTCCCTGATTCTGAAATGTCGTAGACCAACAACGTCAGGCGTAGATTACTGGGCCATACAGGTTTTGTTAAAGTGGGGGTAGAATGCGATAAATCGCATGATGTATGGTCTCTCTAAAATTCTCTTATTTTTAACATGGGAAATCGTCACTTCAGCAAATTCACATGTCATTTATTTATGTTCCAAAATTTATTTAGGCTAGTATTAATATGTATATAACATATGCCTGGCAAAATTTTGTGAATTTAATTTAAAATCAAACATTATCCATTATGATTTAGGTTCGCCTTTGACAGTTTTTGATGTGGAAATGTGTCTGTTATTAAGCATATTAAGCATACACCCTTTACCAATTTACGGAGACTGAAAGGTGAACTTCAACCTTCCTTGAAACTGTATGATTATCAGGCCCGTAGCCAGGGGGGGTTCGCAGGGTTCCCCCCCCCTGGCCAAAAATTCTTTCATGCAGTTTTCACCATTTTGAGCACTTCTCAAGTGATTTTGTCCATATTTGGTCCAAAATTGTCAAATGTGAACCCCCCCCCTTGAAATTTTTGAAAAATGAACCCCCTTGGCAAATCCTGGCTACGGGCCTGATTATTGATATTTATATTTTTTAATCGAAATGGTGTTTGTTATAAGCACACGCCTTTTAACAATTGATAGAGACTGAAAAGTGTATTTCATCTTCATCAAATCTGAAATTTAGCTTTGTTTTTATTGATTGAATTCAGTAAAAGTTAATTTCTTTTAACTTAAGTTAACTTTTATCAGCCTTTAAAAAGACTA